ATCATCATAACAATCTTTCTGACCAATTTCCAGGATATTTTGATCAAGAAGGGTTAACAATGTTTTTCCACATTTAGTCTGTGTGACCTTATTTTTGACCCCAAGTGACCCATATTTAATCTTGACCTAGAAATTAACAAAACAACCTTTCTGACCAATTTCCAGGATATTTGTGCTAAAACAAAAACCCTTAGTGTTACCAAGGTTTTTTACTTGTAAAATGAATTTGCGTACTGTATGAGGAAAGCAAGTAAACAATATATTTTAAGGAAGTTTTTTTATTGGAAAGGAAAATAATGGTTGTATATGTTTTTTGTGGGTTTTTTTCCCATTTCAACAGCAAATTTTGTGGTTGCTTGGTAAAGGCTGGAGACTTCAGACAATTTATTTTTTTGAGTTTTAGGTTTCAATACTGTCATGATTAAATAAGGCAAAAAATAAATATGTTAAGGTGAGTACTAAGGTGCAAATAGTGCAAGAAGGGCCGCCTATGTTCTCCCTCCACCAGTAAAGGATGAAAATGGCTGCATAACCTTTACTTTGTTGGTGTGATGTGAAACCCAACCCATGAGAGGAAAATGTTTTAGAGTCAACGATTCTAACATGGTGCCCACGGTAGCCTCTATAGATATTTATGTTGCTTTGTTGAAAAATAATACATGAAGTGGAAGTTGTGTTTTTCATGTTAAACGTATTTGAAGGATTTGACTTAAAAACCTAAAAAGTGGCCATTCAATTAAATATGAACAAATTTTGATAAAGACGACTCAGACAAAAGTTTTTTGGTGATATCCATCAATAGGGCTCCAGTAGTTTAAACAATTCATGTATGTTTTAGCTTTAGGCTTCCCCCTTAAGTGGTCTTCAATCTCTCCAATTAATTATTGGAGCAAATTTTGATTAAAAAGGGACTAGGTGTACTACTCAAGAACTTGAAGGCTACAAGAACCCAAAAAAAGTTTATTTGATTTTAGTAAAAATTTCCAGTTTAGTTTTAAAAGGGGAAGATTTTATATCGTCACCTTAGTGCAAGAACTCCAATTTCTTGCTTCTATTTTATATGCAGTTTTTGAGTTTTTTGCACTTAAGGTGACGAATCTATGTTTTTCTCGCTTTTAGCTCTTTGCCACTCAAAGCGGCCAATCGAAATAAAACGAGCAAATTTAAATGTGACTGTCACAAGGATGCTACAGACCTTTGAAGTAAATTTGCCAAGTGCTTTCAGAGATGAATGTTGCCGCATGACAACGGCAACGGAGCATCACCCTTTGATACTAATAGCTTAACCATAACCTTCAGCTCTGGTGAGCTTAAAAAGTCAAGCTAAAAATGGTAGCTAGATGAATAAAAATGTCAATTTTGTGGTAACAAAACAAAAACTGAAGCTTTAGAAAATTCCATCTTTAATATAGCATTGCCAAACCCAACACAGGAGTAGATGTCAATGCAAGGTACCTTCATATCAAATAATAGACTAAACTATCAATACATTATTGTTCAATGACAAAAAGATATTAATCATATTTTCAGCATTTCAAGTGTCACTCCTAAATCATGGTTTATCTAAAACACCACAACTTGAGCCGTGGACAACGAAAACCAAAAACTTCTTAAATTCAAAAAATTTTTTTTTTAAAAAAGAAGTTTTTAAATTACACATAAAAAAAGGGTTTATCAGTACATATATAACTTCAAAAAGTATGAAACACTTTTTTATAGTAATTTTGAAAGGGGAAAGAAAAATCCCCAAAAGATTCTTTAAATCTTTGAAAAATGCCCCCTGTTAGTCCTGAAAAAAAAAAAAAAAAGATTTCAGTGAAATAATTTTTAAAATTATTATTACAAAGCATTTGGGAAAAAAAAGTCAAAATTAAAATCTATACAAGGTTTTGAATTTTGGGTTCAAACAAAAAAAGGACTAATTAATCCCACTTTTTCATTTAATTTTGGCGCCCGCCAATTAAAAAAAATATGTAAGTTTTTTTGGGTTTTAAAATAAGCAATATGAAAACCAAAGTTTTTTGTGAAAAGGGGAGAAACATTTATAGTAATTGAACATTAACAAACAACTTTTGAGAGGTTTTAAAAAGAATATCTAGGTTACACATACTGTATGAAGAAATGACTTATTGAGATTTTTTGAGTATGTCCAAATTACCAGCAACACATAAAGAAATGACATTTTGACATTTTTCGAGAAGGTCTAACGAGCAACAAATTAAGAAATGACATTTTGAATTTTTTTGAGTATGTCCCAATTACCAGTAACATGTGAAGAAATGACTTGAGTTCCATGTTTTTGTCACAAATATTTTACCAGTTAACTTCACACAGAACATGGTATGGGAAACCGGTGTACTTGTATACATGATCAATATTTTACAATTTTATATGACTATGTCTCTCATCATAAATAGATATAATGGAATGGAGAGAAAAAGTAAGATAACAGATCTAATCTATAGAGGTAAAGACTGACATATAAATACCAGTATGAAATTATGAGATATAAAGTGGGGAGAAAATGAATGGAAAACTTAAGCAATGAGGACAAGAGTGATATTTGATGATAGTTTGATTTAACCTTGACCCTTCGACCTGTGTTTCTATATAAATGTATAAGAACAATGTACAAATCTATCAACAAGAAAACTAGCAAAGCATCATTTAAATTTCATTCAAAAAAATAAATACAAAGTATACAAAGTTCACTCGCAACATCAAGCCTTGTTTTTGATATTTCCTAATTTCAATATATGTTATGATTTGATCAAACTATAATGTCTGTTTTGATATAATATTTCAACTTCAAGATCTATATGTGTTTTGATATACCTTAACACTTGTTTTGATATCATTTAACACATTATTGAATTTATTGTCATGACTCCCAAAATATGTTAAGATATACTTTAGGGTCTGTTTTGATAATATGCAAGTGTAAGATTTGTTTTGATATTCCTTAACCATAGTCTGTTTTGATACACTATAATATCAAGATCTGTTAACTTTAAGGTTAGGTATGAATACTTCAAAGGATTGATCTAATTTAATGAACCTTTGAAATTTATTGACTTTTTTTGAAGAAAAAAAAATCCATGGAAATTTTGTTAACAAAACATATGTAAGATAATAGGGCTGAGTAACTCAAGGAAACACAATAAAAATAAAACTGTCTCATTCTTTCATTCAATCACTCACTTACAAACATCAATGTCAAGAGTTTTCCCTCAGAAATTTTAGAAAGCAGCCCTTTAAATGTTTACTTCCAGGGAGCTTTTCAAGATTTTTATTTTCAATACAACAAACTAAATTTTACCATTTATAAATATTCAATAATTTATCTAATACTGAGCCATTCAAGAAATTATATCTTCAAATAAGAAGAGTAAATGAACATTTTCTTTCCCTTTCTTTTGGGTTGGGTTTCACATCATACCAACACAGTAAAGGTCATACGGCAACTTTCATCCTTAACTGGTGGAGGGAGACCTTAGGTGCCCATTCTTGCACTATTTAAAGCACAAACAGTCACCTTACCAGAACCACTGAACATAATCTTCATGCTTATAACATGATGCAATTCATAATTAACACTTATTGATAATCAAATTCACAATTAACAATAATTGGTAATCACTTAAGAAATGCAAAAGTATGCCCATAAATAAGTAAGTAAGTACACCTACATTGGCGCTTACCAAATATTTAAATTTACTACAATAGCTCTAATGGGGAAATGTGTGCTAGAACGCACAAATGATCTGCATCATGAAAAAACCAACATAGTGGGTTTGCGACCAGTATGGATCCAGACCAGCCTGCGCATCGGCGCAGTCTGATCAGGACCATGCTGTTCGCTTACCAACCCTATTACAAGTAGAGAAACTGATAGCAAACAGCATGGATCCTGATCAGACTGCGCAGGCCGGTCTGGATCCATGCTGGTCGCAAACACACTATGTTGGTTTTGTCATGGCACGGCTCATATGTTCTGGAGAAAACTCTGAATCAACAAACAATAGTGGATCATACTATATCTATCATACAAATAACTAACAGCTATGTTCACAGATATAATTTATTGTAAGTTATATGAAACTAAAGATAAACTGAGAAATCAAAATTTTCAAGCTGAGCACCTCTAAATGAGTGAATTTTTTTTAAAAGTCACACCTTATAAATAAAATAAGATATTGGAAGAATTTAGAAAATGAGTATATTTTCACAATCTATTTTATCCTTTCCATGTATTTCTTTCTGTAAAATAAATATGACCTATTTATCAATTTGTTTACCTTACTCTTTTACAAATGGAATAGAACAGCCACCTTTGAATATTTTAAATTGTGATAAATAATTTACTGTAGTTAGTAATAGTAGTTGCCTTAGACAGACTTTAAACATGATATATAAACTTCAAACTTGAAATGAATTCAAACAAATTTTTAAATAATATTTATATGACTGTCAAAGGTGTACTTTTTATAGAAGAAAAAAAAAAAAAAACATCAACACTTTAATCAATGGCTACATTACATATAAAAATATTAATAATTCATAAATATGGTCAACTTCCTAAAATTTTATGCATTGTAATAGATTCTTCAAAAAAAACTTTATATACTCTTGTTTCTTTTTAAAAATTAGAAACTTATGAAAAAAATCTGAAAAGTTTAAGAACTTCAATTTTGTCAAGTAGATGACATTAATATATAAAATTAATGACAAATTTCACATAAGCAAAGCACTCGGGGGTTCCTAATGAGTTCTCACTAGAATTTGTTTTGAAACATTTTCTTTGTTAGTTGGATCTTGCAATCAATATTGAAAAGACTTCTTTAAAAAGAAATAAGATAAGCACTAGCAAGAAATCGTTTTGCACTTTCACGGCTTTCAAACAGTCAAAAATAGCCAAAATAAAGTATACAATTATTTTTCATGAAAACAACTTGGCTCTATATATTATTCTACTGAACACAATGGTGTTTTTACATGCACTTTCCAAACTAATTCATGATCATGATCAATAATCATGCCTAAATGGTCCATTTCACAAACTTGGGAATGTTTTTTCTTTTCTTTTTCCTTTCTAAATTCTCTTAATTATTATTAACATAAAAGTCAAAAGGGGAAATGCAGAACAAATAACTTCAGTCTAAATGTCTTCCTTTACAAGGCTAATATATGACAAACTCAACTGTCAAAATTTCAGAAAACAAACTTACCAAAACTAAATAAAACTCAATGCAAAGGATGTTTAAATTGGGATTCCAACTGCTCAGTATTAACACAGCTGTACCAACACAAATTTAACTGACTAAAATTATGCATACAAGTAATTAATGTTCTCTTGACTTTTCACACTCTTCTCCCGTCTTTTGATAGCCTGGAAATTATCACAGAGGTCGGTTTCATTCTCTTAAAGCACATCGTTTAGTTGTATTAGCGTGACTGTTCCTTTGGAGTGTAGTGTTCTAAAATCCATGGATGTGTCATTGTTTTATCCAAAGATAGTCGCTGACGTGGGTCATGCTTTAAAAGCTGTGAAGTAAGAGAAAGAATATCTTTTATTCAGGCATCATGACTCCTGATAAGCGAATAAGGCTTAAAATATACAATATTTTGAAATAGGTATTAAGAGTACTAGTGTATTATTTTATGCTCAATTCATATAATTAACAGGTTCTATAAATGCAAAATTGGGGTGATTAATCATTTGTTTGTTTGTTTGATTGGGTTTTACATCACACCAACACAGTATAGGTCATATGGCTAGGATCAAGCCTTACTGGTGGAGGAATACCTCAGGTGCCCTTCTGTGCATTATTTCAGGCAAAGGGCACCTGAGTAGAACCACTGACATTCCATAACCTACCTGGATAGCTTCCTCTTATGAAAGAATCAAAAATCCCTGTCAGGATTTGAACCCTAACTGGGTACGAATATCACCCATACTTGGTTTTTATAGCATATCACTTATCAATGGCATTTCTGTTTTTGTTTACCTTTAAATTTGCTGATTTTTGAGGAAATTTTCTGTGTTATTTTGGGAATTTATCAGTCATGAATTGGAAATTTGTTGTCTATTTTCTATTGAGAATGGTGCTGTTTTCCGGTATCAGTTATATAAGGAATAGAAACACTGCTCAATTTTTTAGGCACAAACAGGCACTTGAGTGGAACCAATGACTTTCCATTAGCTAGCTGGATAACGGTGCAAGCAGATTGAAGTAAATAACCATAAGTATTAACCACTCAGCCATGGATGCCCTTTTTGTTGTTGTTTTTTACTAATGATTTAGATCCGATGTGAATAGTTTTTGGCAGTTTCAGAGAAAATGGACCTAAATAAATTGACCCTGACCTTTTGACCCTTAAAATCAGTGTGACAGGTAGAACTCAAATTCATAATGGATAACCAATGCCAACATGACCATGTTTCTTCATATGACACCAGTTCTGGCTGGTTCTAGGAAGGGGTCTGGAAAGTGATTAATTTAAGTTGCAAGAACTTGGTTCGCAACCGAGCTTAAATAGATATGTTTAAACCAACCAACAAGTATGTCATGGCGATACCTCCACCTTTTTTCTTTCAAAGACTGACCATTTAAAGAAACAAAAACACACTTACACTAGATATCAAGTCCCTAGCACCAGACGAGACAAACGACGGATATCTGATGTCAACTTTTGTGATCCTGCGATATGTTTCCGAGTTACTCTCCGTTTCAAATGGTGGTTTGCCGACCAGCAATTCGTAGCAGAGTACACCTAGACTCCATAGATCTACGCACTCATCATGGTACGTTCCCTCTATCATCTCTGGTGGGAGGTAATCCAATGTTCCGCATAGCGTGGTTCTCCTGTATAAACATATCAAACAATATCATGAAACAAACAGAAAAGGTTTTGTAAGCTTCTACAATGCTTTGGTTGGGTTTCAATCAAATTGAACTTCACAAATACATTTATATACAGTTTTATCCAGTAATTTGATTATTTTATAAAGATATCAATTTGTTCATTTTTATTCACTTTGTATCAATGCTTTTCAATCTGGTAAAATTTTACATCACCCAAAACACTGTTAAGATTATTTAGCAACTTTCCAGCTTAACTAGAGAAGGAACTCCTCTGGTGCTCCTTCTTTTATGTATTCTTTCAGACACAAACAACAACTTTTCTGTTAGATATATAGCTATAGATGATACCCTCAAATAAAACAACCCAAAAGTATCAAGCTGAATTCAAACCCCAATGTTCTTAACCAGACACTTTCTTACAATAATCCAACATTTTCTTTTACAGGAATACTACAAATCAGAAAACTAACCTCGATGACGGAGCATGTACAGACCACCCAAAATCAGCAATCTTAAGATCTGAGGTCAGTCCGAGTAGAAGATTTTCAGGCTTGATGTCTCTGTGTATAACTTTCTTACTGTGGCAATATTTCAATGCATTGGCTAACTGATACACATACTGTAAAACACACAATATCATAAATAGTATAATCATGACAATTTATTTAAGAAATATGAATTGAAAAGAAAAAAAATGCCATAATTTACAGGACGTACTTAAATCCATGACCAAGAGGTGTACAATTTCAAATGAATACATGCTGAGGCCTATGAGATTTACTTTATCATAAAACCTTAACTAGTAATGTTTTTTTTAGTTCAAAAAATCACTCAGAATCAATACTTATGCTATGGTTCTTGGTCAATGACCCTGAAAACAAGTGAAATGTCATGTCAACTTGTACCGTAAGATATGCACAATTTCTTGAAATGGCCCAGCTGAAAACCAGTCTTGGTCAGGACTTTAAGTGTACAATTTTTTTTAATGCTACACTCTCTTCTTAGCAAAAATCCAGAGTTTGATAAAATTCATGAACAGATTTTAATTTTGTAAAAGGTGAAAGAAATAAATTTGTATCAACCTTAGCAGCAATTTTCTCATCAAATCTTTTCTGTTTTGTTAATTCCTTGTACAGTTCTCCTTTGGGGGCATATTCCAGGATGAGGTACACTCGAGTTTTATCATGAAAGTATCCAAATAGACGTAATATATTGTCATGCCTGTAAAAGATAAAATATATAAATAGAGCAGCACTTATTAATTATGGATGTACTAAAGACATACTAGGCAAAAGGGATTTAAATATCCTCGGATGGGTGTTTTTCACTTTAATATATATATATATAAAAGTGAGGAAAGATAAAGAGGACCAAACTTCCTGTCCGTTTTTTGCTCTAAAAGTTATGAGGACCAAACTCCCTGTCTGGCTTTTTCGCTGTCTGTTCCCCCTCCTAAAAATTACCAGGACCAAACTTCTTGCCTGGTCCCCCCCCACAATATTAAAAGTGCTTGTTCCCCCCTCCTAAAAATTATGAGGACCAAACTTCTTGCCTGGTCCCCCCCCCCAAACAATATTAAAAGGACGTGTTTTAATCTCCAAAATGTTGACAATAATTATATAAAACTTGCAAATTAGCACTATGTATATTTCACATTAGAAACACACTATTAGCTGCAAAGAATAAGACTGATTGTGAAACAATAAACAGAAATTCCTATGTACAAGAAAAATCCTTATCCTTTTGAATCAAGTATGACTTCTTTCCTAACTAGTTCAGTCTTCGCCTTAATTTTTTATCAGCACTAGCCCAGTCGGGCTAGCAGCTTACAAATTTCACTAGCCCAAACACATTTTAACTAGCCCGAAACCAAAATGGTATTTTTTGCATACATTTTGTACAAAAATAACACTTTCTATGTTTTATATACCATTTAACATTATTAAAATATCAACTAATCAACTTTTCTTCCTTTCATTATTTAAATAAGAAGAGTTTAAACTACATATGAAAAGAAGATATTTTGATATTTCTGTGGCGTGGCATTGTCCACAGACACTGAAAAAAAATTGTTTAAAAACTGAAAATACTCTTCTCCTCGTTTACTGTAACCATGTCGGCTGATACATGCATTGACGACATATTTATATTCCTTTTCGTATTACTTTTTTATTTTTGGTGTGTTCCTTTTTGGCTTAGTGCCTTCAAAATACAAGAGAAAAGACATATTGTGCAGCACGAGATGAAGCCTAATAAATGTCTAAGTAATAACAAATGTACAGGCACTCCAAGTAAATCAAAGACGTATCATAAACCTTTAAAAGCAATCAATAATTGACACCTCAAGTAGATGTAATTCTTATCAGTTGTGTAGAGCTATTTTTAGCGCTGTCAAATTGCATCCACTGATGTCACGCTTCAGTGCACAGGCTATAAACAATGCTGTGTATTACACACGGTGACATTTTTTTGAGTGTAATTTGAACATATCTAGGATTTGATAGGTAATTAGGAGTAGATTTAAGGTAATTATTATTGCATAGCTGAAAATCCCACATGGCAAATTGACTCTTGTGCAGATTTTATCACGTGTCAAATTTGTGCATTTCCTGATTTTCACGTGTCAATCGAGAGCCCTGGACTCTAACAATCAATAATATTTCATAAGTGTTTTAAGTTCAATAAAGCTGCAAATAATTTTTAGGGCCAAGGTGGTTTACCCATCAAAATCTAGAGTAAAATGAAAATTCTGGGGTAAAATCTATAAAAAGAATTTGCATTGTTTTGTTATCAAATTCCATTGCCTTCTAAAAAGTTCCTTTCTTTACATAAATCAGACTGACTTATATTCAACGTTAAATAATACAAAACTTGCTCTGTTAAGGCAGGCTTCCCTAGACTAGGGTTTGTTAAGGTTACATGTAGCAAATTAATGACAAGACTCATTTTTTTGTTGCTGACATGTTGTTGTTTGAATGTGTCACATTCCTTTACAATCAGCTACATGGTCAGCATGAGGCTTTATTCATACTCTATTTCTAGTCTACATTTTAGTGCCGCTATTTGGTTTTGATTATTTATGATTAAAATTAGAATTAATGAAAAATAAATATAATAGAATTAAAACTTTATACACAAAGAATTAGTCTTTGAGGAAATTGTCCGTAACTGTAAACTTGGTACGAAAATTTTGAGTACAAAACTGCAGATGGCAAGGGAGAAATATGTTTTCCAATAACTAAAGTGGCAAGTACAACATTTTTCTTTATTTTGTAGCAAAAAACATTATAATATATGTCTAAACAAATTGAATATTAGGTTAAGTCCTACGATGATTACACCAAATTTAACTTTATCAATAAATTCATTTCAGAAACTCCCAAGAGTAACCTTCCCTTTTTACTCGATGTCACTTCCTGCTACTTTCGTTTTCAACTTACAGCAGTGTTGACAATAGTACTTTTAGTTTTCCATCCAATTCAGCAGAAATATATTGTATTTTCATAAAGCCAAAACATTGCTATCTGACGCTCTGCATATTTCCAACATTTTCTTAATTTGGATATGAAAAAAGCCCTCGACCAGACTAGTCCAACTAATTAGACTTGTCAAAGAGACACCGGGGGCGCTGTCTTTTTCCAAGTAACGGTTTGACAGTAAGAAAAAAAAAGTCTGTAAAATGGGTCAAACCGTTCACGCCAAATTAATTAGGCTATCGACCAGACTGGCTACCAGCTTGGAATTTTCACTCGACCACCCGCAAATTTACTCGACTGGGTCGTCGGTCGAGTGGGTTAAGTCGAAGACTGCTAGTTAACTTGGTTCATACATACACCCAATGTCAAAATTTAAGCACTTTTTAAGCTTGTTTTCCATTTTTCAAGCACAATTTATTGCACAAATATCATTTGTAACCAATTTTAGATAAAAGTAACTTTTTTTTCTTCAATCCAGCACTTTTTAAGCACTGTTCAAGATGAATCAAATTCAACGACTTATACACACTTTTTTTATCAATTTTAAGCACTTTTTAAGAATGGGATTCAAAATTAAGCACTTTTTAAGACTGTTCGAACCATGTAGTAGCATTCGGTAATTCAATAAATAGTTAAACACAAGAAGTGAGATTTGTATAAAAGTACAAAAATTTTCAGCTTTCAGTATCACTTTCTCAAGAAAACTCATTCACTTTGACAGAAATCTAAATTTACAAGAATGATAATTAATGAGATATCTGTATATGTTATCAAATTTTACCTCAAGTGAGACTGTATTTCAATTTCTCTTCTAAGCTGATGCTCCACTCCTGACTTCTGTAACTGTGACTTGAATAGCACCTGTAGTTTGAAATTATCTGACCTCAAAACCTTTTTATAGACTGGTTAAGCCTACTGTGTAAATATTGTTTTTTAATCTCTTATCAAAAATTTATTCATGTCATTTTGTGTTTTAAAGAAAGATCTTTTGAAGTTAAATACCATGATGCCATTAAATTAAGTTAGTTCCATATCTAGGGTACGGAACAGTTGTTAGTGGCATCAATCACATACAGTCCCTTTTTCCAACCAGCCTTAAAATTTCTTGTATATTTTAAATGCCTCTTCCCTCTATATATTACATAATAGGCATTTATAAAACATCAGTTTTAATATACAAAATTAATGTTTACTTATTCTAATTTTCATATCTCAAAACCTACTGTATTTTCCTTTGAAACAAATATTAAGCAACAGAATTATTTCTATATACATGTAATAGTTAACTACTGTTCCAAGTTCATAAACTCAATATTTAACACAATATTTTTTTTTAGTTAATTACAATGAAATTAGAGCAAAAATCAACTTACCTTTAAAGCCACTATGTATTTACTGTGTTTCTCTCTTGCCAGATACACATTTCCAAATTTACCCTTTCCCAATGGCTTGCCAATGTCAAAATCATCAAGTGACCATTTCTTTCTTTCTTTACCGCCCTCAGGCATTGATGGTTTCTGGGCAGCTCCAGTTGCACCATCACTCTGTGAGTTGTTTTGTCGAGGTTGCAACACTCTTTGCTCCATGCCTGAATAGAAATAAGACCTAAAATAAAGCATTGTGTATCCCCTCCCATTACCTAGCCACTAAAGTCACTTCTTTCCAAAAATTTTCACTGTCAAATAATTTTTTTTTTTACTTAACATATAAGCACACCTTACTATATATATATTTCTATGTTGCCCTTTAAAGTGTGTGATTTATATATAACCTTAAACACAAGCTTTGTTTCCGGTTTTTGTTTCTTAAATTTATGTGAAGAAATTATGAGAAATTTTAACAGTCTTTTGCGAAGTTTATCTTGAAAATTGAGGCAAAAATTCAGGAGGAGCAGCAAAGCATGCAGGACAAGTAGATATTTGAAGCCATATTTAAATACAACAAAATTAATTTGTTGAAAGATTTTTCTAAATCATAAATGGAGTAAAACAGCAATAGTTTTTTCCCAGCTTACACCTTTAGGTTTATTTCCTGGGCCAGATGGTTATTTTCTAGCCCAAACTATAGGAACCAGCAAGCAGTGTTTGAATTTGAACATGGTTAAAGCTAATTAAAGACAATGGAAATATGTTAAAAGTTTGACACTGTACTATACAGAAATGATTGATATTCATCATAATATTTGAAGAATAATTTCTAAATCATTATTTATGCTGTTTTCTTTATGATTCACTCCAGACCACTTAGAGACGTTAAAATACATTTATTTTTATGTCTTGGACTCCAGACTAGAGATTGTTGTTGAATTTAATTGCATTATTAAATTAAACATTGTTTTTTTTTATTATTATTATGAAAATTTCAAATGGTAATTTTTGCAAAAATTTATAGCGTTTGATGGAACATTTTGAAGAAAATGTTTAATGGTATTTATCTGACTGGTCCATTTCAATGTTGGTCAATGTCTTTTAAGTTCTTAACTTCTTTAAAAACAATTTTTTTATATCTCATAAAAGCCATTTATAATAGTGAAAACAAAAAAGTGAAAACATTATTTTTTTTTGGATGGTAAGGAAATTTGCCTCAGACCACAGGATTTTTATGCATCCAAGACCGAGGACTGACTTTTGCACATACTGCTCGAGCTCGACACCCCAAAGGGCTAAGTGTCTGTGGCTTTGCTAGGCAAAGGGTCCACTCGGCCCTATACCAACTCGGCACAGGTCAACTCGGCCCTCTATTAAAAACATATATTAGGATATAGATTGTTTTGTTAATAAAAATTTTAAGGAGAAAATTACTATAAAGTTTTTCAGAAATATGATCACTTACAAACACAAATTGAAAAAGTTGGCAGTGTACCTGTACATATTGTTTGAAATTATCTTTGTTAAGAAGAGATATCAAGACAATATATGTTAAATATTGATCAATAAATAGAGTTTTTAGATTGAATTTTTGCGACAATAAATGTAATTGTTTTTAATACTGTTTGTTCTTTAATACGCCCAATGCTTTTTTAACGATATTTTTTACAAAAAATCTGGTGTAGCAAAACATGCGTATAAATTGTAAATTCGTTCTTTCTCTACAAATTCACATACAAATTGGTACTTTCATTAAATAATGAAATAAAAGGAATCATTACCAGTAATATATAATAATGGGCCGAGTTGACCTGTGCAGAGTTGGAATAGGGCCAAGCTGACTCGGGGGCCGAGTACGTTTTAGGGCCGAGCTGACCACCGATTCCTTTGCTATAGAAGAAATTCATTATAATTTCTGAGTTGACAAAGCAAAATGATTTTTGTCATTTAAAGAAAACAAAATTTGTAAATAAATATGATTATCAAATCAAGTGTATACCAAAATGTCTGATGTAACTAATTAAGCCATGATGTGAAAAATAACTTTTTCATTTATACATTTAGAGCTGGTTACAGAAAAAATCTCCATCTGTGGTTTCTATCAATTTTCCTTCGTTTTTATCCATGGCCGGATTATATCGAAATAAAATCAGATTTCTCTTTATTAAATTTCTTTCTAAGATGTTTTAAATCGAAGACAATCTTTAATAAACAACGTAAATTTTTTCAAATTGTAGCCAAAAACCTGAAGAGACATGTTTTCGCGACTTTGAACTTAGATATCTTGCAATTTAAAAGCTTGCTCTCAAGTTTCTCATTGTAAACATGAAATATAATAAATAATATAAAATCTAAAACCTCACCAATATATTTGTATGGATAAGTTATTGGTTTTCGAAGATTTTTTTTCTGCCTCTTTAGTTTTCAAATGTTTTCTTTCAGCTGTTTAAAATTTTGTAACGGATAAAATGATTGGACAAAAAATTGGCGGGAGATAATTTTATGTTAAATCCTGTCACGTCCGTTTACAACCGTACATATCTGAAAGGCGGTTAAGGTTTTGTATACAATTAATTAAGACTGTAAGACACGAAAAACATCAGAATATATTTGAAAAAAAAACGTCAATGAAAACTTTTAAATGCCAATATATGCAGATTCTATCAGGGGCGTATATCTATATATAGTGGACTAAACATTGTGATCCTGTCTTGGAAGACGCACGTCCCAGATTCTATCTTGGACAAAAATAACCTCGCGCATGAGTTAACTAGCTAGTATGTTTATATAATTCATATGAATATAAAATAAATAATTCATAAGACAGGCTATCAGTGCAAACATTTCTTTCTTTTAATAGAATCTGTGACAAGGAAAAGAAATGCAAACCTAACTTTTTAATCAGATAATGCAAGAAAACGAAATAGCTTGCAAGTGAAGTCCGCTCTTATACTAACAACTTTCAAGGTTTTACAAAGTGTTTGATAATATGGCTCATATACTGAAAGAGATCCGAAATTATATGTCAAGTTTATATTTTCCCCGTAGAATGGTGCATATGTCAAAGAAATCGGTACAGAAATAAAATACGGTTTTTCTTTTTCGAATCGAGCAATATTTGTCTTGGAATTAATGCCGAAAATGACGTCTATGTCACGTTGTATTGCTACTCTTACTGTGATAGTTATATATATATATTTCTAAGTAAAGGTGTCTTAATAAAATTGCATTTACATAATGTGAATGTATGAATATAAGATATTAATCTTTCGAGCATGAATATACATATATCGTTCATTATCAATCTTTGATTTGCACATTATAAAAAGCACACAAATCATGCCAGTGGGTCTTAAAGATACACATTGACATTAGAAATACAACTTTCAAAATAGTGGTGGTGGTGTTTGAAGTTTACAGTACGGATCACAACAGCGAGCCACATTTAATTCACCAGAGCAAAGTTCACCTGAGAAATCTGTTAAGTAGTTAACCAGTACCAGAGGCAAAGAACTGAGCAGGTTAACTATAGTAACTGTATATGCGACAGCAGTAGTAACCGGATGGCGCTTCTTTCAAAATACTGGTTCAAAATAAATTTATTTGTATATGTTTGAACTAAAAAGCCTGATTTGATATCAACCGAAATAAATAAATAAATAAATAAATAAATAAATAAATAAATAAATAAATAAATAAATAAATAAATACTTGGAAGTTATACACTTTAGATAGAACTTTTGAATTAAAAATAGTGAAAGACTTTGAATTCCTTTTAACTTTTGTTAGGACTAGATCTTAAAACATAAGACCTTTGTTACAAATTTAATAAGTTTAAACATATTTATTTAAGCTGGATTACAACATATACTAATCACTTTTGAGCCACTTTGGAACCAACCGGTTATTTGTGCCATCAACATGGTCCTGACCCAAGTAGGGCTCAAACCCATGATCCCTGATTTGAGAGGCAGACACCTTATCCACTAGCCCCCCCCCCCATTACATATTTCTGATTGAATGAGTATTCACTTAATTCTCTAGCTGTCATTTATTATCCATTCATTTATGTTATAGATTTATTATAACTTGTTTAAATATTAGATATAATAATGCACACGATTGACACAGCTATTATAATACGTTTGGTACAGACTTTAGCCTAAAGTTGTATAACTTGTGAAACGGAAGTTTTCATTGGTTTATTATTCAATTACTAACCAGTCGGAACATTTCGGCTAATATCGGCACGGACCGGTTAATATGGCATTTAAAGAACATCATTATACAAAATACAATATAGAATATACAAGAAAAGCATTGATGCAAAGCATCAAAGGGCGTCCAAGCAAGAAATGCAGAAAGTGAAGATGAACTAGTAGACATATGATGACAAGATATTCTTATAAACTTTTCAATGGTTAATTTGTTTTTACCAGAATGAACGGACGAAAGACATTGTTCATTATGAACTTTGATTGGCATGCTAGAGATTAGAATATTACTTGTTATTTCTTTATGATCGTGATTATAAATAGCAAAGGATATACATGTATACCATCATTTATAATCCATATGTGTAACGCATGATCAACACCACACTTGTGGAATTGTCTCTTATTATGTTATCGCTATTAGCGAAGACCCCCTCTTAAGGTATCTGTTCGCACTTAGTAAAAATATGACACTGGTTATATTACCATGTTCATTATGTTGAGCATAATTGTTTATTATACAATAATTGTAATATCTATTTTAATATGAAAATACAGATTTTATGAATATTGTTTTCCTCTCTATTTTTGTGTTTTATGTTCTATTTTAATACTGAGTTTTTACGTTTACTACTCTTTTTTTTATCAAAATTGTAAAATAAATTTTAAGAATTCAATTGTCATATTGACCGACGATTATAAGGCAAAACTTAACTTAATCTTTCAATATATAATATTGTTTATTCTTAAACAATGTACATGTACATTTGTATTTTTCTTTATCAGTTTTTAAATTATCAATCAATTGAATAATTCATAAAATCTAATTTGTAACTTTGAATAATTCCTCGGCATCTTTACTAAACACGAATAACAAATTAAATAAAATGCTTCAAAGTTGATACTGTCATATCAATACCATAAAAATGTACCTTTTTCTCAATTATTGCACATATTTATTGTTTTTATCTCATATAGATAAAATGAAACATGCTATTGTTGTTGGTTTTTTTTTTCGAATTGTATGTTTATGTATAATAGTAATCAATAAATTTGAGAGTTGATCTGTGTTTATTAATTATTGTAACCAAACTAAGTGACAAACATTCATTTTAGAAAAAAAGCTTATTTATCTGTAAAATATTTGTTATGTTCTGTAACGATATCAAACATCTACTCGAAAACCGGGAGAGACCGGACAATAAACGTGTGATACTATTCGCCGGTCACTAGTAAATCCCGGTCAAAATAGACCGGGAGAGACCGGGAATTACCGATAGCAGTACATCCCTCTATAAATAGATTTTCGGAATGTTTAGGTCATCAACTCATCATTCTATTTTAACATACCATAATAACCCACTGTGTACTACAAAATGATAAATAAAAAACCGAAGAGACGGAAAAGGTTATTTCATGCATTGCGAAATTCTCCAGTTCGCTATTCATTGTACATATCGAGACATTTTTTTTAATCAAGCACCCTCATACCGATCGGAATGATCGGCTTTTATTATGACCGACTAAAAGGCTCGAGAAGTTGCTGTCGCCCATTCACAAAATCTGATTTCATTCCATAAGGGCGCCGCGCTTCGGCGCGGACGCCAATCAACTCAAGTTGCTAATTATTAATAATTTTGACTACCACAATTTAATTTGGTAATATGCTTGTTTTAAGCCATTGATTTAAATTTTACTGTCCATGCAAATAATTCGATCATCAAAAAACCTAATATATTTTGTTTAATAATTTACATAACTCTTCGAAAAGATAGCCTTTCATGTGAGCAAATTAAAGCAGCACGCCTCCAGATTCATGCTAATTTTCATGAAAATTTTGAAAATGTTTTTAAACGTATCATTAAGTGAAATAACCAAAAGGAAGCAATTTACACATTATCATGCAATGGCACTTACAACCCACGTAAATTTCGAAAAAGAGGACAAAATATGCAAAAATAGCCCTTACTGCGTTAGTAACGCAGTAGAAATATAGTTATAAATACTGAAAAAATCAGTCATTAATCGTACATAACATGTCAATTATTACGTGAATCTTGAATATATTTACTTTTCCAAAAATCTAAGTACATTTTCTCAAGTTTGATTATATCGAAATATTTTCGCTCATCTGGAGGCATGCAGCTTTAACACTATGTGTCGATTGTATATTAACAAAAGAATAAAGTATTAATAATTCTTTATAAGCCTACTTAATAATTATTTCGAGCGCAAATTATTATAAAAAATGGTGGCTGATTTGTGCCATGATGTATTTTTGCTCCGCTTTGTCAAGTGATCACTTTGTCGTATTTTCTTGTTTTCGCTTGTCGCAACAATAAAGTGGTAACTTTTTTACCTGGCGCTCCGCGGAACAAAATACGTCAAGGTGGATTCGTCTGGCGCCCCGCCCACGGAGCATAAGGCGAAAACACGAACATACGATAAAGTTATCACTTTGTCATATTTTCGTGTTTTTTTCTCTCTTAAATTGTGACCCGCCGAGCAAAAATGCGACATGGCACAAATCAGCCACGATAAAAAATAATAGACTACTGGATTCCGTCCCTCTGCTGGACAGGACTATGCACCTGATGTTTTTTTTTTCCTTTTTCACATTTCATATAGCTTTTACTTGGTTATAAAATGTTTTTGTAACATTAGAAATGTTTAGATATGCTTGTAGAATATTCACAACATTGATGGTAGTTTTTTTGTACTCTTTTCATCTTGTTCGTTACTCTTAATTATACTTAGTCACCTAAGGCATATTGTATTCTTCCGTTTTAAATTTCCCTATCGAGTGCGTGTGCATGGGTTTTAAGGCCCTCGTGGGGTATAATCAATTTACAGACCACGGGTAAGAAGCTGTTACACGAAGGATGGAGTTCTTATGATAACTTGCCCGAAGTTCTTATAAAGTTTTCCGACGAGGTCCGTAACGTTTTCCAGGAACTCCGTGACAGTTATCATAAGAACTCCTGACAAGTTATCATTAGAACTCCATCCTTCATGTAACAGTTCCTCCCACGTGCACACGAAAATTTCGGAAAGCGAACACAAAGAACATATATTTAGATATACAATTTATTTAACGAATCAAGTACATGTACACGAAAATAAATTACTTCTACCAAGATTTGCTTGTTAGCCATACTACAAAATGTCTGATTTTTGTCCGGTAGATGGTAGCGTCGACACGTCGTGACGAAAACTGTGACGGCGTTACCAAATGACGTCAAGTTATCAATTAAATTACTTCTCTGTTGAATATAGTTCATGACATTTCTGAATATCCCTACAATATTTCTAGGAGCATTTTAGAGTGGAAAAAGACATTTTTCATATAATATTGCAAGGTTTTCATTTAAATATTCCGTCATTATAAATAAATCACTAAAGACAAATCGTTTTCGTCCAACAAACTAGGTCTTTAAGACTGAAATATAAGAAGTAAGAAAGGACTCTTTTGTGAAATTGTGCAGCGTAAAGTTCGTGTAAGTCGTGCCTAAAATATTTGGGATTGCAGTGTCGCGGCATACGATATAAGCACCAACCTTTCTAGAAACACTATTACCGTCTGCTTTTAACGAGAAAGTACACACAACAGTTATCAAATATATAGAACGCAATAGTAAACTGCATTTTGCGTCTTGGAATTCTAAAAAGGAAACAACTGCTTATAATTCTGTTCAGTTAATTTTCAAAATGTCGGCTGTTCTACATGTTTCTATTTTTCATTTTTTGTTCTTTTTTTTTTTCGGCCGAAGGCCGTCTGATTTCACCCTGATTTCCGCTAAAAATAACAGTAAAGAAATGAATATCTATAGGCAGAATTTTCATTGGTCATTTTAACACTAATAGCCTGTTCGATTGATACTTTAGAAGAGCTTCCAATATAGGTAGAGGTTTGTTCGATTGCGCGATGGCAAGAAGTGTTGGAAAAAGATATAAGTCAGAATAAATATAAAAACACAATAATGATATTTTCTAGATGTTTCTAACAGCTTTTCAATAAATATATAAAATAAAAGATCGCCTTTTTGATACTTTTGCGTTCGATTGGGTTTCTCATCTAAGCTGTTCTAGTCATTATATTCTCTTCCCGAACCAGACATAAGACGATTGAAACGAACTTTCGACTAATTTACAGTTGCAAAATTCTCCGTGGAATAAGTGTACAGTATCTATCAAATCTTTGTTTTATTATAAATTCCTATTCAAATCAAATTCCATTTTGATTAAACTCAAATAATGTAAGTAATAATGATTAAATCTAAGATGACAATTAATGGGGAAAAACGTTCCGGGTAAAATGAACTGAAATAAAACTATTGAGGACGAATAAATGTTCTGTTTGCGGTTAGCATGGTTAGTAGTAGCTTATCCTATGCAAATTAACAAGTTTGACTTCGGCCGAGTATCTTTTTAAAGATACTTCTTGTTTTTTTTCCGTAAACAATATCAAAGTTTTTCACACTTTCCACTACATCATGAATGTGTCTAAAGTCTAATTGTCGGAAAAGCAACTGTTTGTTTGTAACGAATCTGTTAAGATATCAAAATCATCCTCGGGAAACTCTTTTTTCAGCCTCCTTCTGGCATTAGCAAACCACGTGGACACCTGTGTCAAGGTCATTTTGGACAAAATGGCGAGCATGATTTTCTCCGGTTTGTTTGGATAAGGGTTCTTTTTATGCTGTAGTAGCCACAATTTCAAGGCACCCGTGTTGTCTTTTGCGACCGGCTTTCTCCTGATAATGTTCACGTGATCAGTTGCATGGTACATCCTGTAAAATGGTCATATTCATGGTTATTCATATTAATTACGGTATCGTGCTATTATATATACACTATTTGAGTATAAATCATTAAACATAAAAATGTTTTCAACATGTGTCTTTATATGAACTTTATCCTGTGCCTTTGTGGTATTTTAATTGTCGCTTAGAAAATAAAAACATTAATGTAATAATGAATAATATTATAAGATTTATTAGGCTCTTTCAAATAAAATAAATCTGTTTAAAAGACCCTATTTCTAATGGCTGCTGGCGGCGACTGGCCAATATTTCCACTGATATTTCAGTCAGTACATATTTTAATTTTTTTTTCGTATTAAAATAAATGAATGGTAATCATGGACAAGGCCATTTAAGATATTTAGCGTGGCAAGCGTTAACATTTATTTAGACATTTGAGCCGTGTCATGACAAAACCAACATAATGGGTTTGCGACCAGCATGGATCCAAACCAGCCTGCGCATCCGCGCAGTCTGATCAGGATCCATGCTGTTCGCTATCAGTTTCTCTACTTGTAGTAGGATTTGTAAGCGAACAGCATGGATGCGCAGGCTGGTCTGGATCCATGCTGGTCGCAAACCCATTATGTTGGTTTTGTCATGACGCGGCTCATTTTATCTTTATAGCATGATAATTATTTAAAAATCTTTTGTTATTTTGTTAGGCATCGTAGTAACTTGAGATATTTCAACTCTTTTTCTTTAATAAATAATATATAAATATGTGAAAAGGTAGCAACATTCTTACAGCGATGGTTTGTAAGGCGAATGTGACGTCATGGCGTTGTTTTGAATATACCAAAAGGGAAGACTGCTCTCCACAACAGCCCCGAGTCTGTTATACTCCTGTGTGTAAATCATAGAGGGTTAATATGGTAGGTATATATTTATTCATTTGGTTATTTTATAAATAATTTTATAGAAAAAATAACAACAAACAACAACAACAACAAAATACAACACACACAACATCTGAGACTTTGAAAGGAAAAGTAAAGCAACTGCCTTTGATATCAGACGATTATATGTCCAGAACAATGAACGAAAGCAAGTTTTCCGGAAGGGCGTCCGGAATTTTGGCGTGGTAATTTTGTTTACAAATTCGTCAGGATGGAAGAAGTTCCAAACACACAAAGAAATATTCTGAATTCTGCAGGATAAATATGGGATTGATTAATCCCGCAAATACATGAAAATAAAACTGAATTTTTTATACGGAAATATACCAAACATGGGATTGATTTATCCTCCAAAAATATGAAAAAGTGACTGATTTATCGAACCGTGGGAATGATTAAACATCGCAAAAATATGAAAACTGGACTTGATTAATCTTGTAAATATAATTATGAGACAAATTGGAATTGATTAATCCTGCAAATATATGAAAAATGGAATTGATTAATCCTGCAAATATATGAAAAATGGAATTGATTAATCCTGCAAATATATGAAAAAATTGGAATTGATTAATCCTGCAAATATATTAAAAATGGAATTGAGTTATCCTGCAAGTATATGAAGAACAGACAGATATAAAGTTAGAAATATGATACAGTAAAATGCATCGTTGCAGGTTAAATTTTTGTTTGTATGTTATTTATTTTACTCGTTATTGTTTCTCTTTCCATTAAAATAAACTAAATAATTATAGGATACCATACCAGTAACAAAACTAACATTTTTAGGAAAATATAGATTAAGAAAATGATCACATTAAAGCAAAATTTGCGGCTCTCTTGATTTTATGGAAGTCTTTTTCAAAACATAAATTTGACAAAGATAATTTATTTTGTAAAATCTGTACAAAGGCCGTTTTAGAAATAGTAGCTTTTCCCATACGTTGGTATGATATATACATATATACGTACCCTCATTTTATTAAAAAGCTCAACTGAGATTAAAAAGCTTAAAGGCAAATTATGCCTCAGACTAGAAAGGCAAACATGAATTTTATATAACATTTAAATGATGCTTAACACCTTCAGAAATGAGCACTGCGTGAATGTGAAATTAATTATTTGTCATAAAAAAACAAAATGTAAACAAAGTACAAAATACTAAATCACTATTATATATACTAGTATATAACTCTTCTAATTGCCAAAAAAGCAACAGTAGCAAAAGATGGTTAAAATAAGTAACCGGTGAGTAACCTTTTAGAAACATTAACAGGACATTATAAAATAAAATCTTTTGAGAATAAAAATTGAAGCATGTCTGGGGTTAAATGGACACTAGGAAAACGTAGGAAAATGATGATAAAGAAGTATACTTGAAAATCGATATTCACCGCATTTTTAGCCCAATTTGATTGGAAAGCGTTTTCGAAAACTTCTTTTTTTATGTCATATGTAATAAAAAATATCACTCTTTATACTATCATACTTATTTAAAGATTAGTCTTATGCAGTCACATATATAAAATACAATAAAAATGTAGACAAACGATTTAAACTTTTCAAATGAAATAATCGTATTTTTGAGATTGTGTTGTACATGTAATTTCGTCCAAATTCTTATAAAATGGTAAAAAATTAGACAGAAACAAGTCATTTAGGCATATGTGCGCCGTCACGTTATAGTGCTATTTTAAAAGTGTATAAAGCTATATGACTGTTGTCTAACATGTCTAAGGGTTGTAAAATTAATTTTCATATTGTGATTGAAATGAATGAAAGAAATGTAAATATATTTTATTCAAAGCGAGTTGGTGGGCATGCGTGGAACAACCGCCAGCCCTGCTAAAAATAGCAATATAATATTTTGTTCCGGAACATTTTATTATGTTTTCGTACAACATTCATGTTTACTAAATAACATAGATATTCTATTTCATAAATCTTTTTAAGAAATGATCCTGTTTATGAAAACAACTTAACTTTACTGTTTTTAAATATTTACAAATATTTCATCAGATACACACAAAGCACGCTTTGCAACTTATTACTCTAAAATTACCAATTTTTATTACCATAAAGCATACTGAGCATTTTCCTTGAAAGGTGTATCATTTTAATTGAAAAGTGATATAAATAAACTTATTTTCTTACCGTTTTAGAAGTGCACGATCCTTGGAAAATAGTTTCTAGATTCAAATCACCAAACGGTATAGAACAATCTCTCGCATGGTGGCTAGGTGATATTTCTTTTTCCATATTTTAAATAATACTATAAATCTTGATAATGAATAATTACTGTTCGCTAAAAGATCTTGAATTGTTTTGGTTAGACACTGCGAGGAAACATTGGTTTTAAACAACCGCCAGAATAACTCGCTGTCTTTTATTTTCAATTATCTAATGAGCGTCCGATTGAAAGTGATGTCACAAGTACAATGCCATCTTTTATTTCAATTATCTAATGAGCGTCTGCTTGAAAGTGATGTCACACGGAAGATGACGGATGAACACTCCATGTAGCGAAAGTGATTACTTGTGAACACACCGCATAGTTTTCAAAGATCGGAGCTCTGTGTGGGACGGCAACCAATGTTTATTTTATGGAAATTTCACAGCGGTGAATCCGTTTTAAAATATGGCGAAATGAACTTAATGCCACATTTCTCACTACGCTAACGAACAATCATACTCGGATGGGGTTTTCTTGTATGAATCAAGATCAAACTGTGCTTTTATTTTTCAATTTGAAAATTACATAAATTGAGGATACCCATTCTGGTGAACGGTATGTCAGTTTTTCTCCGTATGGTATCAGTTCTATAATTAATTAGCGTGAATATCAGAGTGCTATTTTTCAGCCATATTTTATATTGTATTTCAATTCTGCATTTTATTGTAATATTTGTTTTGGCAAAAAATTATTTTTCTAAAAAAATATTTTGACTCGTTTTATGTTAATATGATTTCCACCTACCAAAATTATGACATTTTGTCAAAAAATTAATACTTAAAAGCACGTAGAAGATCTGATATGGAAGTTTGGAAAAACAAAAAAAGAGTCTTATTGGAGTACAATATTGAAATAAAATTGGTATTTTGGACTGGCAAAATAATCATGAAGCTACTTTGGTAAGTTTGGGTCCAATAATGATTTATTTTGGGTGATCACATGATGTAAGCGCTGGAAGCTCATTGGTTACATAAACAAACCGTTGTACGCCATGTTTATTACAAGCAACCTCACTACATACGTTTCTTAGGAATCTGTACATGTATACTTTTGCAAAACAAGAAGCAGACATGTTTATCAATTCACTATGGACATTCCTGAAAGTATTTTATGAATGTGGTGGTGTTGGATATTTTTAATAGGAAAATAAAAATACTGACCAAAACATATCAAAGTGAGCTATAATAGTATTTTTAGGCTTAATGGGCCTTTAATAACAGGACTCAAAACGTGCAAAATATACTTTGATCAATGCAGCTTCACAGATGAAGCTGGACTATATATTATATAAAATATAATAAAAAATATTTTATATTTATAGTCAATAAGTGCATTTAGTTGCTTGCACAAGCGATATGTCACTCTATTTTGTTGCATAGTACATGATTACAAACATATTTTTTTTATAAATGAAAACCAACTTTTTTTTTATTGAAACTTATTAAAAGATAAATTAATACATGAGGTTTTCGCCCTTTTGAACGTCGTGATATATGTATTTAATAGGTATGAGAAAATTTCAGGGTTGTTGGACTATCAATAACATCGTACTTTTGCAATGTTTAATTATAAAAATCGGTGTTTTACGAATTTGCCAGATTCTAACAGAAATGCTTACACCGAAACTATTCGAAAACCCGCAAATTATTTTCAATATTTTGTGTTAAATAAACGCAGTCAGGGCCTCCAATAAGTAATTCCTGTCGGAGACAACCGAGCGGTTTATCCAATCATTATAGCCTATACAGCGGCGTTTTAGGATCTATAAATAAACATTTGTGGCGGGATCGATAAGAGTGTGTACTGTTGTACTTATAAATAGTAACATGTTGGAAAAACCCTGAATCAAATTTAAGTTTTCATTGTTTTAAAAGGAATAAGTCGGCAAAATGGCAAATGATCATAAACTATTGTCAAGATGCGTAGCCAAACTGGACAGTATGTCACATGGATTAACAGAGTGTCGCCCGAAAACCTTAGAAAAGTTGAAAAATACACTCAAAAAGGAATCAGAGGTCATTTTTGTGAACCAGATTCTGATTTATTTACTAACCACGGATAGTGCAGTTCCGTTAAAGAACGAGGAAGTGGTTCATAAAACAGATTCCGATCTGGACATCGCAATTGCCGAAGCGGCGTTTAAACGAGCGCAGGATGAAGGGCGACATTTCTTTGTGTTGCCTTGTGATTCGGATTTGCACATTGAAATCGAAAGTAAAGTGCACGTAAGTAAATCTTTTATATAATTATATAGCTACCTTGTCATGATATTCAAAGAAACAAACATGTCGATGTTAAGGCCTAAGTAAGTTTTGACCATTGTTTAAAATTATAGCATTCCAAGTAATGGAAGTAAAAATTTCTAATTGTGTCTACTTTCGATTTTAGCATTATACATGTGTGCCATATTAGTATATGTAGATCTATTTACTTAATAGTTACACTCAAACTTTTATGTCTGAGGTCAGCCAGTACGTTAGATTTAACCTGTTAGAAAACTTTATTCATTCAGAATACATGCACATTGATTTTGTTGCAGATAAAGGAAACCATTCCATAAAGAAAATATACAATAATTTATTTTACACTTTAGGACTGGTATTCACAGAAACTTCGTATGATAGACACAGAGAACCCAGCTTTTGCAATTGCATCAGCATGCAGCGTTGACTCCCATTTAGATGTCGACAAAATCACGAGGCATCTCGAGCACCTTGACATAATGCACCAGTGGCTGGAATTGGTCAGTTACAAATTTCCGGACACTGTTTCTCTGAATGAACTTTCAAACGCGTGGGAGAAATGGATAGAAGAGATTAAAGCTAATCTTGGAAAGGCATCAGCCTGTACATATCATTTGTTTTCTTCGTTTATTAAACAGGCCAATGATTCTATTCAGAACGCCAGAATTGAAGCAATAGGAGCGTACTGTGAGGACATGTATATAAACAAATATCCAGCATATAAATCGTATCCGAAGAATCAACCGAAAATTGAGAAAATGGAAACTAGCAACGATTGTGGAAATCAAAATCATCAAGAAGAACCAGCCGACGTCGAAGAAAGAAAACAAAGTTTGTTGAATTCGCCGCTCTTTTTATGGCCTGTAGGAATCGAGCCGGAAGTTGTGCATGTTATTCTTAAGTTGTGGGCAACGGAAAAGAAACCGGAAACCTTGCATCAGTTTAAAACTTTTGTTAAAAGTGTTGGTCACATTACGTATGTTGCGTCGCCCAGGTATGTTCTAATGTCAAAGATATCTAAGGAAAACAAAATCGATGAAGGAGATGAGATAACTCTGAATGTTCGACTGGGGTCTTCTATCTCTGTGAAGACGTTCCAGCTAAATAATACAAGCGCTCTAGGGTCCGTTTTGATATATCCTGGAAAACGTAAACCAGCCAAGGGAAAATCATTCCAAAGAATTCGAAGTATGTTTGACAGGATGGATACGTCTTCGGATACTTCCCGAGAAACGCTGCGTGGATTTCAGGAATATATTTTAAAGACCGTAAAGCAATTATCACAACGCACCGGGGCAATTATGTTGTTTGACGATGCAGAAGCTAATGAACGATGTAGAGACAATCTACGTAAATATTTGAGTTCACTTACCGAGTGTAACGGTGTGAGCGGAAATGAATTCTCTAACGAAATGATGAAGTTGGCTTGCGAACAAACCACAGTTCCTATAGAAAACTTGATCAATCTTTTACTGAAGGCAGGCTACCTGCAGATAAACGAGGTGGACCAGTCGGTGACATACACGCCTGGTTACAGAAGAAACAAATTCATCGACAAAGCCGGTGCGGAGGCTACTTTTCTGAGGGGATGGGAAGCATTCTATAAGCAGACGGAAGAACCGTCAGACATAGAAATGGGCAGCTACACAAGGAAGCGAAAATTCCAAATGCCACTATTCACCCTAAAAAGACAGAGGTTGATAGACATTTAGAACTTAAGTTAAAGGTCTATTATGCCTAGGAAAGCTTATACATTTGTATTTTCTTATTATTGATGTCATGTTACAATTTCAAAAAAGTTACTCATTTGCCATCCAGCTGTTAGTCTTATTCCTCTGTTGCTTTTCGGTAATTATCTTGCTTTTCGGTAATTAGTACAGTTATAATGATTTTAAGTTTTTTTGATACCACTTGCTTATTTTGCTGCTTATACTACAACTAATTTTACGTTCAACGCTCCTATCAACAGGTGATAAGCATTTAATTAACATGCTCTAAATATCAAACCCATGTTTGCTCTTTCTAAATAAGGAAAAAAATGTTGTTTTTTTAGACATTATGTGCCTTTAAATATACTATAATACTTTAAACAATTCATTGATGCTGCAATTAAGTTTATTACTTTACGAGAGAGGCGAAATGGCTTGGATGATTCAGGGGTCTGTGCCTCAGTCAAAAATATCGTATAGGATTTCAACATTTTCTCACATAACACAAGCTCTGGTTAGTTGCAGGTCGAGAGTTTGAGCCTCGTTGCTGTCATCACGATCGAGCTTTTCCCTGAATTTCTTGAATGAACTTGTCAAGGTTCCATTTTTGGAACTTTCCATTGTCAATTTTGGGGAATTCAAGATGAAAGTAAAAGTTGGTCAGCCAACTGTATAGAGTCTGGTCAGACGTCACGGGCATGCATACCATACTTGTGGCAAAGGCTAATCACTTTTGCACCCAACAAGACAAGGGTTGATTGAGTTTACTAGAATTTCAATTAACCTCTTTAATTATTTCTGAAAATAGCATGTTTTGCATTGTTCTTGTATGTTTTATAAATTGAATACTTTTAGAATTGCATTGAGCAGTTTTTATTTTTGTATTATTTTTAATAATTAGTGATTTATTGGATGATTTTACTGCCATATTGGTTTAAATTATGAATTCTACATGTTTATTCTGTACATTTTTTATATGATCATCATTGTAATCCCCTTTAATTACATTCAATTTTATTCCCAACTTTTTTCCGAATTTTAATTTCAGATATCATTTTTTTCCAAATTGATACTGAAATTCTCTGAATTTCTGAGAGTATGTAGAAAAACAGTTGTACCATTTTCTGTAAATAAAAGTCTATGTGATTTAATTTGAGCTATGAATGAGATATGTTTGCTATAAATACACAGTATTATCTTTACAATTTGTTTAAAACTCTTTCCTATAGTTTCGTTATTCTTTTTACATTTTTAGCTCATATTAGCATAAAGCTATTGTGATACCCAAATGCCTAGCGTCCGTCGTAATCATCTTAAAGCAGCACGCCTATTAATTTTAAAAATGTATTTGAATGTGTAATATTGTGAAGTTTCCTAAAGGAAGCAATTTACACATTATCAATGGCACTTACAAACCACGTAAATTATCAAAAAGTGGTTAAAATATGCGTTAGTAACGCAGTAGAAATAAAGTTGTAAATACTGAAAATTATGTCATTAATCGCACATAATATGTAAAATATTACTTGCATCTTGAAACGTTTTATTTTTGCTTACATCTTAGTACATTTGTCTGAAGTTTGATTTTATTGAAATATTTTGATACATCTGGAGGCATGTAGCTTTAACAATTTTACTTTCTTATACTGCTTGGCCAATGATTTTGTAAGTTTACAGGAATGATCCTTAGCGTTCCTCTATATTAAACAGCTTGTGAGTTCGTTCGGCTGAACAAGATGGTCGTCTTAGTCCAAAGTAGAAAAAACACTTTAAACGACACATCGTCCTTTACCACTCTGTAGGTTTTGATGAACATGTTCAGCAGTTATAATTTGGTAGTTTTAAACAAAAAAAAATGCTTAAATGGTTCCGGTCTGTTGAACAAGGAATACCATGGTTGTCTATATCAACCATAGCCTCTCGGCTCTGGACCAATCTGACCTCTTATTATTAATACTTAAACACATAGTTCTTTGAATCAATTTGAGACTATTGACCGCCTTATTAACTAACAGTAGTTTTATCTGCAATTTCAAGGTCATGTAAATCATCGAACAAAAATTATTTGCGCATGCGCTCTTGCAAAAATAGTCCATCACTGCGTTCCATACTTGGCCTTTAACCTGAACATGTTCAATGATCATTTGAAAAAGTTCTACTCATGTTATGACCATGTTTCCTCATATCACAGTACTGATTCTTTTCAGGAAGCTGACTCGAAAGTGTTCAGTGCCAGTTATAAGAATTTGCTTAAACATGATTAACTAATTGACTTATATAAGGGGAAAAAACCAAGATCAAGTGGTGTCCGTTTTGTAAGTAGTGTATGGCATGAAACGTCCGTTGTGTGAGTAATGTAAGAAAAGAGTATTTGTTGTGTGAGTGAAACTCAGCAAGCAGTATTTTCTGTGTGAGTGCTGCGGAGCAGGCAGTGTTTGTTGTGTGAGTAGGTTCAGCAAACAGTTGTTTTTGTTTTGGTGAGTGATGCTTAGCAGGCAGTGTCCGTGGTGTAAGTTGTACACAACATCAATTGTTCGTTATGTTAGTGGTGCTCAGCAAGCAGTGTTTTCTGCGTAAGTAGTGCACAGCATGAGGTGTCCGTTGTGTGAGTAGTACTCAGAAATCAGTGTTTGCCGTGTGAGTGCTGTTCAGCAGGCAGTGTTTGTTGTTTAAGTAGTGCACAGCATGAAGTGTCCGTTATATGAGTAGCGTTTACTGTGTAAGTGCTGCTGAGTGCTGCTAAGCAGCAGGCAGTGTTCGTTGTGAAAGTTGTGCACAGCATGAAGTGTCCCCTGTGTGAGTAGTCTCATCAAGCAGTGTTTGCTGTATGAGTGGTTCTCATTAAGCAGTGTTTTCCGTGTGAGTGTCGCTCAGCAGGCAGTGTCTGTTGTTAAGTAGTGCACAGCATGACGTGTTTGTTATGTGAGAAGTGCTCAGCAGGCACTGTCCGTTGTGTAGTTGGGGTTCAGCAGGCAGTGTTTGTTGTGTAGGTGGGGTTCAGCAAGCATTGTTTCCTGTTTGCGTGTTGCTCAGTAGGCAATGTTTGTTGTGCGAGTGATGGTCAGTAGGCAGTGTCCGCTGTGTGATTAGAACTAAGCAGACAGAGTGTGAAGAATTAAATAAATAATGCACGCATTCAGTTATCTTTTCCAATTTTCCAACACATCTGTATTAATTTCATCACAGACAATTAGCTCGTACATGCCACACAATCGCATCAGTTATTGATTTTCAACATATCTGCCATTCCAATATGGCTGGTTCAGTTGAAGTAAAATATCTATTCTCGTACAAGCTTTATATGCACTAGAATATTCATTATCAGTAGATTTAACGAAAACTTTTATTTAACAATGACCTAATTAAGCACATGATAAAGGAAGTAAGAACATTCGTTTATATGCATACCATCCGAGGTAAACACACTGAATTGTGGTGTACAATAATGTTGAAATAATCGCATAAATAGAATACAGCATTTTTCTTGCAGTTGAGTTTTATTTCGCGAGGAATAATGTGTTTGGTATTCGCAGCGTTTGTTTTGAGTATTACTGCATTATGGGTTTACGTTTTACGTGACGCGAGTTTTTCGTTTTTGGCCTTGGCCATGTTTTTCCCAGGTGCGACATCACTGATTTGGGTAGCAGCAAATGGAGAATTTGTGTCTTTTATGAACAAACTGTCGGGTGCAAACGAGGTAAGTTAAAACTTGTTATAAAATTTATCCAATGTAATTATTTATTTCATAAATGCAATATGTAAACTTTACCTGTCATTGATAGTTAGTAAGGGCATGATCGTTACATTAGGAAACAACATCTGAAACAAAAATTGAATGGGCACAAATGTGTCCTATTTACCCTTTATGCAACAAGAAATTATGCTACCAATTAATTGTAATTGAATAAAATAAATCAGCTATAAATCGAAATTTCTACAACAAATTTTCATTTATTTTGGTATAACGAATGTTTTGCTATTAAATAATATTTAACATATTATGTAAGTAAATAAAGTAGTCGGGTACAAACATTTTGTGGTTAAATTATAAACATTTCTACATTTTAAGTGTTTTAGTGTTGTGGTTTAATTATATGCAGGTAGAAATGTTTTTTTTTGTTTTCAGATAATTCAAATGTATTCGTTGTATACATTTTAGCCATTTCGGTACAAATTTTTTGTTATTGAATTATAAATATATTAGCTTGCCCGGTACAAATACTTTTGTTGTTGCGCTTTCTTGTTAAGTCCTTAACAAAAGTATTTTGTTTTATTACAACTTATCTATTCTTAAACTTGCTGAATTTAAAGGCACAGAAACTAATTTATTTACTGAATTAGAAAAGGCAAACGTGATAACAATGTTTAAGTAATGGTTTTAAAGTATGTTAGATGCTTATTACTTGAAAAAAAAATGCAATGAAAAATGATGCTGGTAAAATACCAATGAGTATCCTCTTTGGAAACCATTACAAGATCGACACCAAGAAATACATTAGGCATTTCTGGGGCAGAATGGGCCTTTACATTATATTACATTTTTCAGCCGGTTAGGTGCATCGTTTTCAGCATTTTGGCGGTTGCTATCGTTTATTGCATCGTAGAAGCATGTGTGCTTATAGCTGTTAACATGGGATGGGCAAAACCAGGTGAGTATTTACTTAATACAGACTCCATGCAAAGTCTTGGGCATTTTGAATGCAATGACTATTTTCTATTTTCTTAAAAAAAACAAAGAAATTTCGTACTTGATTACGAAAAAGACTGCAAAAGAATGAGGCAAGCCAATAATTGTTTTATAACACTAATTCAAGTAAGTTATTATGTCATAATACCCACTTGAATGTTTTGTTTTATTTCATTATGATGTACCGTCACGTTTATAGTAACACGTGTCTAATAATTCATTAAAACCAACATTTATTAACCTTATAACTTTTGCATCTTAGTAAATATATTATACGGATTTGGCTGGCTTTAAATTTTGAATTGTGAAGTTTTAACAGTATTTTATTCACATAATAATTACAAATAATAAATAATGCAGATTGAATAAGAAGCTTTAATTAAAAGCTGAAAGGAACTCCATTTAGGTCTAAAAGCCTAAAACAAATTGTTTATTTCCTACATAAAACAGCTGGTGCATTGAAAACGGAAAGGTATTTAAAAGATGATTAAGAATATACATAGATGATAAAATTGATAATCTATTCTTAGCCCGAATTAATTAAAAAGCGTTGCAATGTTTTTCAATTTTGGATAATTTTTTCAAGAAAACAATAATCATTCTGGAATAACGGAGTGAGCTAATGATCCAAAAATTTGCATACAGGTAATTGGTTTGGCCTACATCAAATGGAACTATTATCTCAATACATTATTTCCAGTCCCGCCATTTCTAAAAATCTCAGTGAAGTCCCTTTAAAAATGTCGTAAATATAAGTATTTCAATATCAAACCCAGGTAGCCAAATCTACAAAGGCTAGTCGGACATTATGGGCCACGTGCGAAATGTCCCGAGATTTTATTTATATGTCCCACGATCGTAGGTTACGGACTACGGAGTAATAAATGTATTCAAAATCATGCGAATTAGATGGTCAGGTCGGTCAGGACTCCACAAGAGAAGTTTAACAGATGATTTTTTTGTGTGTTTTGTTTCATAGTCCTGCTTCTTGTGTTCTTTGAACAGCATTTAAAAAAACGTAAGGGTCAATCGTTCTATGTGCAATATATCAGACGTTACGGGCTTGTTATATTTAATGTTTTGCCAAAGGAGTTGATTCACCGACGATCTGATTATATTTTTTTGCATTGCAATTTTATATTTTTCACATTGGATTTTGATATTTTTCCACGGATAAATCCGTGATTTTTCACATTTTATATTTTTCATAATGCAATTTCATATTTTCACGTTACAATGATATATTTTCCGCATTGCAATTACATATGTTTCACATTGCAGTTCCATATTTTTTTCGTATTTCGTTTATATATTTCACAGTGCATTTTTATAGTTTTCACTTTACAATAATATAATTAATTTTTCGTTTATATATTTTTCACATTGCAATTTAATATTTTTCACATTTCATCTTATTATTTCTTGCATCACATGTTAAAGTGGAGATTCGTAAACACAGCATACATGAGCACAATAAAAGTAGGTTGTCCGGTTTTCTACGGGCAGCTGGTGAGGAGATTGGTTGGAGATGTTTCCTACTACCGTGTCTGCTTGACAGATTTTCTGTTCTAACTGCATTTACTATAAGGTAATGAGCGAGTGTGGCGTTCTTGTTGTTTATTATGTTAATAAATAAATAAATATATATGATTATAAAACGTGCAATATCTGCGCTTTGCTTTTTATATGCCCGAAAGAATGTCGGGCATAGAATGTCGGGCATATTATGTTATACCCCCTGGCGCCCGTCCGTTAGCAATTTGTTTCCGGATCATATTGTCCATATTTGGTACAAGACCCCTATTGATTTGATTTTGGGGTCACAAGGTCAAAGGTCAAGGTCACTAGTACCTTAAAACTGAAAACAGTTTCCAGAACATAAGTTGCATTTGGCCCACAATATTCAAACTTCATAGGATGATTGTCATATTGGGTATAAGACCCCTTTTAATTTTGGGATCACAAGACCCCAATTGATACTTTATTTAATTCCCATGCCTAACAAATACTTCATCCTTACTAAAAAACACCTTCGGGCATATTATGCTCCGCCTAGCGGTGCTTTTGTTAAATCTTTCAATACTTGCCTTATTAAAAGGAACATAAAATTGGGTCCGTTATTAAAAGATATCAATATTAAAAGTAAACAACATTTTCAATATTATAATACACAACTAGCTCGGGATACATGCTTTATAAAAAGGAACACCTTGCAGTCTGTATGCATTTGTCTCCCTTGTTTACTAAGCTTTGCACACATCTGACGGTATTCAATTATTTTAACATTACTTGTACTTACCACACGGTTCTGTTTTGTTACCTTATTCTATAAATCACATTTCTATAGACACATTAAAGCTACATGCCTCCAGATAATCCAAAATATTTCAATAACTTAAAAATATATTACTTAGACTTCAGGAATGTAAAAATGTTAAAGATTCAAGTAATAATTAACATGTTATATGTGGTTAATTTTTCCAATATTATGACTATATTTGTACTGCGTTACTAATGCAGTAAGGGCTTTTTTTGCACATTTTTACCTCATTTCAGTAATTTACGTGAATTGCAAGTGCAATTAATTAGGTGCAATTGCTTCCTTTTGGTCACTACACATTATTATACGTTTTCACATATTTCAAAATTGTTCATGAAAATTAGCATTAATCTGGAGGCTTTAAGACTGTTACTGACAAAGTATAAACATCACTTAAACATAAACTTAAATCATTTGCCCTCACCGCTATAAGTTCCAATCTCACTTGGGACAGAATTCTTTCATATGAGAAAACTATCCAGCTAGCTTTGGTGGTGGTTGTTTTCAGGTGTCAGTGACATTGAAGGATACCTGAGATCTTGCTCCACCATAAAAGCTGGAAAGACGCCATTTGACATTTTCTGTATAGGTGCGTCGTAAAACCCAACCAACCAATGAACTTGTTAATCGAACAATCACTTGGAATAAAACATATCTTTTCCTACATTTTTTTCAGTAATGCTTTTTATTCTACAGTCTTCACGGTGCATATCCATATCGGTACCCTCTTTGCGAGATCTGCTCAAACGGTACCCTCTTTGAACATGCACAGGTCATTCTCTGCTAAAAACAAACCAGCGATGGATACCAATCCAGTAAAATTTTATTGTAATAAGGAAAGGAGGTATGTCACGTAGAAAAGATGTATTCCACGGAACACTAGGACGTTTTATTTTTGTGCTGATTTGTCATGTGCCCGATTTTCATGTACTGCAACTTCACAATAAGCTACAAAAAATCGACGTGTCTTGCTTCGCCCATCAACTCGACATATTTTTCGGGCTGAAATGAACTGTGGCTTGATTATATATGCATCATACATATTTAATATGTTCATATAAATATCATCTTCGGACAAATGGCAGTATATTGTCAAAAATAAATGTAAAATTCATAAAAACACACTACTTTCGGTTTTGCAGCGGCACGGGCTACCTCTCTTCATTTGTATTTTGATATCACAGGCACCCTCTCATTATTGAACACATAGGTATTGTAACATATAGTACCCTCAAAGCACGACATATGCTTTTATTTGCGTTAATCGTTAAGTGTGTATGTAATACTTTTTACTTTAAATTTATGTAATTATTACATACTTAACAATTAACGCAAATAAAAGCATATGTCGTGCTTTGAGGGTACCTATGTGTTCAATAATAAGAGGGTGCCTGTGATATAAAAGTTCAAAGGAAGAGAGTTAGCCCGTGCCGCTGCAAAACCGAAAGTAGGGTGTTTTTATGAATTTCACATTTATTTTTGACAATATACTGCCATTTGTCCGAAGATGATATGTTTATGAACATATTAAATATGTATGATGCATATATAATCAAGTCACAGGTTCATTTCAGCCCGAAAAATACGTCGAGGTGGTGGGCGAAGCAAGACACGTCGATTTTTTGTAGCTTATTGTGAAGTTGCAGTACATGAAAATCGGGCACATGACAAATCAGCACAAAAATAAAACATCCTAGTGTTCCGTGGTATACATCTTTTCTACGTGACAATCCTCCTTTCCTTATTACAATAAAATTTTACTGGATTGGTATCCATCGCTGGTTTGTTTTTAGCAGAGAATGACCTGTGCATGTTCAGAGGGGGTACCGTTTGAGCATATTTCGCAAAGAGGGTACCGATATGGATATGCACAGTGGTCTTCTTAACAATAAATGTATCTTTACTCTTTTATTTCAGTGGTATTGTTTGGGGACTCTTCCACGTGCCTGTGATGATTTTGTTGACTTACAGACTCAAACCTTCGCGTCCATATATAACAGTGATCGTGCAGAGTGTGTCATGTTTACTCTCCGCATTTCCTCATGGGTGGCTAGCTGTGAAATCTGGGTACGTAAATGGCGATGAAATTGCTTTGAATGGAGTGAATTATTTTTTAAGTAAAATTGATTTCTTTTTAACAACGTACAACATTATATGCTTCAAAACCTTGCCGAGGTTAACCAAAATCATCCCTCCTGCTTCAGCGCTATATGACCTAAATTGTGATTGTGCTCCGTTAAACAAACCGAAGAAAACAAACAAATACAGAATTTATTTTAGAAGTATTGTGTAGGACGCTATAAGCTTATAGGCACGCTCTCGAATCCGTTCCTGGAACCAACCCGTACTGAGCAACGAGTGTAATGTTTCTTGCTCAAGGAAACAATGGCTTGCCTCTGACAGGGAGATCCATAGATTACTAGTCCGACGCATTAAACCAATCGACCATGCCGCCACACATGCCGTTTTACTGCAATGACTAGTAAGTTATACTCGTACATGCATTTTGTTGAGTCTTGATTGAACTCTTTTTTCCCTTTTTTCAGCTATTCTATGTGGGCGTGCAGTATAATGCACTGGTTCTGGAACATATACAACCCGACTGTGTTAGGCAGCATTTACACTAATACTCCCGGAAAATATACCGGACAGCAGTGGTTGATCAATGGTGAAGGGTTGACCGGATGTCTAGTTATGCTACCTGTAGCTGCTGCGGTGGTTTATGATCTCAACCATAAACTCTTTACTATGATTTAACGTGATAATTTAATGCATAATTCTTCTAGCACGCGCGTGCGTTATCATATAGCGCACGATTTGTTGTTCAGATAATCTATGTTTGCCAGGTCTTTTGGTTATATTGCACCCGAATACGTAACCCGTGTTTTATGATATGATAAAGGAATTCATAATTAACATTTTTTCTCGGATATTTACTGGTATGTATGGACTGCAGTATTTGCAAAAGGTATCGTGTTACAATAAACAGTACAATCTTTACAGAACACTATTCGGGAGACAAAAAATGGGTTACATTGTTTTGTAGTCTTACTTCGGAAAAAATACGGTTTTGCTAAGAGGTGATTGCTTTACAGAGGGACGTTCTTCAGAGGTTATATATAGTTGTACCTATTAATGGATTGTTAAATGTTAGCACAAAGTTTTGTAAATAAATTTGATAAACTGATCATAATTTCGACTCATTAGAACACAATATAAACCAGGCTTTTTCTCTATATCTGAATACTGGGATCTTTTGATTGCAGCTTATAATTATGTAGATTAAATATATTTATTGAAGCTTAATTGCGAAACAAGTTCTTGCAACTTCTATAAATCACTTTTTCGCTTCCTGGAACCAACCAGTACTGGTGTCATATGACCCGATTAGGGCTCGAACCCATGACCCCTGGGTTGAGCGGCAGACACCTTGACCACTAGGCCACTGCAACTTAGATATGCTACTTATATGTGCTTCTCCAATCCGGTTACATCTTACATAGGTGGCTGTGGACTGTCTTGCAATTTAAGGAAACATTTCAACGACGGATTCCGTCAAACTAAGCCTCGAACTATTATTAATTCCATTGTTGCCAGTAAAAGAAATATCACTTTTTAGAAGTTTTCATCATATTTCCATCAGCATAATTTTATGCGTAGTGCTCAGTAAGATGTGTTTTCTGTGTGAGTGGTGATAAGCAAGCAGTGTTTTCTGTTTGAGTGGTGCTGAGCAAGCATGGTGCGTTGTGTAAGTTGTGCTCAGCATGAAGTGTCCGTTGTGTAAGTAGTGCTTAGAATGAAGAATCCATTGTGTTAGTAGTGCTAAGAATGAAGTGTCCATTGTGTAAGTATTGCTCAGCATAAAGTGTTCTTCGTGTAAGTTGTGTTCAGCATCAAGTGTCCATTGTGTAATTAGTGCTCAGCATAAAGTGTCCATTGTGTTATTAGTGCTCAGTATGAAGTGTCCATTTTGTTATTAGTGATCAGCATGAAGTGTCCATTGTGTAAGAAGTGCTCAGCATAACGTGTCTGTTGTGTAAGAAGTGCTCAGCATGATTTGTCATTCTGTAAGAAGTGCTCAGCATAAAGTGTCCATTATGTAAGAAGTGCTCAGCATAAAGTGTTCATTGTGTAAGAAGTGCTCAGCATAAAGTGTCCATTATGTAAGTAGTGCTCAGCATGAAGTGTCCGTTGTGTAAGTAGTGCTCAGCATGAAGTGTCCGTTGTGTAAGTTGTGTTCAGCATGAAGTGTCCGTTGTGTAAGTTGTGTTCAGCATAAGGTGTCCGTTGTGCAAGTAGTGCTCAGCATGAAGTGTCTATTGTGTAAGTAGTGCTAAGAATGAAGTGTCAATTGTGTAAGAAGTGCTTAGCATGAAGTGTCCGTTGTGTAAGTAGTGATCAGCATAAAGTGTACATCGTGTAAGTAGTGCTCAGCATAAAGTTTCCGTTGTGTAAGTAGTGCTCAGCATGAAGTGTCCATTGTGTAAGTAGTGCTTAGAATGAAGTGTCCGTTGTGTAAGTAGTGCTCAGCATAAAGTGTCCATTGTGTAAGTAGTGCTCAGCATAAAGTGTACATCGTGTAAGTAGTGCTCAGCATAAAGTTTCCGTTGTGTAAGTAGTGCTCAGCATGAAGTGTCCATTGTGTAAGTAGTGCTCAGCATGAAGTGTCCATTGTGTAAGTAGTGCTTAGAATGAAGTGTCCATTGTGTAAGTAGTGCTTAGAATGAAGTGTCCGTTGTGTAAGTAGTGCTCAGCATAAAGTGTCCGTTGTATGAGTAGTGTTCAGCAAGCAGTGCTTGCTGTGTGAGTGGTGATCGGATGGAAGTATCTGCTATGTTTCGAAGAAAAAATCATATTCAAAAATCTGCTCTTTACATGTAGTTGTTTTTGGGTTTCTTTTGTGAGATGACTTTTTGGAACTGTCCAATCAGGAAACATTTTCTATCGAGACTTGAATTTTTTACTGCTTCAATTAAAGACCATGGAGAAAGATCAATGTCACATAGATATCAAAGAGTATATGTTCGCGAAAATAAGTCGGGGATATAGTCAAGCCCATATTTCAGCTGCAGTTAGAAAATTTTACTAGGGCGTCGCAAGTTCTTGCGAGTTATTCTTTGCACGCGTACGTGCGCGTGCGTGTGTGTGTATGCGTGCGTGTGTGTGTGTGTGTGTGTGCGCGCGCGCGCGCGTTTGTGTTCAAGGGTGTAGGTAAGGATTAAATGACTATCGCACGCATCTCCTTCATCAATTTTACTACATAACCTGTTCGTATCGGTATTAATTTCATCACATACATGCACTAGTAAGGTCGTACGTATAACACATCAGTTGATTTTAAAAATGTCTGCGTTTCCAATGCTTGTTCAGCTGAAGTAAAATATCTAATCTCGTACAAGCGTCTTTGTACTACAACATATTAACTATCAGTACACGAGAGGAAAACTTTTATTTAACAATGGCCTAATTAAACGTGCGAAAAAGGAAGTAATATTAAACATCCGTAAATATTTACGCATACCAACCGAGGTAAACACACTGACTTGTGGTGTACAATTATGTTGAAATAATCGCATAAATAGAATACAGCATTTTTCTTGCAATTGCGCTACATTTCGCGAGGAATAATGTGTTTGGAATTCGCAGCATTTGTTTTGAGCATTACTGCATTATGGGTTTGCATTCTACGTAACGCGAGTTTTTCGTTTCTGGCCTTGGCCATGTTTTTCCCAGGTGCGACAGCACTAATATGGGAAGCAGGAAATGGAGAATTGATGTCTTTTATGAGTAAACTGTCGGGTGCAAATGAGGTTAGTAAAAACTTCCATAAATGCAGTGATATGTGAACTTTACCTGCCGTTGATAATTAGTACCTGACTTATTTAGGGCATGATCGATATGATTGTCAGAAAACAACAACAAAAACAAAAATTGAATGAGTAGAAAATTAATGGGTCCTATGTACATTTGTATTCTTTATGCAATAAGGAATTATGCTACTACTTATTATTTTATTGAATAAATTTAGAATAATTAATCGGCTATAATTTGAAAGATTCAACAACAAATTTTCATTAATTTATATATATGGAATGTTTTGCTATTAAATATGTGAGTAAATATCAGGTAATCGGGGTACAAATATTTTGTGGTTAATTCATAAACATTTCTACATTACAGCAAATTATTTACTAATGTTTTTGTTGTTGTGTTAAACAAATAGGGTAGAAATGTATTTGTTGTTAAATTATGAACATTTCAGTCATTTCGGTACAAATATTTTAGCTTGCCTGGTACAAATGCTTTTGTTGTTTCGTTTTCTTGTTAAGGCATAAACAAAACGTTTTTTTTTGTTTTGTTAAATCTTATTTATTCTTAAAGGCATATTATGCCTCAGAAACTTTTTTTCTTCTTTAGAAAAGGCAAAGAAAGTATTATAATGTTTAAATAATGTTTAAATAATGATTTTAGAGCATGTCAGATGCTTGTTACCTAAAGAAAGTAGCGATGAATGTGAAATTGTCTGTCATTAAGGTAATAAAATTTAAACGTAAACAGAGTAGTATTTTGACTTCCATACAAATACTAAATCAGAATCGTTGTACTAATTGCCAAAAAATGGCGCAAACAATAAATACATACATTTCCGGTGCATAATAGGCCTTTAAGTGTATTTCCATTTCAGAAAGTCAAGTGCATCATTTTCAGCGCTCTGGCGGTGCTTTTAGCTGTTGTCATGGGGTGGGCAAACCAAGGTGAGAATTTATTTAATTCTGGATGACTTATAGAGCTCAATATGCTCAATATGCAGCCGTAGGCATTTTGCCGAAATGACACTTTTTTATCCAGAGATATTAGCTTTTTGCTAAGGATAACGTGTGCAAGAGATAGAAGTATTTGTTTTATGGCACTTATCTATTATACGTATACATATATACCTGACTGCCGTGTTTTATTTAAGAAATAAAATATCCCAAACAGTAGTTTTATCGCTTAATAAAATCACTGTTTGAAGTTCGGATGTAAGTAATTATATCACGAGGGCGCATCCAAGCGACAAAATCACTGATTTGGATAATATTGTTTCGATTCTAACACGATATCAACAAATAAATGCTGCCGTACCTGGTATCAAGCTAAATGCATTTAGGTACAAAAGCCTAAAACATATTTTTTTTTATTTCCTATATAGATCAGCTGGGGCACTGAAAACAGAAAGATATGCAAAAGATAATTAAGAAATGTAATGAGACTAAATAACAAATGTATTCTTAGCCCGATTTGATTAAAAAGCGTTGAACATTTGGATCATTGAAAAATTAATCTTGTAAAACGGGGTGGATCAAAAATTTTGCATACAGACCTAGCTACATCAAATGGGACAATTACCTTGAAAAATTATTTCCAGTCCCGTCATTTAAAAATGTCTTCTATCTTGTATATAGTAAGGAACCTAGGTAGCCAAATGAACAAAGCTTTATCGGACGTACGTAATTTTCATTGCTGTCCCACGACAAGTAGGCCACTAACTAACAGATCTATTTAAAATCATGCGAGTTAGTTGGTCGATCAGGTCTCCTTAAACTTTATCAGATTTTTGTTTTGTAGTTCTGCTGCATGTGTTCTTTGTACAGCATTTTAGACAATGTCAGGACTGTTCCTGAAATTACCTGTTACCTCATTGCCTGCGTTACAATACTCATATTTTGATTTCATTCATATACAATATTTTAATGAGCAAACTCATGAACAAAAATGTATTCGTAACGTGAACCCATTGTAGCGATCCTGCTCTCATTTCCAATATACATTTTGCACATGCTACATTCATATTTCATTTTGTTGCAATGCCATAGTTCCTACGACAATGTATGTTTGGATCGTATTTCTTGAAATTTCAATGTTTCATTTAGTAGTTAAAATTTTGTGACAAAAAGAAATTGAGGAGTACAGTGAGAGCATGTTGTCCTTATTCTTGCAACCTGGATACTATTTGAGCCGCGTCACGACAAAACCAACATAAACAACATCCGCGCAGTCTGATCAGAATCCATGCTGTTCGCTTACCAACCCTAGTACAAGTAGAGAAACTGATAGCGAACAGCATGAATCCTGATCAGACTGCGCGGATGCGCAGGCTGGTCTGGATCCATGCTGGTCGCAAACACATTATGTTGGTTTTGTCGTGACACGGATCATTTGTCTTATTAGCTTTATAGATGAACTTTAATAGGCATATTACATTTTGTGCACACAGAGGAGTTGTTTCATCGACCATCTGATTATATTTTACACTTTACAATTATATATTTTTCACATTTCAATTATCTTTCACATATTAATTTTATATTTTTCACATTTTTTCACGTATCATTTTTATATTTTCACATATCAATTTTACATTTTTCGCGAATCAATTTTTACATTTTTCACGTTGCAATTATATATTTTCACATTTCTTATTATAATTTCTTGCATTACATGCTATAGTGGAGATTCGTAAACAGCACAATAAAAGTAGGTTTTTCGGTTTTCTACGGGCAGCTGGTGAGGAGATTGGTTGGCGATGTTTCCTGCTACCGTGCCTGCTTGACAGATTTTCTGTTCTAACTGCATTTACTATAAGGTAATGCGCGATAGATAGGTATTCTTATTTATCATATAAATACAAAATGAATGAATGAATGAATGAATGAATAGGATTATAATAAATAAATAAGATTATAAAAAGTTTTTTTTAAGCGTTCAATACTTGCCATATCAAATGGAACATAATATTGGGAACGTTTTTAAAAGAAGGTCAATATTAAAAGTAGACAACATTTTGAATATTATTGTACTCAACACTCCCGGGGTACATGCTTTATAAAAAGAAACACGCATTTGTCTCCCTTGTTAACAAAACAATCACTTTGCACACCCCTGACGGTATCCGATTTTTTAACATTATTATTTACTTACCACATGCGCACGATCTTCTACTATAAAGCACAATTTAATGTGACACATTACACTGTTACTATCAAAGTACAAACGTAACTATTTGCCCTTCACCGTTTTTGGTTCGAATCTCACTTGGGACTTCGGATTCGTTCATGTGAGAACACTATCCAGCTAGCTTACGGAACGTTGGCTGTTCTACTCAGGTGCTCGTCCGTAAATACATTGAAGGGCACACAAGGCCTTCCTCCACCAGAAAAGCAGAAGACGCCTTTACTGTCTTGGTGCGACGAAAAACCCAACCCCAACCAACCATTGAACGCGTGCATCGAACCAATCATTTGAAATAAAACTAGAAATATCCCCTCATTTTTTTCTCAATATTGTTCTTTTTTTATTCTTTAGTCTTCTTTACAATAAATGTATTTCTACTCTTTTATTTAAGTGGTATTGTTTGTGGACTCTTCCACGTGCCTGTGATGATTTTGTTGAATTACAGACTCAAACCTTCGTATCCATATCTAACAGTGATCGTGCAAAGTGTGTCATGTTTAAATTCCGTATGTCTTCTTGGATGGCTGGCTGTGAAATCTGGGTACGTATGTGGCGATGAAATTGCTTTGAATAATTTCATTTTTAAATAAGATTTCATTTCTTCTTACAACGTACAACAATATATGCTATAAAATGTGTGACATTATAGGTCTGCTAGATGTAAACATGTTTTATACCAATATGACATTTAATATTGCTCACAAATGAAATATTCAATGTCTTTATTTTCTATACATTAGAGTGGTCTAATTCGTAACTAAATTAGAATCAGCACTTTCGGAAAAAGTCTGTCTGACATCGGTTTAACCTACTATAAAATATACATAGAATAACTGAATAATTAGAATGATTTTCATTGCTCAGTTTCAAGTTACAACCTGAAATCCGGGAATCTCATTGGTCATTCTAAAATTAGTATAATAATTTAAAGAATCTCTCTGATTAGTATACACGTCCAATTTATAAAATAGTCTAAAGGAGTATCGGAAACAAACTTCCTTGTTTAATTTCCCGGGTATCTGAGATCTGTGAACTTCCTCGGGTATAAATCTGTTAGTCGGTGCTTTATGTTTGCAATTTCGCATTATAATTAGGTAATTATGTATGGCAAGGATGAAGACCAGAAATAAACAGGTCAATACGTGTGAATTGGAAAATTAGGAAATTTCACTAAAAACTACCAGATTTTAAGCAAGGCGATGAAAAATGGCCTATGAATTAGTTTTTGACACTTAATACAAGTGTAAGACAAGCTTCATCATTTAAGTTTAATTTAGCACCTAAAATTCATTTTTGAAAAATGAAAATTACCATTTTTGACGACTGTTTTTGTAGTGTATACATATGTTTTCCGACGAACTCCGTGACAGTTATCACAAGAACTCCTGAACAAGTTATCATAAAAACTCCATCCTTCGTGTAACAGTTCCTCCCCCGTGCAACCAAAGGAGGAACGACAGACCATGAAAAGCAAGCAAAAACGAAAGAGAGACAATTTGAATTATGACATAAAGTTTACATTTACAATATTACAAACAAAAATATACGATAACTTGTGAATCATATTATCTACATATAAACCTGATTTACAGAAGTTTGATAAAATTACTTTTATTATCACTACATGTATTATTATTTTACTCCATTATTATTGAAAAGCTTAGAATGTATAACCTTAACCCTTCATCAGTTGCTTGGTTTTCCTCCTATTTGATTACAGAACCGAACAAACTTACATAATTCAAGGCCGTCGTCGATGGTCCGGCCGGTCCGGCCTTGGCCGGACCAATATTTTGGCCAAAAATGAGTGAAAAAACAAACAAACAAAAAACACGCATCGCTGATAAGCAATTTCTAATTTACTTAAGTATTCTTCTAAACGTGACAGTCTCTTGAGATCTAGCACCTGATACGCCGGGTTTTAGAACTCTGTGCCCTACTCGCTGGGCAGTCCGTGCAGCAAGTCTCAAAAGTGTGATTGATAATTACACTGTACTAAAGGACCTATGGGACGAGTGTAACGCTAAGGACTCCGAGACCAGGGCGCGAATTCTGGGTGTTTCTGCTCAGATGAGGACGTTCGAGTACTTTTTCGGTGTAATGCTTGCACACGACATCCTAGCATTTACAGACAACCTCAGCAAATTTACATAAAATGAGACTCTGTTGTGTAAGATTTTTGTGAACAAGTTACTGCTAAACAAAAAGTGGTACAATGTACTGTAATATTTCTTGTTATTGTTTATTTGTAATTATCAGATAAAAATGCATCTAAAGAATTAAAACAACATCAGTTATTGTTTATTTTTCATTTGCCAAATATCAATTACATGTATTCATCTTTTATGTACACCTGTCCGTCCGTCATGCGAACCTTAAATTTCACCCTGAAAACTTACGACGCACTTAAATCTGTAAAAAATCGTTGACATATTACTATAACATGTACTAGCGGCAAGCTGTACACTGTGCCAAATATACGGGAAAACGCCTCTGAGAGCATCCTAGAATAAAAAAAATTTCGGGGGAGCATGCCCCCGTACCCCCCTAGATTCTGCCTAAATCCAACCAAATTGGCCGCACCATTCACAAAATCGTGACGACGGGCCTGCATATCCAGGTTATATTCAGAGTCAAGTTCAGTAACTACTGGAGTTCCTCAAGTTCTATACTGTTTGTAATCTATATCAATGACCCACCTTTGTCTATTGAAAAAAAAACAACAACAAAAAACAACAGAAATTTTTGCTAATGACACCACCCTTTCAACATCTGATGTATCCCTTAACAGGGTAGTTGATTCTCTTACTCATGATCTTTTAAATGTCAACATATGGTGTGAGTCTATCAATGCTAACACAGCTCAGGTCATGTATATTTCCTCAAAACACAAGCAAAATTATATTTATGAAAGTAATCCTTGTATTTCGTATAAAACAGAGCAAATTGTTTGTAGCTCTGAAGAAAAATTACTGGGTATCACAATTGATAACACCGGCCTTGTCTTGGCAAAGTCATATTGATAATGTTCTCGAAAAATGCAACTCACTGTTACATTTATTATCTCGTATAAAATTATTCATACCAATACCTGTACGTTAAATGTTTTACAATGCATATATTTTACCACATCTTGATTATTGTTGCATAATTTACGATAACTGTACGTCTTTTCTAGAAGATGAACTCATTAAATTAAGTTCCAAAAGAGAGCTGCAAGACTAATTCTAGACAAAGATCATGACACTCCATCCGCTGAACTATTTTCTGAACTCCGCTTTCATATAGCTATTATGATGCTTAAGATAATGAATAATCACACGGTGCATATCCATATCGGTACCCTCTTTGCGAAATCTGCTGAAACGGTACCCTCTTTGCACATGCACAGGCCACTCTCTGCTAAAAACAAACCAGCGATTGATAACAATACATTAAAATTTCAATATATTAAGGAAAGAAGGTATGACACGTAGAAAAGATGTATACCACGGAACACTAGAATGTGTTATCTATGTGCTGATTTGTCATGTGCCCGTTTTTTTATGTACTACAAATTCCTATAAGCTACAAAAAATCGACATGCCTTGCTTCGCCCATCACCTCGACATATTTTTTGGGCTGAAATAAACCTGTGGCTTGATTATATATGCATCATACATATTCAATATGTTCATATACATATCATCTTCGGACAAATGGCAGTATAGTGTCAAAAAAATAAATGAAAAATTCATAAAAACACCCTACTTTCGGTTTTTGCAACGGCACGGGCTACCTCTCTTCATTTGAATTTTTATATCACAGGTACCCTCTCAATTTTTTTCACATATAGGTACCCTCAAGGCACGACATATGCTTTTATTTTGCGTTATTCGTTAGGTATGTAACATTTCTTTATTTATGTAAATATTACATACTTAACGATTAACGCGCAATTAAAAGCATATGTCGTGCATTGAGTATACCTATGTGTTAAAAAAAATGAGACGGTACCTGTGATATAAAAATTCAAATGAAGAGAGGTAGCCCGTGCCGCTGCAAAACTGAAAGTAGGGTGTTTTTATGAATTTTACCATTATTTTGACAATGTACTGCCATTTGTCCGAAGATGATATGTAAATGAACATATTAGATATGTATGATGCATATATAATCAAGCCACAGGTTCATTTCAGCCAGAAAAGTATGTCGAGGTGATGGGCGAGGTAAGACATGTTGATTTTTTGTAGCGTATTGTGAAGTTGCAGTACATGAAAAACGGGCACATGACAAATTCAGGAAATAGATAAAACATTCTAGTGTTCCGTGGTATACATCTTTTCTACGTGTCATACCTCCTTTCCTTATTACAGTGAATTTTTACTGGCTTGTTATCCATCGCTTGATTTGTTTTGAGCAGAGAATGGCCTGTGCATGTACAAAGAGGGTACCGTTTCAGCAGATTTCGCAAAGAGGGTACCGATATGGATATGCACCGTGAATCAGGCACCTTCCTATTTATTGAATGATTTCATTTTTCGTCAGTTATTATACTCGCATTTTGCGTTCATCGTCTGATTTTTTCAACTTTATACCCCTAGAACAAATATTGAACAATTGCGCAAGTCTCTTGTTTAATTTGGAACGGCTTTCCTGATTATATCAAGTCTGCTACATCTGTGAACCATTTGAAAACATTATACTTGAGATATTATCATACATCGATGTATGCAAATTGATAATCTCATGTATGCATTAACATTAATATATTTAAATAGTTTGAATATGTTAAACTTATACTGTTCCTTGTTGAGGGTCTTGTGGAAGACTGATTTGTTGTTCAAATGAGTTCTCTCGTTAAATACTGTTATTATTATTATCATTATTATTATTATTATTATTATTATTATTATAAACACACACTCGATTTCGTTCCTAGAACCAACAAGTACTGAGCAACGAGTGTGATGTCTCTTGCTCAAGGAAACGACGGCTTGCCCCTGACGGGGTTTGAACCGACAGGGTTAGAGATCCATAGCTAGTCCGACGCGTTAAACCAATTGACCATGCCGCCACACATGGTTTCACTTTGAATCAATTATACATGCCTGTCACCCAGTCTTTATTAAATTGATCAACAAAGGTTTGTTTTCCTTTTCCAGCTATTCTATGTGGGCGTGCAGTATAATGCACTGGTTCTGGAACATATACAAACCGGCTGTGTCAGACACAAATACTCCCGAAAAGAATACCGGACAGCAGTGGCTGCTTGATGGCGATGGTTTGACCGATTGTATTGCGATGCTTCCTGTAGCTGCTGTGGTAGTTTACGATCTCAACTATAAACTCTTTTGATAATTTAATGAATCGTTCTTTTAGCACACGCGTGCATTAACATTAGATAGTGCACGATTTGTTGTTTTAACAGGTCTTTTGGTTATTTTGCACCCGAATACCTAACCCAATGATAAAGGAATTTATAATTAACATTTATTTCTCGGATAATTACTGCTGGACTGCTTTATTTGCAAAAGGTATCGCTTTACAATGAACAGAACACTAATCGGAAGACAAAAAAAAATGTTTACGGTTGTTGTAAAGGGGTGATCGGGACATTCTACATTGGGACATTCTTCAGACGCTATATATCTATTCATGGATAGGCTTTATATTAAATGTTAGCACAAAGTTTTATCAACCAAGCCCGTTAATAAATTTGATAAAGAGATCATAATTTTGTTTTATAAGAACACAATATGATACAGGCTTTTTCTGTTACCAGTTTTTTTCCTCTATATCTGAATACTGGGATCTTTTTATTGCAATTTATTTGTGGTTCTGAAGTCCGTGTGTACATCTTACATAACTGTAAATTTAGACTTCAGTTCTTACTATTTACATTGTTAGTAAAAGGGATCTCATTTTTTTTAGAAATTTCCACCATCTTTACATCAGCATAATTGGAACGTGTGAAAATAAATCTCTGAAAGCTATTGTTCAGACGTGAAAATGGTTCCGGTCTTTGTTGAGAATCCCTTTAGCCTGTTGGTGGCTACTGAAAATACCCATGTGACCAGTGTAGATCAAGATCAGCCGTCTGGTGATGGTCTGCAATCTTCGCTTGAAAATTTCCCTAAAATTATGAATGTTTTTTGCCCCCAGTTTGTATGATGAACTGACCAATTAGCGTGGCACGGACTTACTATTTTTCCTGAATATCTGTTTACAACTAGTTTTTGGAAGTATTTTAAACAAATAAAGAGGCAAAATAATGAAAATTTCAACACATTTTTCTTCTCACGAGATTTCTCAGATGAAAGTTGATTATGACAAAATCTGTATAAAAGAATATCATTCGTTTTATTAGATTCTGCGTTTTCCATGTACAACTGGTTACAGTTTATTGTAGATTTTTTTATATTCCTTTATACTTTTTTTCTAAATCGTTGGGTTCTTTTAGACAGGTGTAAACGGTTGCAAACCAAAGATGGGTTGTAAAAAATAATAATCGGCCATTCAGTTCATATAGCCATTTCAATGTCAAAGCTCGACAAAAGTTTCATGTCATTAGTATAACCGATTGTATGTGTTATTTGTTAAAATCCATTATTCTCCATATCGATCAGATTGGGTTTGGACTGTAAAGGTTGTGTAAGCCTACAATGGAAAGTAATCTCGTATATACAAATGCATGTATATCGAAGAGCATACATTTTGCGCACTTTAAAAAAAGAGCGGATGTAAAGAGAACGTTTGGTTTCTGCTGTACAAAATTTACATTTTGATGAAAATATTGAAAACTGCACTTGGTTCTAGTGGTATACAGTATACCATTTATCAATACGATACAAGGATTTTGATAGACAAACTTTGTTAATATCACTTTCAAAGCGTTTATGTGTTTTACTCTGTGTCTTATAATACTGCACGTTTGTAACGTCAATTTTCATTGGATAATCGTGACGTTTCTATAGTTTTATATACAAGGCTGCTGTCAATGTATAAAGAAATCTCATTTTTTTCTCTAAAAAAGAAGATTCCAGTATTATAAATCCGTTATAAATATTCCTGACATGTTATATGGCCGTATATAAACGGTTGTTTGCAATATAACCCTCGCCTTGCTGCTCGGGTTATATTTCCAAACAACCGTTTATATAGGGACATATAACCTGTGAACAATCTTTATAACTAATAATTTATATATATGCCCTTTATAAGGCACGGAATATGCCGAAATATACCGATTTTTCAGGAACTGATTGATGAATCGTTGTATATTTAGTATATTTGTTACAATACAAGAATATGCCGATTTATGATTGGTCTTTAAAATCTGTGAAATAACGATTAAAGGGATTTATCTTCCACATAAATGAATTCATGTTTAATAGATTCCACTAATCTTTTAACTATGTTGGTTTGGTTTTGAGTTACCCCACCATTTATTAAGCATTGCCTATTGTTTTTGTCCTTCTCAAATAAGTCAAATAATCCTTTGGTATTTTGTTGAAATTAAAAGTTTTTAGGGGTCCCACCAAATAGATTTCACGGAACGTTAAATAATTGGAGATATTTTCCTCCATGTACAAATGCTAAGGCCTACCAAACCATATTGAATGAATAGGCAACACAATCCGTTTTACCATTTTTTGGGCGAAAAATCATAACGGATGTATGATGATATGTTTTGTTTGTAGAGAAGCAAAAGTAAATCAATCGTATTTTTTGAAAATATTTTTTTTCTCGTTCATTCGTCAGACTTAACAAAAATTAAGATATGTTTTGGGTCTTTCAATCTGTCTAAATCATACTTGAAACACTCTTTACAAATATTGCAAAAGGTACGTTCATGTTAAATGCTAGCAGTAAAAAATCTAGCTGTAACGTCATAGAAAAATATTATATGTCATGGTTGAATAAAAAAATGAAAATAAAAATACGCGTCCATCACACACACTCACATACATAGTTGTGCTGTCCAGCATTTGCTACGTTACGATACGTTACATTACTACGTTACGATCACTTAAAATTCTTAACCCGACATTTGGTAACGTAGTTCAATATTAATACAAGCTTCAAGAATTGCTACGGAATTAATCATTTTAATTCAACCCTACGCTTTATTCTTGTAGGAGCTCTTTAAGGAAAGTTTTGTCGAACTGAATAACTTGTAACGTTCGTAACGACATTGTTAGCGATATGACAAATATAAAATCTCATAATCAAGAAAATAAATATATGTATATAATATATGAAAAAAAAACAGATTTTTTTCTGATATGTCAAATCTGCTAAAAGATATGTGTACAGTTTGAGATAAAATTTCCTCAAATAAAATTTTTGACAATATCTACATAATATATAATATTTTTAAAAAGGCAAATTTCATCTTGACTAGTTTTTTTTGTAAATTATAAATAATGCTATTTACAATACATAAACATATTAAAAGAATTCCCTCAGCCCAATTTTTATTAGTATCTACTAAGAACCTTTATTTACTATCGGTCTCTCCTTTGAAGTTGTAATTTTTCTTTTATATTGCTATTGCACCTTATTGATTGAACACATTTTTGTCATGGTTTATTTTGTGGAGAATTGAAGGTTCGGCATTATACAAATAGTCATTAGATAAATGTAATGTAAAAAGAATACCCCCCCCCCCCCTCTGCACCGCACACCCGATAAATACTAAGGTAATTTAGGCTGCTAAAATATAGTAGTAAAATCCGCTGTGAAAGACAGACCTGCCCTGTTTATCTAACTTTTTTGATTCCGGGATTTTCATCGGTCAATATACATTGTACTGGTTTCTGGCCAATCAAACACCTGTATTTTGGAAAGGATAACCTTTGACCTAATATTGATATTCTTTTGGTGCTAAAGTCTTGGCATTTAAGTAAAATACTTTTAAATTTCAATTGACAATTTTGCAAAGAAAACAAAGATGCAATCCCACATATGCAAAATGTTCACATTTTTTTAGATTCTGATTAGACAGACACAAATCACTTGTGACGTCAGGGATGGGATCAAATGAATTGGCCAATCATTTTGTGCTTGAAACAAAGTAAAAAGACAGCTACACAGTATATGTTTAGTAGATCTAAATGAAAACAAAAAATTCTGGGGAAAAGGTTCACATATTCTTAATTCAACCTAATGACTATTTGTATAACACTATAGTCCTTAAAGTAAAATTATGTTGTTGATTGTTGAACACAGAAGTCTTTGCTATTTATCCCTCAACCTTACAAATCATGCAAGTGACATGCACGCAACACCAAGGGTACAACGTCCATTAACTGCTAGTATTAATAGTTTCAGTAATTGACGGAAATTGACGAAAAACTCCGAAAATCAACGAAAACACCATCACCTTTTGCTGACGTCACTGTTATGAAGGACAAGCAACGAAAATCTCGCGAAATAGTTGATTTCCGTAAGATTTTTCAAACGTTACACATTTATTTACTATCTGGAGCAGTTTTAATCAGCAGGTTGCGCTGAGAGCACGTGATTTTGTTCTATTTATAGCTTCCAATGAAAATGAACGGTTAATGGATGCGACTTTCATCAACATGAATTTTCTATTCAAATATTAACTGACATCTTACACTGGGGTCAAATTAACACTTCGTTTAAAACTATCTTCTGCAAATATTTATTTCAACATTTAATACTTGTTTATTTTTATGGCATCACTGATAATCTAAACATAAAAGTAAATAATAAATAAAAATGTATTTTTGTCTAAATTGACAATGTCTATTTAACAAAAATAGAAAAGTTATCACAGCATTTTGATATAAGAATACAGTACAAAGTACATTTGTACTGTGAAAAACATACGGGGCTCCCTTTTTCACTTTCAGGTTAGTTTTTTTTTAAATTTTTATTACATTTATACAACATACTCTAAAATCCAATTTAATAAATCCTTTCACCTGTTAAGACTTTTTAAGAAGTTTAAAGATGTGTCCATTTACCGAAGAAATAATTCATAAAAAATACGACCATTGATGCTATTGCAATATTAACACGACCATTTGCCAAAGAAGTAACACAAACCACAGAGCAGATTTTTGTGCTGACACCGGTTGTTATGTGATGTTTTTTTAAAACTTTCATTATCAGGTTACTATAGATGTACCAACAAAGTCACGTGCCCTCAACCTTCTCGCCCCTATCTCCAGAGTTTAATTATATACACACACTTTACAGTTGTAAAACAATGTAAGCAACAACCTTCACCAATAGACAATCTCGTACACAGAGTTACCGCCCCTGTCATGATTTATCCCCCGTCAATGTGCAATGCTTTTCAACGACAAATATTTTAACAAATAGAAACACAATTTGTCAAAAAATACAACCAAACACACATTGACTGAAGGATAATCGCAACGGAGGGAATCCTCGGCAGAAATTGCTAAAAATAGAACGAACCACGCCCATAACCGCCACCATGTATGCTTTCTGAAAAGTTTATTGCTTTTGAAATTCAATATCATAAAGCCATATAAATTTGCTACATTAAGAAAATGTGTTCACTAGACAAGAGTGTTGTTTCAAACATGAAAGGGTGAACAATTTACCATAGCATGTGATTTGAGAGTGATTATCCAAAAACGTATTTATAAATAAACAATTTTTTCTTATTTTCTTACAATTTCTGATTAATTTTCTTTAACAATTTTACAAGTTGGTACCATTTTATTAAAGTTAATACCAAATTCATATTTATCTGATGAAACCAGAAATTTAGCTATTATTTTAACATTTTTCGGGATAATCACTTTCAAAGCGTATGACGTCACATATATGATGTCATGGAAGTATTTCACCAAAACCAATGAGATGTTACAAATCACAGATAGATGATAACATAATTGGAAAAAAAGCTCTCTGAAATTATTGACATCAGCTGCAGATTGGCTAAAACATCACAACCACAGTTTATAAAACAACCATTAACTAAAAATATCAATATTTATATTAGTTCAAATTACATTGTAGACTGGTTGTTTCCCTTTTTTTAAATAAAAACAATAATACTTTCTAATATTCTTTTTTTTATTTTTCAAATCTTTGTTTGAATTTGCAATTGATTGTTGCCAACTCATTTTAATTGCAAAAGAAATTTCACTAATAACAAAAACAACACAAGGTTTTAACATTTTGTTGTCTTTCAAATAAAAGTATGTGCTAATTTTTCATTTCTACTTTTTTTCTTCCAATTTCAATAACGATCTGCAACTGATGTTTAAATACTCACAACGCAATAGTATAAATATATTTTAGAATTTTATGAGAGACTTACAATAGTGTTCAAAGAAAATTCTAGTATTTTTATGTACCCTTAACCATATTGCACTAGTATTCTTCCTGCTGTCATGTTATTGCAAGTATTTGTACCAACTTCAATTTCCGGCAGATTTTAAAATATCAATTAAATCCAAAAACTGCCATATTGTCTTAATATATCTATACCCGAGCGTCATTTTATCGCCCTTTATCTTTAAACTCAAATTTATGAAAATTAAGAATTTTGGACGTTTTTTTTTTAAATTTTGTATTGAGAGTTATTTCCCAGGACTTGTTACTGTAAATGGGTCCTTCATTTAAGAGTAAATTGTAAACGAAATTTATATATATATAAAAAATGACAAGCCAGGAATTGAAGTTGGCAACTTTGTTTGTCCTGAATGTTTAAGCAATAATTCAAGTCATTTAATCTAAGTTCATGCATCTACAGTTCAGTTAAAGTATTAGCATTTTGAATAGAAGTTTGCGAAGTATATATATATATAATGAATTTAGCCACAGAAAAGTGTTAGTACCCTGCATTTTTTTATAAAACACACACATGTATACAAGTTAAGTTCAACATATACCCAAATTATATTTTGACAACAATTTAAACAATATACAGTAGCCGGATCAGCCTCGAAAGAAATTCTTTGAACAGAAACATAATATTATGGAATGTGTGATAAATACAATGTTGTAAATTTTGAAACAATCTTAGGATCCAGCTACTTCACAAAGTTTAGAAATTTCATTATTTTTTCAACAAAAACATGTGTCAAATACAGTTCAAAAAGTCTCAGAATGTTACAACATCAAACTTGATTTTTTACAGATTCATCAATTCAGTAATTATATGTATATACATATAGATTTTAAGGCACTTACGGGTTATAATTTTAAAAATGGAAGACACGTCAATTTGGCAAAAAAATAAAATTGACATAAATCGAATGTAAACGTCACAACGTGAATAAAATGACGTCAAAACGTTAATAAACGACGTCACAATGTGAATAAACCACAACACAACCTGAATAAACCATTAAGAATCTGGAATGCTTTTTTTTAACCGGAAGACATAGTCAAATATTGGTCACTATCAAAAATACACTATTTAACATCAAGTATACTAATAACTATTAAAATATATACATTGCTAGAGCTACATATTTATATATACAAAAAAACACCCAATGTTGAATAGTCCGTATTCAACTGGAAGACAGTAGATTTTGTTGTTAAAACAACAGCATGTGCTTTGCACTTATGAGTCTAGAGACATCTTTTTTCTCTAAAATATGTTTCTATATATATATACTTTTTAATATATTTATATACATCAATTATATACAAATTGAACATAAAACGTTTCCTATGCGTAGAAGGATGCACAAGTTATTATGTATTTGAAATAAATACATACGTTGCATAGAAGATAAAAAGTAAATAAAGAATTCCAAAACAAAATCCCGTTAGCACTTTGAACACAGTGAAGGCACTAGATTTAATTCATATATTAAAACGTATGTAGATACGTGTACATAATTCAGGCACGCGCCACTTCCGGCACGCGCCATATTTTTCAAAATTTTATTAGGATACCCTCGGATATTTACCTAAAACCTAAACCTCTCGTTTAAGGATAATTTTAATAGTTTCCTAGCTGAAGTTTTAAGGGAAAATTCAAAACCTTTTTGCTGATTTAAGATAAAAAACAAATACTTTGTGTATTTTGATTCTAATAAAAATGATATTATTTTCGTGACTAGAATAATAATTCTCATTTGATTTTATCCAGCTAAAATTTTTAAAATCTAAACATATGCTATGATTGTATAATAAATTCATCTTTTCAAAACAAAAATATTTACAAGTTCATAAATGAAATAAACTTTACATATAAGATCAACAACAAAATTATACTAACAAATATTTCATACTCATGCATTTTACATTAAGGCAATAATAATTATAACTATAATAAACACAATAATATTAATAATGAGAGGAGAGGCAGAAAAAAAAGATCTATGATGTAAAATTTGACATATAAAATTTACACAATTTTGTACAAGAATTCAATTTGAAATGTGGAAAATGAATAAAAAATAATGAATAAAGAAAAAAAAATAATACAACACATAGTTAAACATTTTTCATAAAAAGTCAGATCCTGTACTAATCAGATAGGCTTAAATTTGAGACAAATTTCATTTTTCAATGCCATAGCAGACGATAAAAAAACTAAAATCATAGATATTCCAATTTTGCAGTCAATGGTGTACGTTTCTGGGGCTTAAGAAATAGATGATCATATTAAAGAACTGGCAAGATGAAATAACGTACACATTGCAAAACAGTTTTGAAATTTAAATTTGCACATTATTAAAAGCAATATTAAACATTTCCACATTTTAATGACGGAATAAAATAACGTAGGCCTAATTCAATTATTCCAATCTCTATTCGCTTTCCTATACTAAAAATATAAAATCGAACCATAATTTGAAAGACTCATAAAATGACATGATTTTAGCAATTAGGTTGGTAAAATATTCACGATGCTACAAATAGCTCAACCATTCTGTTTCCGACAATTTGGTGATTTTTCTCTGCGACTGCGCGTTCCGCCTCGACGCGCGTGGCGAACGATATTACTACGTCACCGCTTGGCAATCCTTCCGGCGTATACTGCACTTGAATGCATTCTGGACTCACCTGCGAAAATGGGAAAAAAAGAACAGATGATTACAAGTTGTTTTAATACGGGAAAAGAAAGATACATCAAAGTTACTAACAGCATATCAAAATAGATTTTAATCCGACTTAATATATTTACTAAAAAAAAATACAAATTAAAAACTTTTTTCCTCATAATTAATTTCGATACATAATCCAAATTTGTACCATTTTCTCAGACTCTCTAGCAATGGATTTTTAACCATGCATTTTTATTTGAAAATGAAACTAATAGAAAATCATTTGCAAAAATATTTTTACTTCAAGGTTGATCCATCAAAAGTGATTCAAACTGGATTAAAAAAAATCCATTTTAATATATTGATTTTTCATTTCAAATCATTTTCGCTGATCTACCTTCTATTTTCAAAGATGTATCTTAAGGTACAAAACTGTTTATCAATGTTCTATTTTTAAAATATCAACTTGAAAAAAGTCTGAGAAAACGTTACCGATGTCTAAAAACAATGCAAAAATTAGTACTATCATGCCTATTAAAACATTCTATAAGAATAATAAATCGAAAAAATAGGCGTTCTTATAAAAAGCTAATCTGATTAAATAATATTGCAGGAAATGGTAAGGCGGTACTGCAGTTCGTAGAAGAGCAGACGAAATGTTTAGCAGACAAGAAAAATCAAACTAGCTATACATGTAAGTATGAACTGGTTAATTTATGCAGTTTTCAATATGGCCCGTTTCCATCAACATTTGCACGTTATCACACAATAGCAACTAATATTTCTAGTTGAAAAATATCTTTATTCAGAAATTAATTCAATCCACATTTGGTACAAAACTGTTTATCAATGTTCTATTTTTAGAAATGTCGCATTTTACTTATTGTCGTCTGCAAAATGTTGATGGAATCGACCGTTATATTTATTTTAGCACTAGAACAATATACATGTAGAAAGAACCAAAAGTGACAAACATTTTCATACATGTCTCCTATTTCAGTCTGTCTGAACAAAATTGAAATACAAAATTTATTTTGTATATTTTCCCAAACGGCAAAAATACTGGCACTGTGACATTTCAAACTTAAACGTATGTAACTTTTTCATATTTTTCAAATGAGCAAAATATTAGCTTAAGTTAAACCAAAATAGACCACTCGATATGCACGTGAATATCGTGCAATAAAAGAAAACAACATGCAGACATATTAAAATGTTCAGACTGACCAACAGAAACATAAGAATATGTATGAGAATGTCTATCTAATTGTTTTGATCAGAGATATCATGTTACTAAATTTAAATTGAATAAAATGTACATGTAAATGATTATTAAGGTATAAAGTCATTGATTTAGTCGGAAACAAGACCCAATCGAAAATGACGATATACCTCAAATTTGCAAATTTGTCAAAGAGAAAATCGAAGGCCTAGTTCAAAGCAATTCTGTATGCCATACGAGTTACAACCGTTTCTCACCCGGCCCTCTAAATATGTATTTGGCACATGTTTTTAAGCATCATAGTAAAAAAGAAGTACAAAATATCTCTGAACATAAACAGTGTTATTCACAGCAAACAAGACGAAGTCTATACTCTTTTCAGATTGTTAGTGATTAACATAAAAGTGCATTTTCCCACTATGTAGATACATGTATATACCTAGCGCAGGATCCGTCCATGGTCGGTAATAATATTTCCCTGTTTTTATTCTATCTCTCAAAACAATACGTTAGTTTTCATATAAATCTATTATGTAAAGTTGTAACTTATTCTCATAACATAATTTTTACGAATTGATATTCTTACGCCACCCTTTTAATGAACTTTGCAGATAGTCAACACATAGCTACATATATTTCGAAAGACGTAACACAATACATTGCAGCACCCATTGGAGCATGCTTTTTCAGAGTTTCGGGCGTAATTTTTTTCCATTTTATCAAGTAAGACTTGTACATAAAACAAAATACCATACTCGTGTGGTTTCGGTCCTTTTCTTATATATTTCGGTTATTATGGATAATCAGCGAACTGTTCCGATTATTGTGAAACTCACGGACAATATAATTGATAACCATCTTAATAATGAAGGCTTAATTCTGGGCAAAGGACGTACCTCCGGAAATCCTTGAAAGAAATTTAGGATATCTTGTAGGGACACATTAAAAGGGAGGCCCCGCATTACGACCATGGATGGTCCCGTGTTAGTAGTGAAGTAAGTCTGTGGTGAAACAGGAGGTGTAGGGTACCAGTAGATAATCTGTGGAAACATGGCTGGTCTGGGTGCAGCAGCCGCTATAGGTGTGATCCCCTGCTGGAATGGCGAGGCATACATTGGCTGTGGTATGTGGGTGAAAGGCAAGGCTGAGCTGAATGAATTGGCAAGGTGGTTCGTCGATACGCCTGGCAGTGATGGCAATAATGCTGTAGTACCTAGAAAATAAAATCAAAGTACTTAAAGTATTAAATTAGATGCAGAAAGCAAGACTATAATTTTCAGTTTTTCATTAGTTAAAAATCTAAACCATTTATCAATGAAAACGAAGAAACATTAAAGCTATAAGAATGTGTTACTTAAGCATGATCAGTTAATCTAATAGTTCATTGGATGTTGAACTGTGTAGCTCACAGTTGTCCCATATGTATATGTTTTGTCCCGGAAGTTATTTTTCTTTAGTGTTATAAAAATTGATAACAATAATTCATGTCCGTTTGTATATAAGTTTTATATATATATTGTGTTATATGTTTGATATATAATTCAAATTACCAGGTGAAATAATCTGTCGTTGAATAATTGGCGAATGGGTGATAGTTGGTACAGCGGCCTGATGAGCAATTGGAGTGACTGGAGACAGCGTTGGTGACGTAATTCCGTGTGTCAGAACGAGGTTCATGTCCTCCCCGGAGCACTGAATGACCTCAATGACGCGCTTCTTTCCCGCGTAAATAATTTGTCGTCTGTGTCGGTTAATTCCGGTAAGCTGAGCTGCCTCCTCGGAGCTCATCTGAATGAATGCTTCTCCCGAAGGTTCTCCCTAGATAAATCAAACAACTCAAGGATTAAACCTTCGTGCAGTTTTTATTAAATTGTATAAAAAGAATTTATAGTATTTGATTTTGATCTTTAATAAGTATGATTTGATTTAAAGATAAATATTTATGAATATAAGCGAGATATCCTAAAAAAACAATTCATAGACACATTTTCCTCGAATTACAAAACATTCTGTTAGGACACTAACACATAGAATTTTCAAAATATATACATGTATATAAACACAATGCTACAATACCACAAAATACATGAAAAAAGTAATCTTTATTTAACTAATAACTATGATTACCTGTGCACTGTATACCATGTGGACACCTTGGTACACAATGAACTGTGAGAATTCTCCAAGAAAAGATAAAATGTCTGTGACTTGTGACCCGCCTGGAAGATTGCGCAGACGAATACAATCTTTCTTTGTCCCACTTGTAATTAGAGACTGTGGAATGTATGGCAGTGCAGTCTGGGGTGGCAACTGTGCAATAAGTGGCGGAAGAGCAACCTGGCTCTCCTGGGGTTCTGGGTTTCTTGGGTCCATGCTTCTGTTTAAAACCTTCAAAATGGAAGTGTAAAGTGTTGCAGACTTTTCATTGGTTCCAAAACGATACCGAGATTATTAATTTCACTTAATTAATATGCATACTTTGATTATTTAAATGTAATTCATTGAGTTATTTATTAATTCGATACGAGCATCTCCTTATATGTAATATATTTCCAAAAAATAAGTTTTAAAACATTAACAGAAAATCGTATTTTAACATCGCTTTCAGTCAACAGTAGCAAGATGTGGAAAACCTTCCCCGCTAGCAAAGTACAACATCTTTATTTACATCAACAAAAGGATGTTTCAATAATTCAATTCTAGCCATGTTCAGTGATTTTTTCACCTTTATATAACGGATGTCTATATAAAGTGAGGAAAATCACCGATGTTCACAAACAGCATATTTGCTAAGGCGTTAAACACTTAGGACCATTTTTGATTGTGTTCTTTTATTATTATTGTGACTGTTGTTTATATTTTTTTGCTGTTGTTGAGGAGAGAATTTTCAAAGTAACTATTATTGCAACACCCTTTCAGTGAAAAAAGCAAGCAATAGAGTGACGTAGAGATGTGGGGTGTACCTGCTGAACCTCGGCCGTGGTAGATTTAAACAGTTCTATATAACGAGTGCCCATAATGTCCCTGTGCTTTTTCAGTGCTTTATCAGCCTCCTCCTCGGTCGGCATTAGGACGAAGGCATCTCCGGTGGACCGTCCGTCAGGATAGTGCACAAACAATATACCATCTTCGCCATCTAAAACGTCACAAACGTTTGGTTCCCTTGCAAAGAACTCGAGCTGGAAGCCAAATACATAACCAAATGCAGTTAGATGGAGTAAATATAGGTGAATAATCTATTGCTGATATTTTTTTACAAGTAGATCAACCATGCAAACCAGTGAAGCGATTTTTTTGTATCTGGCTAAATCTAGTCGAGGCTTCCCCATCACACGTCATTTTCTATATATAGCACGTGACCATACCACGTGGCGTGGCTGAGTCTCGTTCCGGAAGTGTTTGTAATAAACCGATGATTTAGAAACAAACCCAAGCACGTTCGTCAGTAAACAACGGTGCTCCAAGAAAACAAAAAGACGGTAAGTGTGTATATAATACAAATCTAGCAACGCAATCTAGCACAAGCCGTACCATCATATGTAACATAATAACATGATTTAGTAATTTCAACTGTAAACTATGTTTCTAAAGTAAAATGGTAAAATGATTGATGACCATTTATATGATGAAATGGTGGAAAACGAAAATTGATATGAACCTAATGAGAAATGAATTATCTTGGTATCAAACCAAATAAAGTCTTTAATTTTATCCTGTACTTTAACCAAAATGTATATTTATTAATGAGATATGTTTCTTGTGGAAAATTACTTAAATCGTTCGAGTGTAGAAAAAAATAACCAACACATTTAAACACAAAACTTAAACATTAACAGAAAAAAAAGATATATGTACATGTAGATGAAAAAGTCTGTACCAAATGTTAAGATATTGACTAGTCTACCACTCAAAAAAAAAAAAAGAGTAATAAAACCATTTAACTGATCAAGAACTGTTGTGTTAATGTTAATGGACATATATTGTTCACCGTTCATACATGGTGCATATGTTGTTTTAAAAAAGGCATTTGTCTCACTGGTCATATTGACAGGCTGTCAACCATCTTTAAAAATCAAAGAAGTAACTTGAACGAAAAACACCTGTGAAGATGTACTAATAGAAAAATAAATATTTTGGAAAAAATGAAAGGAGTGTAATACATTAAGAAAGGTGCTGATTTGCTAAAATTCAGATTAATTTTAATAGTTTAAAGATATTTATGACACTATATACCTCTAAATGATGATTTTTTTTAACTGTCATAGCCCTTAACAATTATCTAATAGCACTTTGCCATATTTTAACAGACAAAAAATGTACCTTGATAAGATTTTTGTTTAAAAAAAAACCCAAAACATAAGAGATTTAAAAAATACATGAACTCTAACATAAAATTGCTTATCATTTCAGAGGACATTTCTATATGTTTATCTAGATTATTGTGTAGAAAAGTGATACTATAATAACTGGTTGACGGCCTGTAAATTCACAGCCTCCACCTTATTTCGCCCATGCACAAGAGTAGCAGAAATGTAGCTTAGAATAAGGTGTCTCTGCTTCGAACAACTGCCTGAATATTTTAAGTACTCAAATCACCCACTACCAAAAATAATCGTAATTACAGGGGTGGAGTTGTTACTAATGTCATTAAAGGGGGAAACTGTGGAGAACATCTGTGCTAATGGGAAAGCCTCTCTGGGTACAATAACCACGTGACACCTACAGTGTTACTGAAAATAGTAAATAAATTTAAAGATCCAGCCCGATTTGTTTATGAGATATGATGATTGAATTGAAGACGGCCATATTCCCTTGCACGAGGCACTCACGAGACAGCCCTGCACCATCTTAGTTCCTGCAATATGATTGGCTGATTTTTTTTCTATCACCTCATTACCATATCCAATATGGCGACCAAAACTCTAGAACCGTAAGTCCTTGTACCACACTCTGAGTACCATATCATAGACATAGTAAGCCTTCCCTAAACTTACCTTCACTTACAAGAGTAAGATTTAGTTTGTTTTTATCAATCGTAATATGTAACCATGATAAAGTGTTTTCCATTCGGCTGAAAATTCAATACAGGAATGTCAGAAATATGTTCCTATTTTCTAAACTAATACTCAGTTCCGCTTAGCAGAATATTTCTGTCAGTTGTTTTGCTTCTACACTCTTACAATAAATTTTATCATATTGCCTTTTGCTGAAGAAAAATTAGTATTTGCTATGGTTTTTTTTTTAGTTATTTTTTACTTTCAATATTTTTAATATTGTATTCTCGAATGCCATTGCTGGGTTCCTCTTTCAGTCCTTTAGAGATTTTTAAAATTTAATTAATATTTGATACAAATATGATCCTTGATCAGAGGTAGGTAAAAACCAAACCTCTTTGATGTCAACATAATGTTCATTACAAAATGTTTTAATTTTGAATAACATAACACCCATTGACAAATATTCAAACTAGTTACGACACTGTTACCCCCCTTTAGCTGAACGCACGAGAATATCTAAAATAGCAGTACAGTAAGTATTACACATTTAATCCTGTGGATAAAAAACTTTTTTATATGGCATTTTTATAACAATGGTCAAAACGGAAGGATAAAAGCTACAAAAAAGTTATTCTTTATATATGCTATATTAAGGAAATAAGTAATAAAATGTCTGCACATTATGAATAGGTCTTATATGTGATATTAAACCGATGAACTTATAAATGTTAATTGTGGAGATAGCATGTAATTATCATATAATTTAAAATAATCGTAATTTGAATGCCACAAACATTTTCGAGAAGTGACTGTTTATGATGACAGATGGTTTAACTTAATTCGTTATTATAGCATAATTTCATTATTCTTACAACTTAAAACATACATTTCTTAAATATAATGTATAAATTAAGGATGTTATAATATATTTATATGGGGTTTGCTTTGAACTTACCACTTGTTGTGTTGTAGCTGTGAACGGCAGGCCGCGCATGCGTATTATGACTTCACCGCCACGTGACAAGAATGCTTGGGCCTCTGAGTTACTACCTATAACAATAAAGTAATTTTACATTAATACAAAATTCATAAATTGATGGGAATAACGACTGAACTTAATAAAACTAATGCAGGACATAATTGACACTATGTAAGTGTATTCACTATGCAAGCAGTTGCTCTTAATTTTGCTTCTTTTTGTTGTTGCCGAGGTTTCAAGAACCTTTTTTTATATACATTTACGAAAAAACATACAAAACATTCACCAATCATGGAAAATATTATATACACCAGATTTTGTATATATACAAATTTATCGACCTGTCAGTAAAAGGTAATTAACTGTTTCCTGCTACAAAATCGATACAAGAATAATAAAACAATATGTATCTTGATGTGGTATTGGTGGCAGATGGCATGAAATGTCGTTAACTTTATGCTACATGTATATATCAGGCTATTAAACACATCATTTACATAAAGCAAACTTTACATATGTCACTGTATAAAACAAATAGCGTGTATATAGAATTTTCTATTGAACACGTTTTCCCTTTTGTTTTAAGTAAGAATTTGAAAGCATATTCAAAGGTATTTTTTGTACCTCCAGCAACGTTTAGGAAGTCCTTTCCAGTTGCTTTGTAGACTTCAATGTATCGTTGACCTATATGATGTTTGTGTCTCCTTATGGCAAGATCTCTCATTTCTTGATCCTGAAATCTGACTAGAGCTTCACCATTTCGTCTTCCCTGCGGACTTAGACAAAGAGCTACACCACCCCTAGAACGATTAATGCAATTTGTTAGATATACGGAAAAGCATCAAAATTCTTAAAACATATGGTATCAAGTTAAGATTTGATATCTTAAAGAAGGAAATATGTGAAAATAAAAAGTATTTCATATAAATAGAACAAACTGTAGCTTCATTAAAACAGCCTGCCTTAAAAATCACTGTATGACGGTCTTTTTCATTATATTTTATTAATAATTACCAATTTATGCAAGTGTAATTTATATATATGCATGCATGAATTATTCATGGAGCAGAGAAAATGCAAATTTCTACCAATATATCAAAGTGTCAACGTGGTTTCCGAATATACTGTAAAACTATTCATATTGACTCACTTTGCAATATTTAATCCTTTAAAGAATCTCGCGATATCTTGGTCCGATGATTGCCATGGTAACCCACGTGCTCGTACTACGACCTCATCATCAACAATATCTGTTTTACTACTGTAAATTTGAAAAAGAAAAAACACGTCAAAGACACGGAAAATAAAACAAGACAATAAATAAAAGAGATATGCTCTGAAATAAATACAAACTTTATAGAGATCAAATGTTTGAATGAGAATTATGCAACTCGACGGAGTCTTTTCAAAGTAGCTGTTTATGTAAATGTATCCATAGGGGTTTTCCTTTACAACAAACATTTGTTTGATGTTTGTCAACAGATAACATAGATTGAAAGCTTTAGAAAAGAATATCTTCATAGTATAAATTAAGAGTTCTTGGCAAAACTGAAAAAAAGGTATCGGTTTATTGCACCTATGTTCGTTATAACAGAAGCAGACGACAACAACTACCATCATCTCGTTTCTAAGGAAGCTTGATTAATGTCCGATAACAGATGGGTGTACAAAAGACTTTTATTGACTCTTGATGCATTAACCAGGAAAGTTTTTCTCTCTCAATTTTTCATCAATTCAAACAAGATTTAATTAGTCTTATCAGACGTTTGTGACACTGTATCAGACGATATTAGCAACATAACTGTTGTCACGGCACTGACAGAGTGTCATAGAATATAATATGTCAATACGATATTGATAGATTAGAGTTACGTGTCCTTGTTTTTTAAATTATGAAAGTCAGTAGTCTAAGAGAGAAGCAATATCATTGGCTAATTGACATTTCAAAGCAGCCAATCAGATTCAAGAAGTCAAAATTTTAAGTTCTATTTGTAAAAGTCTCAAAAGGTTATTATTTATTTGACAAGTGACTTTGAAAGTGACATTGTACTTATTAATTACGTTCTCATGTTATGATGGATGATTAAAATAAACTTAACTTCTTTTTAAAGTTATTTCATTGCCCCTGAATTCACAAATAATTTATGTGTTTATTATGGAAAGGGTAAACTGTCAAGGGAATTGGTTTTAAAATAAGTCTTGTTTTATATGTTAAAATATGCAAACATAATTATAAGTATTAAGGAAACCTAGCTCTTGATATATAGTATTTGAATCAAACGTTAATATTTCCAATTAAATGTCAACGGCATTTTTTTTTAAGTTAAGTTTAACAATACTTACCATATACCGGGTTCCAGTCGTTCGTTAACAACATCCGGTTCTGTGAATATGTGACCTGAAGGGAATGATAATAATCAACATAAATATTTACGGACTTCTTTGCCGTTTTAGGTTTTCAAAATATTTCTCTTCTTAATTTAATTATGTATATTTGTTTATAAATAAAATATAGTGAGCTTCTTATCATAAACAGCGTTTTGGCTGTTTTCTTTTGGTGCCCATTGTTTTAACAGAAGAAATGCTACTATTTTTAGAATAAAGATATAAAAAAGAAGGTTACTTTAATAAAATATGAAAGTATGAGACGATGCTATTTATAGAATAATGATGCTAATAATAAAAGGCATTGTATTTTACAGAATAAAAATGCCAAAACTGAGAGGCAGTGCTATTTGATTAAGAATAATGAAGCTAAAACACTTTTATTTGTATTAAACCTTCTAAATGACAGAAAATGCTATTTTTAGAATAACTTACCGTCCACGATGAGTCTTTGTATAAGAGATGCCATTTCTTGACATTGTTTGATGCCATATTCCGATGATTGGTCTTCCTGTAAACCTAAATCTGAGCAATGTCGTCAAGGAAACCAAATTTACGCCATATATGCCAAAGCATTTATATAATAACAGTTGAATGTTTACTATTGTGCACATAGAACATCGTCCCTTTTAAATTAAAACTTTCAGTGAAAGTTCAGTTAATCAAAAAATTAACAAAGAACATAATCTTTCTTTAATAGAAAACGGAGTTAATCGTGTTTATTTTTTACAAAAATGGAAAACACAATGGAAAGGCCCATTGTTAGGTGCCTTTGTTTTTTAACAAAAATGGATCAGGAATTCTTTAGTAGCATTGTATAAAAAATATTAACACATACCATGGACTCTTTACTTCTTAAATGAAATACATCTTTTTTATTAATATATTTTTTAGTGAAATTTGAAATTTTCTTTGACCAAAATTATGACAAACAAAATAATAGTTTATTAATTTCAACGTGTTTGATAGCACACACGCTAACCGGTAGTTAATTTCTAAGCCGCGGAATGATATTTGTTAGTTTTGATACAATCTTAAAAGTCAAATAAAAGAAATTCCGCCTATAGTTATACAATAACATGTTTGCACTAAGCATATTGACATAAAAATGTCTATCGTATAAAGTTACCCCTTTATGTATTTAACATACAAATGTAGAAACACAAAATGGACTCCGATTTTTTGTCTCTTTTGTATCGTATTTTTGAGACACCTTTGGTCTATTAAATAAACCTGAAACCTTTGATCGTGCAAATGAAAATTGACTCACTGATTTATACAGGGCAATTATGATTTAACATTCTTCTAAAGGAAATAAAATTAATGTATATAAGTCTAATATATGCATATGTATATACAGATTTTACAAAAAAATAAGTGTTTAAAATTGGGTCACTGGTAAAAAAAATCGAGGGAAAAGAAAGACACTGATATTTTTATTTGCTTTGGTCTTCCCAAGGGTAATCAATAAGTATGCACATATGAAAAAAAATGCATAAGTCGCGAAAACCGGTAAGAAATTGCGTGACCTAAAAGTAACTATTTTACAAAGAATAGTATCTAAGGAATGTATATGGCTATATTGTTAGTCTATGTACATGATGTCGCATCTAAACAAAGTGATAAATAGTTACTGCGGGGTGTTATTAAGTTACAAACGGTATGTGCCAAATACATTTATATATTTTGGACAGTTGAAAGTTTCACCTGTAGTGAAGGACCTATTACACGTGCACCTTTGGTCTGTGAAGTCAAACGAGTGTTCTCGACAGTGATAAATAGCCAAATTACAGTCCGAAGTGACTACGCAATGAAACAAAAACCAAACAAACCAAATAAAACCACAACAACGTCAGATCTCGCACTTAACACGGTGGTATTAATTAATGTGCATGTATGTTTTGTAAATTTGTGTGTATACGGAAGTACACGGAGAATAAAACCGCTCATAAAATGAAAACATTTCCTGTTGGCTAATATATATATATAAATCAAATGGCCATAACTTTAATTTGCGTAAAACAAACAGACGATTTTGCTTTGTATTCACTAAAGTTTAGACGGAAATAACTTATTTAAAAATAGGTATTATGCAATGAAGAAAAAAAATATAATAAAAAAATCGTCTGCATACTATACAATATTACGACAAAACAAAAACTGGACGGACACAACTGTCAGGTTCCCTCACGAACTTATCAAGCCAAATAAGTAGCAAAGACATGCAAAATGCAAGAAACAAAAGTAATTTGCATTTGTACATGAAAGATATTGCACAATTTTCTGCTGAAAATGCAAAATTCTTTTTTTTTAATAAAGATATATTTCTTTACAGGTTATTATTGCAATACAAATCTTTTACTAAAAACCAGCAAAGGAGCTCTTGTTTGTGATATAATTATGGGAAGAAAAGGTTGATTAGTATCTTTAGTCTTATTTGGTATCGAATGAACCGATCTTTTACGGTCTCCGAGATTAGTCGAAGACCCATTGTTTTAACGTACGGTGTTGATATATTGATACTGGTAATAAACTGGTTATAAACAAACACATATCGTCATAAGATCAGGTGTAAAAAATATAACCTTATTAACACAACACAGGCCTTGTTATGCTTATACAATTATGCATAGAGGACTAACTTGAAACAATAGACCATTATGACTGAGCATGAATAAATAATAATTCAACATAAGACAATAAATCGCCCATATACGTACGGTGTAATGCCAGGGGTCATGTCAAATATACGAAACAAGAATAAATCAACAATGTAATATGTGTGTACAGCGGTGATATTGTTTCAATACATTTTTTGTATACAAGTGGGACATAAACGAGTAAATAGTTGGAAGGGACGTCTTCGTTTTGTTTGAATGCACAAAACAAAACGTAGCTGAAAAGAGTTTTTTTATTTTGTGAAGATGTATTCGGCTACGATAAAAATCTTTTAAATTCCTCTTTAAGTTAAGTAAACAATGAATACAATAGCAATTTTCTGAAGCATTAAGGAAAAAATGAGAACAAGTGTTAACAATGCCAAAAAAGTATAATAGGGTTGAATACCACTAATTGTTTCAATATAGATACCAAACTCGCTCGAAAGAATTAGAATTTGTAAAAAAAAGACACGGTAGTTTATCAATACATGTATTGAGGAAAAAAGATCGTCAGGTTGTTCGTTTTGTTTTGATGTATCAGTAGACTACGATCTAAGATGTCCAATATTGACAATTTGTGATGTTTGATTGTATATAATGATAACAAAATGACAATCACTAAAAAAGAAGTGTCAATAATGAAGTGGCCATATCAGTCAGATTCGCAGGGGTCCCGACAGAGCGTTCTTTTCAATGGTACATAATATGTGTACATTTTAAAACAGAGCGGTGCAGACGACAATTCATGTTGGGTCGCAGACGACATTTTCAAGCGGCGTTCGTGTTATTATTAGTCTCAGCAGAAACTGTGGGAACATTGGTCTTTGTAATTAATATACATATAAAACTAACGGTGGTCAACTATAGTTTCAAATTACTTGTGCGAAATGTCGTATTTAATTTGCTAATGACAGTAAATGTCCAAAGGTCAAATGGACATGTCATCTGCATATTCGGTGACACTTTCCTTCCATGTTGTTGACACAGAAATGAAAGCAACATGTCGGTCGTTGTGTTCGTATTAATTCTGAAATTCTGAAGCAGACGATGTAATTGAGAATTGAAAGCACGCTGACTTTGTTAAATACATGTAGTTATCAATCTTCATGTATAATTGAAACGAACAATTAATGTTTATTGATTGTCCTTCCGACAAAATTTAATTTAATATTTTCTCCCATTCTTCTATACATGTTAAAGAATGGAAATACTATTTCACATTAAATCCTTAAATTTGACGCATCTCTTTACATACTAAGAAATTTCATTTTTTTTCTTGCTTCATAAGCAGATATGATTTGCCCTAAAAGAGCCCAATGAGTCCCGAGAATTAATAATGTCACACAAAGTTGCATACATTTGTCGCATTATTATTCAATTTTATTCTAGTCATACACTAACGGCACTTAAAGATTAATAAAATACAATCTAGCTCCGGTTTTGTTCTAACGTGAAATTTAAGAAAAGTCATTTCCTAACATCATCTGTCATTTCTGTTTAATAATAGCTGCAGCATCATATAAGTCAACTGTTTTCCGTCATATTTTTGGTAATTAGTCCTCAAATATGTATTCTTCACGTAGGAGAATATTTAAAATTGGCCATTCATTTCTTTCCGACGCCCTTTATATGACACATATGAAGGTATTATGATCGTATCAAGACATTTTTATGCCGAGCAATTTTAGAACCGAGCAATAATAAATCAGTCGACATCCATACTGTTGAGCCATTAATGAACTATCTATTTAGCAGACGACAATATGTGGGCATGACCTAAAAGAGGAAATAAAAAACCTGCATGCTACGGTAATAAATGTGAAAGTGATACATGTATCAATTATTCATCATTATTTAACATAATCGCATCAAAAATGATGCAATTAGTAATTCCAACGATGCAGCTAAAATAATGCTAGACACCGTCTGTAAACCTCTATGTTACACTGATCGAGAAGAAAATGAAATCTACCATACGGCGACTAGCCCTAGAACAGAAATTTACAATGGGTAGCAAAGAAATTGTATCATACGAAGATGTTCACAATTTGGAAGAACATGTACCTTGTGAAGCCACATATATTTTGAAAATGACATTTTGCAGCATGATTCAAAATATTTTGATTGCATTTAGATTTTTCAATAGCAATATCCATGCAATTGCTATGAGCATTACTTGTTTATACAGGGGACCTTTTAAACAGGAAGAAGTATGTACAAATAAGATAGAGTGCTTGGCAGGTAAACTATTGCGGGGACAAAACAAACACCAGCATCCAAACTACACTGGAATGATGTAGGGGAAAATGGAGTCAATTTGATATCATTAAAGTCCGCTATCGAGACATTACCAAAGTTAAAAATAGACCCAGCTGGAAGCTTGTGGAGAAACAAGCTTGTGGAGAAACAAATATTGGACAAGGAAAACAAAACGACAAAAAGAAGCAAAAGATCAAGCAAATGATCAAGTAAATGGTTGAAACAAATGCGGTCCATGTGTTCACCTTCATACCAAGGCCATTTGTTCTTTTGTTGCTCGAACTGGAAACATAGGGCGAAATTATATATATGTATATTCTAACCGTATGAAATAAATAAAGATGCTATTGTCGGACAAAATTTATTACCAGTCTAAGGACCATATGGTACAGAACTGAAGATAAACGTGCTTGACACGATATTCTTATAAGCACGTATGACTGAAATTAAATATAATATTAATGTTTGATTAATTTAACTTGGTAATACGTTCATACACACACATATATATATTTGTATTTGATCACCTTTCACCCCCTTATTGAGCCTCTTTATGCATAAGTTAAAAGGAAAATGTAATATACTGGTCATATCGCACATGAATCAATCTAAGTCAAAGCAACAAGAATATGCCTGGGGGTAAAAAAGGGGCAGAGAACTCGAGAAAAAAACAACAAGTTTATAGTTTATCCATTAAAAGCTACGAGATTTATACTCATCCATGCACAAAGTAAGAAGTAGTAACCGCGAGCAAATACAATGTATACTGTTTTACCAAACGAAACATATTAAAACAAAGCCTGCGGCTAAAATGTTAATTTACCATCGTAAAATCTAACGATGTATAAAAATATGCTTTAGGTAAAATGTAATTAAACGCGAAAGATAAGACTTTCAAAATGACATTAAAAGTTTCACCAAAAATAATAAAGCGCTATCTCTTCGGACTGCGGAAATATCGATAATGAATTGGTCAATATTTGCAAATTAATACATGTCCGTATCACGAGTAAGATCTTAACAGTCATTCGTCTCTTAGTATTTTTTGGTCATCTTTTTATATTTTTTTATAAGTAGACTTCTATATGTTAAACATAATAAAATGAACAGACCAGCAAAGGTAAAATAGCTAATTAAGCCACATTATTGTCGACCCGTGTCAATAAACAGAAGAAGCACGGCAAATTACATACATGAACAATCATTTGCTCTCACAAAATATATGTACATGTAACGTGTAACTGTGGGTAGAACTTTGGTGCATTTCAATTTTTTGGCTACTGTATCACTTCAGAAGTCAAACGGAAAATAGTTTCTGCTCGAAGGACTGAACTTTTTGGTGATAACAGAGTTATCAAATTGCAAATTTGGGGTAGAATTGCCAAAATTAGAGCAAGGCCTTTTTACAACTGTATGGTCGAATGAGTCACTATTTTGGTTTAAATATTTCTCCTTACTTTTTCGACAAAAATCAATACATTGTTGCGCCCTTATGTGGCGTTTATTTATAAAATTAACTCTACCTAACAACCACACATTTTCAGGTAGTCAATATTATACAGTTTACCAGTAAAGTAACGCTAGGGTATAACATAATTATATTACAGAGTAATCTATTTCCCTGGTAACATATACCCGTTTCACCAATCAATCAATATGAAATATATAGCAACCTCAGACTCCATTAAAGTTTCATATGTTTAAGTAAATGTTAATGAAGCGTTAAATAAAATTGTATCAGTGGATACCAGTATGTGGTTCAAATACGTAAAAAAAACACACATTAAAAAAGGCTGTTTTCAGATTTAAGATAACTATGTTACCTAAATTGGGTGATTAAATATTTTTATTGAATTATCTTTGCTTATATATTCAATAAATGGGTCCGACAACAGTGGACAGGGTTAACCCTAGAATGGGAATTTAAACTTAAAACATTGCGTTAAAACGCAAAATCTTTAACAGAAAGTTGTGCAGATTTCATTTTAACCTCAGAAGATCTTAAATGAAGAGCAATATAGCGATATTCAATTAAAAAAGAGACTTATACATTTTTATCTTAAGAACCCTTTTTATCCCACTTAAAGCACCTCCTTAAACTGTGCTGGAAAAAAACCTCTGCACAAAACACTATACTATATACCCATCTGATCTATCTTATATAATGGAAACCACGAACTGTATTGACGGAACTGTTTATAATCGCATTTATAAGCATTTGTAGATAAACTTTTGATACCCACCGGCCTTCGGATGCCAGAATTACTCGCTACCGTTGACAAAAAAGATAAAAACGTACGGTTTAATTTCTGGCTCAGGTATTGTCGAGGGTTAAATTTATGCGTCAGCAGTCTTTGTGAACTTATGTGACATTTTTGGTCAAGATAAACAAATACAAATCTTTGTCTGGATAGTTTAGATTCTAATTTGTATATTTCAAACAAGGCCGTCCTTTTATGTGGAAGACACATACTTAGATTGCCGGTGTTTGAAAAGAAAAATTGAATCTGCAATCTTTCTTATCAGGATACCACAAAGAAGAACAAGAGGCTGCACCAAGTAATTCAAATACCCCTTTCAACATTCTTCAATTTACACTTTCAGGAAGACTATTGCTCAAGCAAAAAACATCATCGGAAATTAGGACAATGAGCGAGTAAGTCATGTGATGATTGTTCATGCCAAATATAATTGAAATTCGATAAAAGCGTCTTAAATGCCAAATTCGATTAATGCATAAAATACAGACATACAGTCGGACGAACGGTTGCAATAACTGTGCACTAACATTTCTTTAGCAAGTTACGAAGAAATAGTATTTTGTAATTAAGTCCAACGAATGCAGACTAAATCGTGTAAATACGTCAGAAAAAAATACGTTATTTCAAGTACATATGTCTACAATAAAAGCGAATGCACAACATTGTCATTTCCTGTCTGTTTTTAAAAGTTAACTAAAACAAACTTTTATACAGAATTCATTATTAAATGATGTCAAAAATAAACCGCTTTTCTTAAACCGGAAGTCACGATTCAAGACTAAATGAACACTAGGACTATAAAGAAAGTGCAATGAGTTAAATTTAACTATTTAAAAATAATTTCAAAGCGATGAAAGAGCACATGGCTTTATGTACTTATCTATAATAAACCTTAATGCACTGATCTATATAAAATGTGCGTTTTTGTTAACTTTTTGTATATACAACTTTCTGGACAAATTGATATTCAATGCGCCTTTGAGGGACCGTAGAAAATTTTAATCCCCGTAATACTGTCCGCAATGAAAAGCCGCCATATTCATTTAAAAGAAAATGTTTTCTCCTTAATCCCCACTAAACAAACATGGAATTAACTGCTTAAAACATCTTCATACATTTGCTTGTGACACGCTACTTGTATACATTAATCTAATTTCACGCCGAGATACCCGTCTTTTGGGGGTAAACTGCAATGAAATGAATATTACAAGTGTTGGGTCACCAAAGTTGCGCATGCCCACGGTCAGAAAAATAAGTGCTTAAATACAAGATAACGAACAGCTAAATATGTACAGTTTTTGAATGACTTAATTTTACTTATCTTTATCATATTTTAGATACGTAATTATTTTAAGAGCGATCATTGAAACAGTTGTCGAAAAGCGACTGCATTTTCAATCTTGTCCTTATTCAAAAAAGAATCATTTAGTTTTAATTTCACCAAAAGAACTTTAAGTACGAAAAAAATGTATTCTGCAGTACACATTTGAAGGAAGTTTCTTTTAAATATTTCAAAAGCTTCAGAGTTTCAGCATTTTAGAAAACAAACCCAAGTAACGATTTATGCCAAACAATGCTAAATTATGTCAAATATGCATGTTTTGATTGTTTTTGAACAGTCGATTTGTATTGGACCATACGGTACACCATAATTTTTTTCGTAGAGTGAAGTCATTTCGTATGTTTTGTTAGGTTTTTTTTTTGCTTTCTTTTCTTTCAGTCACTTTGTTGTTGTTGTTGTTTTCGATTTTTATTGACGGTGTAAACGTAAATGAAATGCCTCCATGCTTATGTATTGTAACTCTTAGTTACTAGGGTATCACAACACTAGAACAATCATACGAGTCAACCATCTAGAAAACTTGCTCAAAACTACCTTAACTCTTCCCCCTAATGGAATGCAAACACCCGTATTTTTTGCACACGAACAATTGTTATAAGTTATGCTCTCTCACGCAATCTTTTATGTCAAGCAATCAAGTAGAAAATATCATAGTAAAATGCCTATTATATTTAAAAGATTTTTTTGTCATTTCGCTAGGTTTCGCTACGCCTTTTAAAAAGCATTCTTTTGTTTTTGCTCAACTTTTTTCTCTCTTCGTGTCTTTTGTAAAGCTTAATCTTAAAGACTATCTCTTGTTTTTGTTTAGCATTGTATGAAAAACGCGACCTATTGGCAGTGTCAAAGAACAACATACCAAAACAATCCACTCGGCCGGTGTTATCTTAAGTTAATCATGTAATTAAAACTCGCAAATACTTTTCTCTGCTGGTAAAGCATTATTTATAGAAAAGAGAAAAGAAAGAAACCAACTGAAAGAACAAGAGCGTTTACCTAACTACTCGATAATTTTGGAATGTTAATTTCAAAGCATAAAAAGTCTTTGTGCTTTTGAAATGACAATAAAAATATTGACCAAATTATAATAAGTAAAAGTATTATAAGTATGACTAAACAAGTCTTTAGTAGCAAATTTGCATTTTTGTTGAATGATTCCGAACATTTTCAAACAATGGTAAAAAGCGAAAATAAAGACGACCCTAGAACGGGAGATAACGCTGAACCATTGTCTTTTGAATGGAGTAATTATGACATTTAAAACTAAATAAAGCTTACTTACAAAAGTATATATCTGAGTCAGATAAAATCGTGCAAGATTTAACATGTTTCAATGACCCTATTCCTCGCAGACTTTGACTCAAACCGAATGACACACACATTTTTAGTTCATACGCATTGAAGTACATGTATTTAGTATTCCAATGCATGCATAAACTGAGACCTTCTCGCATCTCTTTTCAAAAGAAAAGAATTTTAATGAGGGGATAAAAGCTGAAGTGGAGAAGTCAAGCTTGTTCTTGGATAGCAAAGAGTTGACCAATCAGCTTTCGGTATTAGAATCCTTTACTCTACAGATAATATGAGGTCTATGAAGGAATTGGACATGTTCATTGGATGTTGAATCATCAAATAATTTGCACTAGCGATTAAAAGTGACCCATCACCACTTATCTACAATTCATACTCACCAATGTTTCCATAGAAGAAAAGGACCAATGCCCCCTTTTCTCAAAGAATGAATTCTATTTTTAGCACTTTATGACCTTCACAAAAAGGTCATTCCAAACACTTTTCTATATTTTTTTTTCAAATGACAACAAAGGATACAATCTAACATACTTTTGATGTTCGTAATGTTTTCAGCTTTGTACATTTTCACAAATTCTTTTCTGACGTCATAATATGAGAACAAGTATTGTGGTAAGGTAATGTTTTTATTTCCACATTCAGGGTGTAACGCTTGTCGTATATGATTTGGTCCGTCGGTAGCGAGACAAAACGATTTTCCGCCATGGTCGGGGTGAACACCTTTTGAGACAAGGAATCTGTCGAACTGCAAAGGAAGAAATGTTTTTATTTACAGTACGAGTTTTTTCTTAAGCCATGTAAAATGAATAATTATATAAATATACTTTTAAGAACGCACACCTGAGCAGAGCCACTGAAGTATTGTCAGGTACCTGGATAGCTTCCTTACATGAAAGACTCCCAAAGACTCTGCCGGATATGTACCCATAAAGGTGAAAAAGATGGAGTGCAAAGAAGTGAAGACAAACAAAACATATCAAAATGTAGGCAGAAAATGTTATATTATATACCGTGCCTTTAGTATTTAAAACAATGTAATAAAATAAACATAAAAAAGTCGCATGTAACCATTATTATTTGCCAGTACAAATGTGTACTAAAAACTGAAAATCTTGTAGTGAACAAATTACAAATGTACATTAACGAATCAAACCTAACAGGAAACTTTATATTTCCAGTTTTAGTTGTCTTACTGAAGGAATTCACCTGAATAAGAAAAACAATTGTGTGGGGATTTTGTATGATTTAAGCTTGAAGGGGAAATAAAATAATCGTAACTGAACATAACTTAACAATACAACAAAAATTACAACGTGTCATGCAACGTGCGTGAGGATCGATCCACGTAAATTCGTGGTATCTCGGAGACCGTACTTTCCGAAACCAACACTCATGCATTAAAATTTCAACAATATTGTATACACGGTGCATATATAGTCGTGGCGTCCAGTCAATATAACGCCGTAACGGTTACCAAAATTAACGTAAATGATAACGTACGTCACTATTCAAGAAAATTGATACATTTATTGGACTTTTAAGATACCAATTGAATACGGTCATGACTGTCGAGGGAAAAACACCGGGACGGGAGTTTTTAAAGAGTCTTGTTAATCTATTTAATTGCGGTTTTGTTTTGGGAAACGCCGGGTGCAAGAAAAATGTCCATGATTAGCCTTTCCTATATACAACAGATAAAGACATGTGTAAAAGTTTTGTAGCGTTATTTAAGGGTTTCTTTATCTACTGCTCTTGTAAATTTCACTAAACATGGACAATGGTGTATTATAAACAGATGTATTCAAAAGTTAAAACTGTCTGACAAAAGAAGGGGGAAAAAGGAACAAACGATGAACCGAGTTCACGATTTTAACATAAACTTTTCTATTTTTGGACTAAATGCAAGTTTAAGAAAAGGAAGCTATGTTTCAACAGCATTTGATCAACTGAATACATTTAATAGATGCAAATACAGAGGTACACTGTCTTGTCAGATGCGCGCCTTCAATTAACATCGACAATCTGACGTTAATGACAAAACGTTTATTTAATTAAGTCTTAAAACTAGTTTCTTTTTTTAACTGTCAATGTGTACAGGCGATTGGGCAATGTCCCCCCCCCCCTTATTTTATGAAAAATTAACGTCCCATTTAAAATAAAACACATACAATTTCCTTATATGCATTCAGTATTTATCATTTATAAAAAAAAGACAGCAATATCTGACACATTACGAATGACTTTAAGATAAGTATATACATTAATATATGCGTATAAAAAAACCCTAAAAGTCGCATTAATTATACAGCCAAATCTACTTAAGACAAAGTTTATACAAAAAAAAGTCCACTGATACAACGAATCGCACTTTTAACATGATTAACAATTTGACAATACATCAATTTAAGGAAAAAAGTCAACAATTTTACAAATCGTCATAATGTCTGAGGCGATTAGTAGAATTTTCTTTTCTCTCTGGCATTCTGAGCAAATAAGCGAAAAGTATACATCAATCATAAATTTTTATTTCGGCTTAACTACTTTCCGTGATGTGTTACTTTTCGGGATTAGATATTTATTAGGCTCAAACCGTGCTTTGAAGTCCCTTTCACCGAGTCGCAAATGTTTATTTAGCAAATTATGAGATCAGCGTAGATTAGTTAAAGAAATGGGAAAATTCAATTAATAATAAGTTGCTTATAAAAACATATTATGAAGTATTCGAATATACATTTTAGTTTATAACTTAGGTATATATACATGTATTTGCAGATCATTAAGTCTGTGGAAAGTATATTAAATAGGCCATTTTGATTATTAAAGATAAGAAAACTACTACTTCCGATTTTCTCTTCTTTAGCAAATTATTTTATGGCAAACGTCCCTTTTTAGCCAACAAGGCCCAATCTTTGACAAGTAGAATGCCTTTATGCAGATTACCATAAAGTCAAGAGAAGTAAAGGCCAAATGTCACGTGACAAAAATTAATAAATGCAGCGTTTGCCTCAAAGTATATTTTCACCAACTTAAAATATGCTAATCTGTTCTCCTCACAGTTAACTAAATAGCAGACGAGACTAAACCAAATGTTGCCCAGCATTGTTCATATACGGTATTGACTAAAAAAACTCAACAACGAAATACTGTTTGAAACCTCATATCTCTACTTGTAAAATACATGTGTTACCACTGCAACATATTTTCCCTTTGTTTTGTATGGACAATATCTCGTTTGCTCTGCCATCATCTACATATAAATTCTCTTATTCCTCCGCGGTATTTAGCCCACGAGCGACAGCTTTCGGCAAACGGTGTAATATAAAAGCTAACGGTACATCGGAAATCTTTATAAAGTCAATAATCGTGCAACAGGTGATAGGAACACTGGGATGCTGGATGTTTGAAGAGCCGCCACGCTCGTTTTTCCCCCGTTAATTACTCTAACGCTTTGAGATATTTTAATTAAACAGTTCAATATTTATTGGAATAAAGTGGGTTTAAGAAGCTTTTAGGCATAATTTTGGGGGAAGATTTTCCAATTGATATAAGCCATTGTATTCTCAGACTTATTATTAAAAGCTGTTGCTTTGATGGTGCCGGCAGGTAGAGAGTAGGTACAGTATGGTCTGCTGTTTAACCAGACGTGGATCATTATTTTCTACCAGCTTCCAGCAAGTGGCCGTGCTCATTATTAATTTTTTACAAGATTTAGATTTTGTATTCAAATTGTGCATAACAAAATTTTCTATAAATCTGCACATGTATCAAATGTGATACACAACCAATTTGCTATTTACATTGTTTTTATATTGAAGAAGACATCAAAAGATGGTTTAGTATTTTCTATTATGTTGGAGGCATTAAAGCATTATGCAATAAATGAATGTTTATAGGCTTTGAATAAAATATGCACGGTCTTATATTTTCGTTATTAAAATGCACTCATTTCCCCCAAATCTACCATTAAACACCGCAATCCATATATACGACACTGACGACATGGTCTGTTGGCACACTTAATGCAATTATTAATCACATTCGTTATTTCATACACTACAAAAACAACCAAACTACATTATAACCACTAACCAAGGGCGGTGTGCCATGCATTTATCTACTTATGATATTTACAAAGTGTGCACGTACCTCATCTAAAACATGGTCGAGTGATTGAGCATTTTTAATGATATCTTCATCCAGACCCGTTTCTTGTTTACAGTCCTCTGTGATGACGGTTTCCGACAGCTCATTTGGCGTCGGTCGGCAGTAATGTTGTTGTACTGCTACGACCTGAGAGCAAGAAAAAAAAAACAAGCTTGATAAAATAGCATTAAATAGCAATTATTCCAATACAATGTATCGTTATTTTCTATAATGCATATAAGCCTTATTGCATGTATATTTTGTGTCATATGCAGAGTCTAGAAGTTGGAAGGAAGGCTCGTACCTATGCTTATTCATATGTAGTAATTCTCTAATTGTTTAAATACTGAGCGTTATATTAGCCCTTATCCTGATGGATTGGAATGGAAACTTGTCCTCATTTCAATATGGAACAGCTCATTTGAAAATCAAGGAATTCAAAAATCAAAATATAGAAAATAGGCGACCAACAGTAAGAGCTTCATCAGATCGCACGGATGACACAGGCTGGCCTGGCTTTATACTGGTGGCAAAGGCCAATCACTTTCGGTCCCAGCAGGTTAAGGGTTAACTCATTTACAAATATACATATCAAATTGTACAGCGATTTCTCCTGTACAAAACGAAGGTTCTATGTTTTCTGCTCACATAAATCATATTTAGTCGGAACTTTTCGGTCTTTTCCGCCAAACTTTCGAATGAGTCGTGGTGAATCATTTAGAAAGAGCATAGCTCTATTTAAGTCACTTGACTTAATTCAATGACATAATAAATGACAGGTAATTGATTCACAAAACGATAGGTTTTTTTGTCTCTTCCGGTGTCAATATTTCAGTACAAAAAGCAAGAGGGATTAATTTTTGGCCTCTTTTTCATTGCTACGCTTAAGACATTTTGAATAGGGCAAAAAGTACGACGTGAAATTTGTGACATTTTACACAAAAAGCTTTGTAAAGATGCCCTGTTGTTCTTTCAATACAGATATAGCGGATGAAGTGAAATTATCACATTACAATACATGGATGAACGGTCAACACCATCATAATATTGTAGCAAAAATATTAGAATGTGTGACAGCTTTGGGGCATACATTCTTTACATTTAAAACGCATTATGTATTCAAACATGGTTCGGTGGCTTCCCGACAGATTTTTCGTACATTGCGTTGAAAATTTATGATTAACTGTCAAATGTTTTCCGAATAGGCAATTCGATTTGGAGAAGTGTAAAATGTAGTTGGTGTTTAAAATTTCATGCCGATATGCAAATGTGTTCTGGTTTGATGAAAGCCTGTTATAAATGTAACTTGTTAGACACTGCGATTAAAATGATAATAGCGGTCGGAAATCGAACAAAAAAAAAGTTAAAAAATTTAATGCCAGTAAAAATGATTGTCGTTTTATTGCAGGAATCCGGTATCGTTTGAAGAACTTTTAAGAGAATATGCAGATTCGATTCTAATTAAAATTTAAAATAATGTTTGAAAACAATCTCATAAATTAAGTTGCTGATTTGATTCGATATTGATTAAATTTTTGCACTGCATACGTACAGATATGATATATTGCAAATGTAGAGAAAAGGTTTATAAAAAATATAAATTGTCATCATAATTTCCATGTAATATAAATGCAACAAAAACGATGATAACAAATAACAACCACAAAATAACAATATAGCGCTGCTAAATAAACCGTTAGCATCAAATTTTAATAAACATGCACTGAAAATGAAATTTATATCTAGAAAATAATAAACCAACATTTTCATTTGTTTGTATGCCGTGTGTGGGTTCATGATTAATTAAAGTGTACGTTGCACGTTATGTTATATTAAACACCTTGATCAAAACTAGTTTACGGCAAAGTATGGCCTAAAATTAAATTTGATACAGTGTAATCATTTCTGAATCGATTCAATACAAAGTCAACAAATTATCACGTCTAAAATTTCAAGCTACCGCCACTAGAACTGTATAAAAACGTGTAAACTTATCAAAATGACAGACTTGAAATGCCTAATAATTGTACAAATCCCACTGATAAAACATGATCCCAAATTCCGAGATAAAATAAGCGGATTTTATGTAAACAGCCTTTAAATCTACCCACGAGTAGCATATTTTTGGTTTCTACCTCAGTGAATTTGTGTGAAATTACAACTAAATTTAAAAGGGTAGGGACAAATTAACTTTAACAGACCGAAACTGCCATTGAAATAGAAAATACTTCAGCCGTAATTTGGTATAATCAATCTAAAAACATTAAAGCGACGTACATGATTAAATGATAAACATAACACTTGAAAAAAACACTTGAATATTAAAAAACACATGTATATAGTGCGTTAAAACTGAAAACCGGAAATAAAATGTGTACATACCTTGTTATTAGGTAAATCATATAATAAATATGTAAATAATACTATTTGCTCTTCGTCAACACCGAGTTCTTCACCATTTTTTCCAGCAGACGCACAAAATAAAACAACCAAATAAGAAGAGTTGGTCATATTGTTAATTTCACTAATTTTCATGTTTATTTCACTTTTGTCAGTCACTTTTCTCCATGAAAATACATGTAAACAATGTAAAAATAATGTTCGTCCGTTAAAAGTAATAAAGGAAATGTTGTGTACACTTTACACCATGTGAAAGATATCCCAGCCTTTTACCGTCAAAATAAGACACACATTCTTATTGGTCCGTGCTTAAAAACGTGGCGATGAATACAGAGGATCGCCACAGGGGATCCAATTAAGGCTATTTTACAGGTAAATGCGCTCAGGTGAAACGAACAATAATTTTACTGCTGGAAGTTATTTAATCGCTTATATCTGTCCATTTGTTGATTGATGCTTGAAGTGATAAAAAATATAAATACAGGATGTCGTAAATAAAACAAAAAAGTTTAATCGCTGTATCAAAATATTATTAAAATATCCAGCTATATCTATATCTAAAAATACATCAGTGTACCCCTAATAGAAAAACAAGAAAATGCGTGCGCATGAACAGTAGTTACCGGAAGCTGAAAATGGCGCCAAGCTGTTACAAATTAATGTCTATTGCACAGGACAGAAATAAAATGGAGTTTCATGTAATAGAAAACAACGTGTTACCAAAGGCTGATATATATTTATACAATAATGCTGGCGGACATTCAATTGCTATATTTCTGAAGGAAAATTTCCATAATTGCAGATTTTACGACGAAGTGGAAAATGTCAACGTAATTTACTCACTGTATGGAAGTAGTTTAAAGATCATAGCAGATTAAGCATGCATTACTGAGAAGTAGATAGCTCGACTCAAAAAGCCATTGCTAACAATGCTTTTAGTTATCACGCACAAGTGTGATTAAACAAAGATCTGCCTAGTCAATATGCACATATATTGTAAATACACGGCGGATTACTGTCTTTATGTATACAGTATAGAACAGTAGATCAAATAATATACATCAATAAATAATTGTTTTATGTTCCCGGGTGGACCAAATTACTTAACGTTCAATCATCTGGAAATTATCATAATAATTATATTAATATTTGAAAATGCTGAAAAATATTATTATGTAATATTTATGTTTTTTTGTTGTTTTTTTTTACAACTTTTATGTCATTTTTTTCAGCCCCAAAGTTCTTCCCCCTAAATTCCACTGCCTATCTCGAGCATGATATGGAAAATAAACCGTTATGTCAATATATGTTTAATGTTTCATTCATATAACATAAAATCGAAGCACTTGGATTAATGTTGATAAAGGTTATTTGAACAAGCAGTAAATCTTTCAAATAGACCAGTTTTACACACCGAGGGAAGTATTAGAGTAAATAAGTCAACAGAATTGGTCACTGTATATGGGCTCTTGTAGACATATCAAATTTAGTAAATAAACCGTGAATATATCTTATAATGGATGCACTTGTCCAATAAATTTACCCGACAACTTTAATACACCGGTGATCGCGAATCACTGACGATACAATAAATTTCCGTTATATATTTTTTTCCGGTTAAACATTTGACTTTCTGCTACTTGTTATTTACAGTATATATATTCATTATTCAGTAAAACAATTAGCCGGAATAAAAAAATCCTCATTTGAGAGTAAAAATCCAGCAATGTTGCAACTTTAAATATGAAAACAACGTTATTTCAATCTATAAACCATTCCATTTAGAGGAATCATCACCTTTTACGTCGTAAGGCAAAACCTAATGAACACTATAAATTTAGAATAATTTGCAACTAAACGTGCATGTTAATCCAGAAAAGAATTATCTAAATGCCAAGCGGTTGGTGTAAATCTGTCTATTTTGCAACTGGTACAGTGGTATCGAGGGACAGTTTAATGGATTTACAACCATTCTTTATACAAAATCTCTGGGAATATGCTGTAACAAAAGGGACATGTTGACCTTTCGCCATTCATAAATTGCAATTTAACCCTTAACCTCCTTAATTTGCGTAATGGATTTGTCTTGCTTTCAATTTGGAACAGTTCATTATAAGTTAAAGGGATATGAGTATCAATATACAAAACCTGAGCAGCAAAAATGTGCAGGCCGATCTGGCGGCAACTGAATATTCTTATGAGATCAGTGCAGACTAATCAGCCGACACATCCGTGCCATTCCTGTTCGATACTGTCAGTACCTAGTTTTATAAATTCCCTAAAAATGATAAATGGTCTTGTCCAGATTAAAAGATGAACAAGTCCATTACAGATAATTAGCGTGGTCAGGGTTAAAAAACATCAAGACGAAACATTTGTAAAATATAAATCAGTTTTATATCATGGCAATTAATATATTACATAATATATCCAGAAAAAACACGCTTATATATATAACGACTGTAAAATTATGGTTGGCCATAAGTATTGTTTTTTGTAAGTCGCCATTCATGAATTATAAAGGCCCATTATGCCTTAGAAATGAATAATTTTTTTCCTTCTTAAGAAAGGGCAAACATGTGTTTTGCAGCGAGGAAATACATTTAATATTAGATGCTTATCACCCAAAATGTTAATTTATTCGTTATAAAAGTAGCAAAATGTTGAATTTCATACATAGTACTAAAAAGAGCCATAGAAGCAAAATATGGTTCGGGTAATTTGCCAATGAGTAACTTTTTTTGGAAACTAAAACAGGACACCAAAACTAATAAGCTTTTGAGTAAAAAAATAAAAGCATTTTTGAGGCACAATTGGCCTTTAAACAATAAATGTCATTTAGCCATAAAAACTAAAGTGTACATTTCTGCAGTACTATAAATTATGGGACAGTGACATATTTCTACAGAGATAGCATTATAGCACGACGGGAATCACCAGTCTGTGCATCAAGGGATCTAATTATTATCATGTATTATCAGTGAGAAAAGTGTGCCAGGGGGCCTTCCACCTGTCTACGTCACGAGGTGAGATTAAAAGTTGACATTTGATTAGCACACTACTATCAGATAAGGAATTCTGTATATCACGATGAAATTGACTGGCTAAAATTGGCTTTGTCTTTATCACAACAGGTGACTTTGTCATAATATACTGCCGATATTACCAAAAACAGAAAAAATGAAAATTTACAATCTTCGTAAAAAATCTAGCGGACAAAGGTTAAAGAAGGTCACGACAACTTGATCTTTTCGTTTTAACATTGGAATAATCGATCTTAAAGCTATGCCTAAAGATCCACAGAGATACATGTAGTTTGTAACAATAAATATTAAATTAATATTAGCTGTAAAAAGACATGCATATTCAAAATATGACGCTATTCACATATGTAATGCAACTTTTCACTGAAATTACTACTTTTTTCATTTGATTCTATTCTTTAAGTGTAATTTGAATATTGTAATTTCTGTGAGAGTAGTAAATTTATGTGCATGGAAGTATGCCCGAGTGGTTAATGTGTCGGGCTAGTGATCTAAGGTTGGCTGGCTGCGTTGGTTCAAACCCCGTCAGGGGCAAGCCATTGTTTCGTTGCTTAGTTATGGTTAGTTCCAGGAACGGATTCCAGAATGTTTCAATAAGCTTATAGCTTTCAACACAATCGAACTAAAATAAATTAGTATAAACTAATTTTAAGTGCGTAAGACCAGTCAGCATACACAAATTATCAAACAACCCTTACCACGCTATATCTCTAAAACAGTCTTGCTCATCTTTCAATATAGACGCAACCATTCATTATCTGAAAATACTGAAAATTTCAAAATATGTACCGACTTAATAGCAAACAGTGCAGACAATGAACAGACGGTATATATGTGCCGGCTGATATTGGTCTGCACTGTGGCAGTATGGGCATATTCGGTTGCAGTCGTAAAACATCGGGACTTCCGGTAACTGTTGGTTGCGAAGCATAATAGCCGAGGAGATCAGATTATTTCAGTTGCTGCAAGCAAGTTAAGGGTTTAAATAATTTTCCTATTCTTTAACACTTCAAATTTTCTTGAATATTGAAATAAAAATAATAGCTAATTTGTAGGCAGAATGCTTTAAATTAGAAAAAATAATTTTTTCTTATATTTTCAACCACACTTAAATGTTTGATCCTCAACATAATTGTAACCAAACTATATTATAAGATCGAAATATTTTAAAATTAAACAACAAACAAACATACAGTAAATCAATGGACATACAGTAAATCAATGGGAGATAGTAATTCATTATAAACAAGTAAGTATTAAACATGGGTTTTAACTGTCCTTCAAACATAATCTTCAAAGAAAGAGACACACTCTTATACCAGATTTACTATCACTACAACTTGTCAACGATCAACCCTACAAAAAATTCAAATCAATATTTCTTTTTTTATTTGTTAGTAACCTAAGGTTGGTAACTTGACCCTTTTCTCATAGGTTTCCTTGATATATGTGACACTTTTTTCAAAGATACTGACAGCAAACTGTTTAAAGTGTAATTTATTTTCGGATAGAAAAATCTATATTGATTACTTTATATACTACTATTTAACAATACGCAATCACTAGTTGCGTCCCTTTAACCAATAATAGATAAGACAGTTCAAGTTACTTCCCTTGATCTTAAAAAAAACCCTTATAATATTAACGTACCTGCTTCCCTGATTTCTGTTAGGGTTTATAAATTTCGCACTTACAGAATTGTAAAACAAATTGTTAACATGAATTACATGTGCAAGACCAAAATGACATTTGACCTTTTATTCTGACACAGAGGAGGTCTGGCAAGATTTATACCATATTTGGAACAAGGATGTAATGTACATGTATGGAATGTAACAACAAAATCAAAGCGCTGAAAGCACCGTATGACACAATAAAGCCAGAAGAAAAAAACTTGCCAAATCAGGGTGATACAGGCTTACTTATATAAATCAGTGCAATATAAAGAAACACACAATGGAAACCAGCAACTTCCTGTGATGAAATAAAACATTGAAGATGACAGGTCAATACCATTTCCTTTCATCTCCAGCTGATCAAAGAGGAAAAATTAAACCAAATCAAAGTATTTCACTCAATTGGACTGGAAAATTGAAGGGAAAAAATCCAACAAAAAACAACACAAAGCACACTTACTCTGGCAAAATATATTTAATGACAAAACCAAAAACAAGTAAAAACACCAACAGTTACTTAAAATCATTATCATCATCATTTACCCATCATTGAAACAATTGTTTTACGCATGATTAAAATATGTTAGTGGGGCACATTATACTTAGGGAAAACACTAATAAAAATGTATATTTTTATAGGGGAAAAACACCTATTAGAACTAGCACAAAAAATGAGTATTGTTGCTTAAAGTATTTTAGTTAAACAAATGTAAAAGTAAACTAACAAAATATGATATGACAAAAATGGAAGGAATAAATCATAATATGACATAAATGGAAGGAATTTTGAAATGTGTTTGTCAATTCAACTTAGCATTTATTTGTTCATATATTTTGTACAATACAGGTCTTTCAAAAATAATATAAAACTGAAATCAATTCTGGTCCATGAATTTTTTACATAATTGATATTGTTGCAAATTATACATTTATTTTGATATTCTAAAAATCTCATTTAAGCATAAAACTGGCAAGAACTATTTTGGACATACTATATTAATAAATAGGGGTAAGATAAAATGACAAGTTATCTAACAAAAGGTTTTAAATACAGGCAAAAACATCTAAAAATAAATATAATAAAACAATTTCATAATACAAAATGTACACACTTTTAAAGTTGCACACCTCCATATTTCTGCTATAATATTTTTTTCAATAGAAGTGTTTGTTAACAATATTAGAAATAGATCTACGATCACGTGAACATATAAAATGATTTAAGATGTAAGATAGTCCTAACTACTATATATCTATTGAGAAAGTGTCAGAATAGACCTTAAGTCTTTTAATAAGGCTTAAAGTGAAATACAAGTATTGTTTGTTTCCCTTCCTATAACCTATCCACAGGAATCACAGTAAACAATTTTTTTAACCCCCCCCCCTCCAAAAAAAAAAAAATTAAATACATAAAATAAAATAACAAAAAATTCTTTTTACTAAATATCAACAGAAGCAGTGTCTATCAATGAGAAGTGCATTCATTGTACGTTTTTATTATCTCATGTATTTGCATTGTAATTATACAAACTGGAATATATATTTAAAATAAACTTAGGTTCTAAACTTAAAACAGATGCTAAGCATTCACCTTTTATTCAGATATAAATAATAATTATCTTCAATAAAAAAAGAGGGGACACAAAAATACATTGCAAACATTTTTCTCACCTATCTACCAACCTAGCTACCCAAACCAAAACTGGCATTGGTCATTCATTGGTGTGGAAAATATTATCTATAAATTTCTTAAAATTTTCAACCATTTGAGACGCGTCACGACAAAACCTACATAGTGGGTTTGCGGCCAGCATGGATCCAGACCAGCCTGTGCCTCCGCGCAGTCTGATCTGGATCCATGTTGTTCCCTATCAGTTTCTCTACTTGTAATAGAGTTGGTAAGCGAACAGCATGGATCCTGATTAGACTGCGTGGAGGCGCAGGCTGGTCTGGATCCATGCTTGTCGCAAACCCACTATGTTGGTTTTGTCATGATGCGGCTCATTTTTCTTTTAAAGATTGATCTAGTTGATAATTTTTTATGCATCTGGAGGTATGCAGCTTCAAACTATGTTAACATTTTTTACAAAATAATATTTTGGACCCAAAACATTTTGAGCATTAATTAGTCTCATTGGTTTTTATATACAAATTCAAATGAAAAATCAGCAGAAAAAAAGAGAACGATTTGTCTGTCGCAAATTGTCTTATATGTCTGAAGCAAATATATCTTAAAATAAATTTTGATTAATGCAAGTTATATTATGTCAAAAGAGATCATTGTAAATCATATTAAAAATTCAGAGAACATGGCCACTCTCTGTGAATTTTTAAACAATTTGCCTGCTGATCCAAATGATCCCACTCCCTTCTTGAAAGAAATCTTCATAAGCCTTCTTAAAATATTGGCATGTACATTGTATGCCCAAGGTAAATTATATTTAAAAATTTCATTGTTGCTTCCTCGGGTTAATCATACTTTTTATAATCAGAGATCATTGTTACTCCCTGGAGTAGAGCATATTTAGTAATCAAACAGAATTGCCACTTCCTGGGGTTAAAGCCTATTTAATAATCAAAGGTCATGGCCACTCCCAGAGAGAGGGGGGGAGGGGTTAAATCATATCCAATAGTCATAGATCACAGCCACTCCCTTTGGGATAATCATATTCCAGGCCTTTCCCAGGGTTAAATCATATTTAATAGTCAGAGGCCATGGCCACAGTCTGGGTTTACCCACAGCAATTACCCTGCAAAATGTTAAATTTTGGACATAGGTTTTAGCTTAATGTTAAATTGTGAGTTTTCCACTTGACTAGAAGAATATGAAGTCTCTAGCTTTACTGGAAGGGGATAAGGCCAGGTGCCCATCTACATATCAAGGACCAGCAAGCAGTTGGGGATCAATAACTCAGTTTACAAACAATTTCTAAATTTTAACTTTCTTATGCATGTATTTTATAATTTTTTATAACATTTTGCAAACAAAAGTATGCTTAATTAATTATTCAAATATGCAAAGAAAAATGGGTGTATACATATTAATCAATTCACTGTCAGCATATATTTGACCTTAGGGTCTCACACTTTTGATAAACATTCTAAAATATGAGTATATTTAATGTTTTATGTCATGGTTTCCAAATAAAATTTCACTCTTTAACAATGCAAATTATGAAAAACATTACCTAATATAGGTCATATAAGGTATGGTAAAAATGTATAGTCTTAAACATTCAGTTTGTACCTATTTGTTAATGATGTCACACTGAAAAAAAATAGGCAATGATATCATGAAAACCATATTTTCTCCATTTAAAATCTATACTTCCTACTATATACGAGGGTTGATCAATAAATTCGTGGACACACTCCATAAATTGTTTTTTTTGGGAAGGAAAGTTAATATAATTATATTTGACATTTATTCAATTATTTATCAATTTGATGCGTAAGTTTCAGAGAAATAATCCATATATTTTATCCGAAATGACAGTTTTCAGAAATACATGTAAAGCTGATCGCCGCAGCTCATTTGCAACTAACGTTACGTCGTGACGTCGGCGTTACATCTTCTCAAAAACAATGCAGCACCAACTTCTACACATCGTTCATGCCTGTGTACCCACCAACTGAAAATGTTTTTATACAATGAAGTATCAAATGAACGCAACACAGACAATGCTATGGACTGCAAATCATGGAACCCGGTTAACTTGTGTCACTTAAACTCTGCCTTCAATTTCACTCGCATAACGTTCGCATCGCAACAAGTTTTAATTGGTCTGCCGCATCTCTTATCATCCTGAAGTTCTTCTCTACCCTCACAGAAGTGTATGTGTCACTTATAAACTAACGAATAAGACACTTTTTTTGTTCCAGATACAATAAGTATTTCAAAATGGTAAATATAACTTTTTTTGAGCTGCGGCGGTTGTACGGTATAGGGCTGCTATGGCGATACATATAATGAACAAAATGAGATTTGTTTTTAAAAAAATCACAATATATTTGAATAGTTTTAAATTATTCTCCTAAATAGCAAAAAATCTTTATAATATCTTGAATAATTATTAAGTTATTAATAGTGTCCATGAATATATTGATCAACCCTCGTAGCAATAAACATCTGCTTTTATATATTGTCACATGTAAACTTCACCATCTTCCACAGAATTTACTTGTCACATAGACCTCTGTGACATAGACCTATTTAACATAGACCTATGTGACTATATACATATTTTACACAGACATGCATTGTGACAAAGACCTATGTGGCATAAACTTATGTGATATAGACCCATGTGACATAGACCTATGGAACACAAGATATTTCAGTTATCAGTAAAACAATAATCTTTTGTGAATACATGCATGTTATATTTGAAGTACTGACATATTCTATAATGTACTTAGCCACATAGGTTCAAGGTGAATATATAATACTGCACTTTTTTAACTTCCATTTTCATTTGGTAATTGTGATGTCTATGTAATCCATATACACGGCTACTTTTGATTTATCAATAAACTATAATTTTTAACCTAAATGTATTATTAATTCACTACAAAGATATTTGACAGGTTGGTTATATGGCTGTATATAACAGGCTGTTTGCTATATAACCTCCAACTAGTGACTCAGGTCATATAAGCTTACAATTTTCCTATATAACCTCCACCTAGCGACTCAGGTCATTTAAGTCTACAATTTTGCTATATAACCTGAACATAGTGACTCCATTCATATAAGCTTAATTTTTTTCTATATAACCTCCACCTGGTGACTCTGGTCATATAAGCTTTCAATTATTACACAGGGTCATATAAACCTGCTAAATAATCATTATTACTAATGATATCTGTGCAGTTTGACAAGACTTAATACTTATTACTAATGATATCATTGCAGTTTGACAAGACTTAATACTATTGACTGCTCAATTCAAACATTTTCTTATCAAAATCCCTCATATTAACAATGGACTTTAAAACTGGAAAGTTACAACAAAATGAAATACCATTAACATTAATGGCGATTTTGGGAGTTTTCATACAGACATAGAGGCAAAATCAAAATTGTTCAAAAGAATTTCTTTTAACTTGGCATGTTGATAGAATATGATAACAGAAACATGTGAAGGGGTCACTGTTCCCATTTTTGAGTTATCTGTCCTTAAATTTGAATGTAGGGAAAATAAATCAGCAAGAATCATTTTCAAAATACTGAATTTGTACTAGAAAACTATCAAAATCTATGCTAGGAAACAAATAACAACAATGTTTTTGTAAACTTTTCAAAGACATACACATGTATATGAACACTATTCATTAACCATCATGTGATTAGATATAAGAACCTTAGTTTTTGTAAAGTCTATCAAAAATCTTGGTAACAGTCATGAATGCTCTCCCAAGATGCTTCACTTTGAGGAAAAAATAAGAAAATCTATTTATAGTCTCATTGACCTTGACGTTGTTCCAATTGCCCTGAATATTGTGCAAAAGGGTAAAGTTCCATATATAACTGAACAATACACTGAATATGAGTGGTGTCAGTCAATAATGAGAATTAGTAAGGAAGTGTAACAGAGAGAAGTATGTACAAATGGAACAACTAACCAGTAACTATATTTAAGCTCAAATAAAAAATTCAGGGAGCTTTAAAATTAAAAACTGTTTTGGAATAAGGACGATTTACATTAAAAACAGGCAATGACAGTAAAGTTTTGATAAAATCATATAGGAAAATGGAAAATAAATAAAATAATAATACACTTATACATGGGAAAAAAACTTAACGAAAGACTTGACCCTATGAGGGTGTTTCATAATGATGCCTCCATGAAAAATGTCACAAGCTTTTGATTATTTTCATATAAAATGATATCTTAAATATGTAAACCTATTTAATATCAAATATTTTCAATATTACACTAAAAGACAATGGTCCCATTTCTAATTACAAAATCTATAAAAATATTTAGATTTTCTATGATCACACTAGATTTGAGCTACTGGCTACATTGGACATCTCCACCCTGCCGTTTAGGGTGTGATCCTTAAGTAGTCTATTAGAGAGCCTCTCCTGCAGGCTGAAGCCCATGAGGTCCTTCCTGGTAATTAAACCTTTAAGAATGTTTGTATTATCTATCACAGCTAGATGACGTAGACCGAGCGTACGGAATATCACATATGTACGCTTTAATGAAAACTTCTCTGGTATTGCCAGAGCTGACTGGTTTATATATGGATTCTGAAAATTACAGAAAATAATTTATAATTTGAAGATTAAAAAGAACAAAATCTTTCAGTTGATGAATATGTTTGACTTTTCTTGGCGCTTGATTTAAAAAAAAATAGCCTGAATAAAGTAAGAATAGACTAACTCCAGAATTAAGAACATTGGGTTTTTCCCAGCTAATCTATAGGTACAAACAAACTTTTACAGTTACAGCTTTGAAAATAAGCGCAACAGGCTGACTAATATATTGTGATGGGTTTTGCAACGTGAAGCTATAACGGTAAAAATTAGGTTGTACCTAGAGATTAGCTGGGAAAAACCCACATTTGACGAGTACCAGATAACATCTATTCTAAAGATGAAATATTTCATTCAAAATCCATGCTACAGATATGAATCTTGCAAAGTGACCTATAATTATGGTCCCAATGACTTATGAGGTTTCAAAGAGGATAACTTTAATATAAGACACATCGTCCAATTGTGATGTACATAAAAATATTGAAATATGAAAACATATTTACCAAATCTATGACTAGGTCCTTGTACTTTGGATCTCTAAGATATCGCTCTAATTTATCAACTACTACCTCAGGATTTGGAACTTTATGTATATTCAACTGAAAATACAATATAAAATATATGTTCAACTGAAAATACAATATAAAATAGATAAAAAAATAATATTTAAGAAATAACAAACTCCAAATTTTCAATATTTTCGGTAGCACTTTCAACCATTATACTGGGCAACTTAACCTTGTACAAACGTAAACCATCAGTCCGCATATTTGTGACGTCTGATTTTGGTCTGCACTGTAGGCTGTTAAAGTTACTTAGTCGCCTAAATCACTTAGTCAAATGAGCATTAACATCTAAGTATATTTCCTACCTCAAATATAACAAAATCTAAGACTCTCTCTTACAATTCTTATCTTATGAAAGAAGTGAGTATTACCATAAATTTCCCTCACTCTCTTACCTCTATGTGATCGAATTGTCGAGCTTAGAAATCTTAATCGACGAATGTTTACTTCAAGTATTTCAAAATCCCAAGTACTTATTTTCAGCAACCGACAGTGCAGTGTTTAGCCAGGCTAGATTGCAGACTGCAAGTTGACTTGAAAGTTCAATACTCTGTAGCTAATTTTATAATTTTCCACAGTGTACTTTGTCCAAATGTCATATGGGTTCGCCACACAGTTCAGAGCAAAGCAACTTACCTGATCAAACTCGATCCATGTCGGTTCATCCGGAGATGTGTAATGCTGGTCTAACTCGGACATCGGGAAAAACAAATCCTCGTTCATCAGTATCACAGTCAATTCTAACCTGAAATTACAACATAACATCCCTAAATTTGTGTAATGGATTTGTCCAGCTTTGAATCTGGAAATGTCTATTGTTATATTAAGGGGTTTCAATATCACAAGTATATATATGTACATATTGGGAAGCTAAAAGTACGGTCACTTTGCACTGATGTCGATCGTGTTAATAAGACGGTCTTAAGATGGAGTGTATGACCATCATAGATCAAAATTCTTCGATAAGAATTCCAAAGTTGTACGATTGTTGATAAGATGGGCCTCTGGTCCACATTTGATAATGTCTAGTCAGTGAGAGCAATAAATGTGGTAAGTACAAGTATCTACCTTCTAACCAATAAAAAAAAATCTGACACCATTTGATAACATTTTTCATTATTTAACAAATCCTTTGTAATACCATAATATTCATGTTACATGTCCATGCTTAAGATACAAGTTATCTGAAGAGTTTCATTCAATAATCACTTAAACAACAGTCACCTCTTCATGCCAATTGCATGCATGTCTGTATACAAATATAAAAATATACCAGTAAATCTATTATCTATTATTCATCATTATTACAAAAAGGGCCATATTTTCTTACAATGGCTTTTTATTTTTCTCATAGTTATATAGAGTGAACTATTAACAAAATGTTAGTAAGAATATAGAATAGACAAACCTTGTTATCATTCCGTAGAAATGTTGTTCCTCGTCTGTACCGCCTTTCTTTATAACAGGAAATCCTCCATGAGTTGTATCATGCATCAGTTCCGCAAGGGTTCGAACATATTCCTGCGTCTTAATGGTAATCACAGGATGTGACATAATGTCACATGCCTGGAATAACTCTAAATTTACCCTGAAAAATTGAAAATCTATTTCTGTATATTGCAAACCGTTCATAAAAAAAATGTTCAGCCTTTAACATTATACAGCTCATCACAGGCTTGCTCTATTAATATTTGTTTGATACGTCCAATGTGAGTCCTTATAAAATATAAACTCATTAAAGAGTCTTAATTTCATTAAACATGTGCACATTGTGGAAAACACTGGCTACAGTGACCTACTTTCTGCTCAAAATTCATATATTTGGCTAATAGTCCATGGAAATTGCATGGAGGTAAATCATGTCACTTTGTGCTCTCTTTAAATCATGTCCTGGGTCTGTGCGTACTCAACAGCGAAAGCTGCTTTTTGTGCCTTATCAGGCCAGGCTGATGGATCCTCAATAAGCATACACTATAAATAACATTCTACTCAAGTGCCAGCTTGTACTTAAAAAATACACAAAATTACACCTGAACTCTTGTCTACCAGTTAGTACATGTACTTGACTTTTAAAGTCAATGATATTACTTGAAACGCAAATATTAATTAACAAAATTTTCATTAGTCTATACAGCATGTACAGTATTCATATTATAAAATTTCAAAAAGCAGGAATAGGTTAAAGGCACTGATTGGCAAGCAAAAATTACGTTTTCATCAGATTACATATGTATTTTTGTATATTATATTTGAATATGAAAAAGCAACAAAAAGCAAATGGAAAGAATATTTTCAAACCATTTTTCAGTATGATGAAATTTTTTCAGGGAAAATTTGAGGAAACAGCAGGATTTTAAAACATGTATAAAAAGGAATGCATTTATTTAAAAAGCATTTAACACAAACCTAACAAAACCTCCTTTTTCTTCTCCTAACCTAGTTTATTTAGAAATAAATATCAATTAAAACTTAGGGCATATTTGTATGAATTTTGCATTTATGTATGAAAGCATAGCCATTTATCCTTAGTTTAAATGTATCTACTTTTAGTTCAAATGTGATGTAAGTAGTTCAAATGTGATGAAAGTAGTTAAAATGTGATGAAAGTAGTTCAAATGTGACAAAAGCTTGAAGCTTACAAGTTCACTTCCTGGAACTAACCAGTACTGATTTCATATAAGACAAACAATTGTGACCCAAGTAGGGCTCAAACCCAACATCCTTGGTTGAGAGGCAGACACTCCTTAGCTACTAGACCACCCCTCTTCCATACCGTTATTCAACATTTTAAGTTCACAAAGAAACAAATTGTTCAAGCCTCTGTTTTAAACTGACCGATATTCTTGTTTAAAGAAAACTGAATTAATAGTGTACTGTGTGCATATTTTTACAAAGTCTCTACCAAAGCAATGTGAAATTATCACAAAGTTTTATGTTCAAAACATACATAATTATATTTTATAATGCAAAGAATTCATGCAATCTGTGTATATGTTCATTTTATTTATGTTTTAGTGAATAAATTATTCCCAACTATAGGATTGCTGTATAAAACTTACATTTTCTTATCAATTGTAACTCTGGGTTCTGGATCCAGGAAAGGTATACATTTTAATTCCAATAGAGCATGGTAAATTGGATGTGTGAAGAAATCCCCCACCCACTTAGCAACCATAACTGCCACCATGACAGGTAAGAGTACTTGAACATCATTGGTTAACTCCATCTGTAAAATACAATTTCATTGGTCGATATCACATTTGGTTAATACCGAATTTATATTTTAGTTCAATTTGTGTAGAAGACAATAAGCAATCAGTGTAAGTTTCTTGCTCAAGGAAACAACAGCTTGCCTCAATGGGTTTGAACCCACATGGCTAGTGATCCTTGGACTTCTAGTCCAAAATGTTAACCACTTGGCCATGCTGCCAGTCAACCACATATTTCATTTCAAAGTCATATTTGGCTTTACATCAATATAGAAACATCACATTGCATTATATAGAAACCATTCAGATTTACACATTATATGGCCACATTCAAAAAGAACCTTTTGTGAAGGAAGACTGTAAGAGGCCTCTCAAAGGCAATAAGGTACTCCTTCAGGCAATTGTAGAACCACAGACCATCCCTAAGCTAACTAAATAGCTAGTTATCATAGTCATATTGGTGATATATAAAGAAACCAGGGATAAGATACCTGCTAGAATGTAAGAACCTTATTAATAATATAAACTCATCAGTAACATATCCATAAATAACTTAAAATATGACTCAATTTATTGTTTTTACTGATGAAGGACTAAAGCTCCATTTTATTCATGCAATTATATAGCTTGAAAGTATGTTTTAGTACATTTGTATATCAATAATTATCTATGTACCATGATGACAGTGGTCGCCAGTGTGAGCCTGGTCACACCACCGAAGAATGAAGCAGCTCCAATGAGAGCGAACGCTCCAGGATCCATCCATTCCCAGTACCCCATCTGATGCACTCCAAACATGGTCACCATCATTCGACCAACAATACGACCATATATTGCACCAACCATTCTGAAAAATGATACATGGATTACAAAGATTTCGTAAAATATATCATTCATACATCTGCATTGTTTCAAAATAATTTCTTTATTAATGGTCTTAACAAGTAAAGTCAGATTATATTTTAAAGAAAATTTCAATCGGGAAGAGGCCCTTTATCGAGTCTGTTATATAAGCAAGAAAATCACTGGAAACTGTTTAGAATGTCTTTTACAGCTAATACAAGTTAAAATAGAACTGAACAAGAAGTGTTCATTAAAAACAAAAGTCAGCATACAAAATCTTTTAATTAATAATAGTTTAATGAATTTTGAGATATATATGTTTTAAATACATCAATAACTATTTCAAACTAACAAAAACCAATAATAGAACTGCTTTTCCAAATACGATAAAAATCATAAACTCATGTCCTCATATGAGCATAAAGAAATATACATGTATATCATATTTACTCACCTCTAAGACTGATAATCTATAAGTCGGGGGTCTACTTATACACTTAAATCGGCATTATATGTAATTTAGATTAAAGTGGTACTTACAACATAGGAACCAGCGCTCCACATGCTACAGCAGTACTACATGCCCATGACACAGCGATGAAATAAAATGGCAAGACAGAAAACAATGCTGGGTAGTTAAACTCCAGATGTGTGTCACGAGAAAACAAGAACGTCACAGCATCTTCTAGTGTACCAAATAACAAGGACGCCACTGAAAATTTGTACATCAACATAGATAAATCAAATATAACATGTGTGTACTTTACATACTTCATTTTGTGGGGGTTTAAAAAACAAAAAATTATCAATCTCATCTACCGTTTTATCAAATTAAGATAAATTTCTACTTTTTTCTTTAAGAGGTTGTCAAAAGTTCAAACCTTCATTGTAAGTTCCATTTGTAAGCATTGTAGTATTTGAGGTTTTCCAGACAGTACCCTGGGGACATGTGTATCTTACTACATACTCGTCTACATGCAAGGTGTTCCTTGTGTCATTGAAACAGCCCTTTCTATAAATAGAAACAACAAACAAATATCCGACAACAAACAACTATCAGATCAACCCTTAAAATGGCGACTTTTTCTGTATAGTGTATTTGTAATTTTTGGAACTTTGAAAACTGTACATTGTTGGCATGGGGAGATTGGTTCAAAATTTCAAAATAAAGTAAAACAGGCAACTGTACAGAGACCGATCACCCTGCCTGGATATGCAGGATGGTCCGCGCTATACAGTTGGCATAGGTAAATTACTACTAGATTTGCACTCCTATCATTTAATTTATACAAACTAACAAAATTATGAGGTAAATTTATATTTAAACTTAAGAAATAACCAAATTATTTAATGTTATAGCAATCGCATTAAAAGGTTAACAAACACCTTTTATTTACATGTACAAAATTTGTAAATGTTTACTAACATAAAAATTTACCTCTAATTAGTACATATGCATTGGATAATCTACACTGATTTTTTTTTTTTTTTTTTGGTTCTAGGAAGAAATCAACTTACACAATATCCCCTGTCTGCCCCTCTATGCAGGTAAACTGTGTACAACTAAAGGCAGCTGGTATGAGTATTGAAAAGATGGTTACTATTATCTAAAAAACAAAATAAACATTAAATATAACTTTTCTTGGAGGGGGTGGAGGAGGGGGCATCCAGGGCCAAGTGGTTAAGGTTGTTTACATCAAACCACTTGCCCCTCATCCCAGTGGTTTCGAAGTCCAACAAGAATTTTGGAATCTTTCATGTGAGGAAGCTTTCCAGCTAGCTTACAGAACGTCAGTGTCTGTTTGTGGCTAAAAAAATTCACAGAAGGGCAACCTGCCCTTCAGGTCTTCCTCCACTAGTAAAGCTGGATCATCTGCATATGACCTATACTATGTCAATGTGACATAAAACCCAATCAAACAAACAAACAAAAAAGGTTTGCTAAACTGAAGGATGAATAATGTAATAAGTAATTATGAAAGAGGAAAGTCTAATTTAACTTACCATAATAAGGCACGGTTCTATCAACTTGATCAGTTTTTGTGCCCAATCTTTCTTCACTTTGTACAGTATAGTTTTTCTAAACCTGGTAATTTTCAGGTTTAGAATGGTGAATGCTGCCCCTAGAAGTCCTCCAATTATTCCTATTATTAATGTAGGTAGAAACATAACAATGTTTACATCCACTCCTTGGTCGATCTGTGAAATATTAAAATATATTTCATATTTAACAATGAGATACAAGATTTCATCTGTGAGATAGATAATGTATGACTTATTTATTGCTTATCTCCTAATGTGCAGTACTACACCTACATCCTCAACTATGTCAAGTTGTAAAAATATCATATCTATTTGATGATGAAATACAATATTTCATCAGTATGATATTACCTTTATCACTCTCTGTTTTTTTCGCATGTTCTGAAAACTTGATATATTTTTTACATAAAATAGCACACAAAATATAATAGGAAATTATTTATGGCAGAACATTTAACTTTTCAAAAGCTGAATTGAAAGCTTCCATGCATGAATGAACCCTTGCGAGGATTTGACTCCAAGGTGGTAAGGGGGAGAAATGAATTTTGGTTAGCAACTTGAAAAACATAGCCACATAATCTCTTATTTTGAGAAACAAAAGCTCTCCGTAAGACAGTGCACTCTACTATTCCTGAAGCTCGACAGTAAGAAAAGAGGCATAACTCTGTAAAAAGGTAACATAGATTTTTTTAACCTTTGCTCATCATGTTAAGTCAATCACAGAAAAAAATTATGTGACGTTAAAATTGCAAAACTTAACCAATTGTTATGCCGAGGTGAGTACAATAGCTCTCCCTATTCTTAGAATAGTCAGGCTCAATATTAATATAATTTGCTTATTAACTCATGTATTGTATTGCCGTACTCAAAATCAAACCTTTAATGTTAACAGACCATATTCCTATTACTGCCATTCACAAATTAAAAACTCTACTGAAAAAGAAGTTAAACTTATTGTGACTTTTTGAGGCTATTCATTTCATTTCAATACTGACAATTACCTTTAAAATCAATGCATTCCTACCTCAAACAAAATATATCTGTTAGTTTTGAACTTTCCAAAGCTGCCTGTATAGTTAAAATCCATGAAAGCAGAGTTGAATAAATCTGTTGTGAATGTGGACACTATACAACAAAAGAAGATCTGCCACGATAAGGTCACTGTCCAGAATGATGACACTTCCTCCATCGAGAATAATAACCCACCCACCGGGGCACCGAAAGCAGAGGCCACACCCGCAGCAGCACCCGCTGATACAAAGTTTCTCCTGGAAAAAATATATGAATCACACTAAATCATGATTCTTAATTTTAAATTACATGTGAAATTTTATACAAACTATAAATTAAATATAGCTTTGATCATAAACATATCTGTCGCAAAAAGTTAAAGTTCTAAAAGACAACAATTAAATTAATAATAACAACAGGTTGAATTACTTTCCAATTATTAACATTCTAATTTCTACAAATTTCCTAAAAAGTCAATGATATCAATGTAAAAAAACAAACAAACACCTAAATAAAAGATATTCTTGCATAAAAACTACTCATGCAGGTCTACATTAATGGAAAAGAAAAACATGCATTAACGGATAGATCCTCAGGACCATATGCCATGTTTTCAATATGCATGACTCAGGGCACAATGTAAAAACAGTTGAATGCAATGATGGCCCCTATAGTCTTATTATCAAAACATGTCTGTCAAAATATATTCCACAAGCACATGGAAAGCATGGCAAAATTTTCATTTTATTAAAATAAAATACAGATAATGAAAGGTGAAATCACCAATCTAGACATACACTTTTATGCAAGGATAGTGCTAATGCATCTTTTACATCCTTATGCATACACAGATGTTAATGGAAAATACTACTTTTTCAACAATTTGTCAATTTTCAAGAAGGCACTAACCTAGCTTCCGATGTTCTGAATTTCTCCAAGATGGGTAATTTTATACCCAATGTCTCTGACTTGAACTGACTCAAACCAGCTCCAACAAGTGCCCTGCAAAATTAAGTACTTTATTTATTGTAAAAATGTCTAAAACATTGTAATTATACAAATCATCAGCTTGTTAAATGTTCCATTTGAATTAAAAGCAAATACTGAGGTAACGAAGGTTTATGGTCTTTGAAAATTTAAAACTTTTACTTTTAAACCTAACTACATGTGTAACATGTAACTCAATCTTAAAGCAACCTAAAAAGCGCAATTACTGATTACTAAAAAGGGTCAATTTCTGGCCACTTAAAGAAGCCCAATTACTGGAGGCTGAAGAAATGTTAAATGACTGGTCCATAAAAAACTAAATACTGGCCACTGAAAAAAGCTCAATTATTGGCAATGAAAAAAGCTAAATCATTGATCACTAATAAAGCTGATATACAGGTCACTGAAAGTAAAGATGAAATCCCCAAAGCTACCAATGGACTATTCTAAATTTCAAACCAGGGGAAAATCATTTACAATCAACATAATTACAACAGGAAGAACACATTCTGATTACTATATATCTTACCCTAAATGGATCATGGGCCCCTCTGGTCCAACCGGCAGACCACACCCGACACATGTGACACATGAGAAGAATTTTACAACCATGGTTTTAATGTTAAAGATATGACGGACATTTGTGCCGTTCAGAAAACCAGTGATCTCTGGAATGCCTGACCCTCCAGCACAAGGACGGAGATACTGCAAATATATTAACAGTGATGCTAAATATAGATTACAGTGATGCTAAAATTAAATTACAGTGATGCCAAAAAGGCATGCTAAAAATACATTATAAAGATGCTAAAAATAAATATTGATGCTGAAAATAGATTAACAGTGAACTGTGATTCCAAAAAATAAATCAATAGTAGAAGTAAAAATAGATTAATAGTGATACCAAAAAGTAAATCAATAGTAGAATACTAAAAATAGATTAAGAAGCAATGCTAAAAATAAACCAGTATTGGTGCTGAAAATAAATAAACAGTGATTCCAAAAAATAAATTAATAGTAAAACTGAAAATAGATTAACAGTGAGGCCAAAAATAAATAAAATAGATGCTAAAAATAAATCAATTGATATGTTTTAAAAAAATTCAGACGTATTCTATTTAAATCAACAAGAACTGTTTTTACCAATACATTCAAGTTCTTTTATACATTTTTAGCATGGTAATGGGAAATGTTTTGAACTTATATGTAAATTCAAAACATACAATCCTGATTAGTAAACAGGAACATTCCATTACAAAATCAGTATTTATCATTGTAACCTGCGATGGAACTTAGTCATAAGCATTTTGCCACTAGAATAGAGCTGAGATAACCAGGACATCTTTACAGTCTGGCCAAGTTTTATTCTGTCTGTAGCTTCATTTTTTGTATTTCCATACTGAAATCCCATAAACTGTGAATGGACTGATCCAAATTCAAAGATGAGCTAAACCATTACATAAAACCAGCCATTAAAGGGACTCCACTGAGGTCTATAAGCCTAAAGACATAAAATTTGAATTTCTTACATAAATGAGTTGGAGCACTCGAAACAAAAAGATATGCAAAGATAATTAAGAAATATAATTTTAGAAATAAATAGAAAATCATATTTTTGTCCTTTTCTTAGCCCGATTTGGGTTCGGTTTGGTTCATTACTAACAATTAGAATAATTATTCCGGAAAAACAGAGTGAACTAATGAGTAATAATTTGAAATTTTACTCAAATGTTGATAGTCTAGACTAACAGCAAATGTAATGTTAATCTTGAAAAAAAGATTTCCAGTCCTGCGATGTCAAAATTTCAGTGGAGTGTGTCAAAATTTCAGTGGAGTCCCTTTAAGAGGTTAAATGAAGGTAGAACAAATACTTACAATAACAATACCAGCGCTGAATATGATAAATGCTACACTGTACCCAGTGGCAAACAAACATGCCAAACCAAAATCATTATCCTGTAAATATAAAGACAAATAGAACATTAAGAAGATGGTATTTTTTGAGTAAATGTTTTCCATATCATTATCTTAAGAGAAGTGAGATATTTTGAATATTCTAACTCAGGTGTTTAGCAAATGTAAGATAATTTTTTTTTTATCTGCAAATATGGCTTATTCCATAATCAATTTAAAAAAACATTCCCCCCATCCCCCTTTCAATTCATGGAAAACTGTATATTTACTACAACTAGAGATTTACAATGAGTGATATAAACTGTATTTCGCCATTAAATAATTCATCACCACATCTTGGCCTATTGCTATAAGTCAAAATTGATTTTTTTTCATATGCCATATTTACTCATCTATTAGACAGGTTATATTTTACAGTTTTATCAGCAGTATTTTGCACTGACTCATATTTTCTTCAGTATTTTGTAAAGTGCCAAAATGGTGTCAAGTTCAATTCCCTAGAATGATAGGGAAGATGTCGTATTAAGCGAATAAATATAGTACTTAAAAACAAAATTTAGTAAGAAATATAAATCAAAATAAAAATACCTCAATATATTTCTGAGTTATCTCCCATTTAACATCAGCTATTTTCTCAATCAGCTGATGAAGTAAGAATCCTATGACACCAATGGTAAATCCAATCAAGCCCATCAGTGCCCAAACCTCTAATTGGTAACTAAACAAAACAAAAGATCTGTCGTCATACGAAAGTCAACAAGCTTTGTTTAATCTAACTTGTCACTAAAAGGTGAGATAATGAAATATGAATTGTATTCATATTATTCAAAGGGACAGTTCACATAAAAATGATAAATCCCTTCTAAATTACACTGTTTTAATTGTGCATTGGAAAATCAACTTTAATTATAGCACCAAAACAACACCACTACAAGGACAGGCAATGTTGGGACAGAAAGAAGGCTAATACCTTCTACAATCCCCCTCCCACATATATGTATTAGTTTGTTTGGATCTTATGAGCACCAACACAATTTAAGTCATATGATGCTGAAACAGAAAAGATGATTTTGGCATACCCCAGGTGTTACAAACTCAAAGCAACACCAGGGGTCAAAACCACCTCACCTGCTAGAGCAAAGAGATGCATATCCAATTTAGTTGCCTCTGACGATCATGCAGAGATAAACAGTGGCTGCAATTCTTATGCCTCAACCCTTGAAGGCAACCCCTCAGCCACAAGGGGTACATAATTATAAATATGTATTAAATGTTGATTGTACCTTGATACTTTCTGATGTTTGATCCATTTCTTGTAGATATCACTATGTGAGGGGAGATAATCTAAACTCTCGTAAGCTGCTAGAGTCAATCTTTCTTGATCAGTGTACTTGTGAGTTGTGTTCATTGACTCAAAATCTCTTCCCTAGTAAAATTACACATAATTTAGTTTCACTAAGTACTTTGTCCATTTGTTATTAGGTCTGCAAAAGTTGTTTATATATTGCAAATGAAACCATATCCAAAGAACAATCAATCCTAAAATACAAACCTTCTGAAAACACCTGAAAAAGTTTACAATCACTTTTAATGACACAAGTGATTGATTTATCTTTAAAGGCAAAATACCCAATCTGTAAAGATATTTTCAATAGCCTTTTTAAATAAATGTTGTCATCTTACCTAAATTTACTCAGAACCAATATGCAGATATTCTTTAATTTTCAAAATGATCATTATTTCTTTCCTATTCTTTTACATATCTATTAATAGTCTCAAAATAAAGAAAAACACTTTTACTTTTACTGTTTTAGCTTTAACTGACATAAATTCTGGCAAGTCTTTGCAAGTAGTCAAGAAAAGAAACTCAAGGGTATAGCCAGTGTCACTTCTAAATGCAAATTAATCTGAATAATTCAATTAAAATACATGTATGTTGAAATAGGTCTAAAACTTTTCAGAAAAAGAAATGCAGTGAAAATATCAAATATATCTTACTGCAGCAAGAAAGCTGTATTCATCATCAGTATGATACCGTATACTATCATCGACGATCTCATCGGTCATGGTGCCTGTTTTACTCATTATCTTCTTGGTTCTGTTAGTCACACCCGCTGACGTACCTCTCACTGTCGTTGTTATCGTGTCTCCGTCCATTGTTGAATTTTCACTGGCCAATCGGATATACTCATCTGCCATTACAGTCCATGCATGGTCATATTTTAACTAAAATTTACATTATATTTTCAATCTTCATACTCATAAACAATTACATACATCTCAGTTTCATAGTCATTTGTCTCTCAAAAGTTATTGACTTCATCATTTACTTATTCTTTACTGAAAAAATCACCTACAACTTGTGTATTCAGTGTGTAAAGGCTAGCATAATGGGCTCTTAAATACTAGCAACTTCCTATCAAAAAATGAATATATTGATACATATTATAAGGAAGTCAAAGTGCCCCTGCTTTGGCTTGTCAGGATATAGACTACAAAAAGTCAAATGCATATTTAAAGGAATTTAAATAAAACATAAATAAAAAAAGTTTTCTATCAGTTAGTGTCTTTTTTTGTTCATGGTCACCACCATTTAAATGTAACTCAATGATAATCTGCAAGTTATTCCAACAAAGGAACAATAGCAACTTTTTGGATGAAAAGTAATAGAAAAGCTGTTCAAATCAAATATGGAAAGCACGCATAGATGATAGAAATATAGAATAACACCTTTAAAACTAAAAATGTATAATAAAAATAATTTTTTTATCTGACTTCTCTGTTCAAAGACATACACATGCAGGCTATGCCAACTTTCATATTAGCATCAAGACAATCTTATCACAAAAAGAATGTTAAAAACTTACATCAGGTGGCTTATATTTCTCATTTTTTATTGTTATGGACAAAAACCAAATTACATCAAGATAAAATAGAAAAGCTAGTTGCAATAATATACATTCTTTTTATCATGTTGTCACGATTCAGAACTGTTCACTATTTAGGGGACAGGACAGAGAGGCAGTATGCTATTCAGAGGGTCTCGGGTTCGAGTCCTAGTCAGGCTGCACATTTTCCTTCCTTATTACATTTGGTGCCCAACTGGCGACTGTGACTGGATATAGCTAGGAGTTTAACCTTTTACCCCATGAGCATATTGCGAAAAATGGCCGTTTTCATTGAAAAGCCTCCTGTAACAAGTTCAAACTGCTATGAAACTATGAAAAATGCTTCAATACTGACGAAACTTGGCACAAATGTTGACTAGACCATAGCCTCTGTAACAGCATGCTCAATTGTAAATTTCCTGTTACCATGGCAATGGGGGGACGTCTCAAAAGTGCCAAAAATCACTATTTTGCATTGTTTTTTCCCATCAAAACTGATTTCAAAGTCTTGCAACTTTTCAAAGAATTGAGATAGAGTAAATGGCTTTTCAGTGTCGGTTTCTAGTTACCCTAAAATTGACCTGAGGCCATTTTTAGCCTACAGGTCACATGTCCAAAATTTTCTTGGTGATGAGGGGGACTAATGCCCCCCTTCAAACCCCCCAAACAGAAGGGGGCACATCCCCTTCTGACAACCCCCTGATGTAACATTTTGAAGGGGGGCGGCGCCGAAAAAGTGGTCACTTTTATTAACAACATTCCTCGAACGAAAAGCGAACGAAAAACAGTGTATGGGGCCTAGATAGGACATTTTTCACTGTTTGCGACCTCAAAAAAGGGGGGGGGGGGGGGGCAAAAAGCCGTTAAAACACGTCTATATCAGGGAAAAGGTTAATAAACATTGCTTTGTAACCCTGAGAAATTCGGGGACGATCTACAATCGCAGAGGAGTAAGTGTACTGTATGTAGCCCTATGTAGCCCTATGCCGGCAGATAACTCAGTTGGTTGATGCGCAGTACAGTATTCCGAGGGTCTCGGGTTCGAGTTCTGGTCATGCTGCACATTTTTCCCACCCTGTTACAAGGTTCAAAGCAACCTTGTACAAAAAATATATATTTTGTATATTTTTGGTCCCAGAATAGGCAGAAAGCAAAACTAGAATTTCCTAAACTTCCCACCTCTTAAAGTTTAAGTTAAACGAGTAAATTTATCAAAACAAAGACAATAATTTATATCGACAAGAATTTGTTGCGTTTAAAACAATAAAGAGTGAATTGTTGTTTCATTTTGATAAGATCAAAATAAAATTAGAAGATTACCTTTTTAACCTTAATTACTAATAGTTATGTGTTAGATGTCCGCCATTTTGTAGTCATGTGATATTTCATGTTTGATAAAGTTTCGCACCACTGACAATTCGTTCCAGTTTATAAATATTCCAACCCTTTTTTAAATAACCACATGAAACGTATTTTAAACCATTAGTTAACATTAATAAATGATTAAAGCATATTTAAAATCTATATCTGAAGTGATTCTGTGTTGGCCTACGAATCTCCGCTAACGGCTCATATATGAATCTCGGTTATGTCTGGCTCATAATATGAAACATTCAAATTATTTGGTACATTTATTTAATCAGAGAAAGATTACAGAAAATACAATGTATGAAGCTCCATGATTAAATCGATTACTAAAATATCATTAAATAATAACCGGTTTCAGACTCGTTGTGTAGAGTAAAATGTAAATAACGATACAAAACATAATTTCAATCACCTAATAGGTGAGGGTTTGTTAAATCAGAATTAAATCTACCAGATAACCTTACCTAGAAGACTTGCTGAAATTACCTGTTTTCTTGTCTTTGTTGTTGTGGTTGTTTTTTGTTTTTGTTCCCGCCCCCCCCCCCCCCCCAGTGTGGTCCGCCCCCCCCCCCCAGTGTGGTCCGTACTGTTGCAGTTACCTTTCCAGTCTACGAAGTATACGTCAGCAAAAATACTATAAAATGATACAATGCACAAGAAACGAGGATAAGAAATAATATATCTCTTGAACTAAAATATACTCAAAAGCAATATTATATATATCCTCATTTTTGTGCAAACGATGTGCGTACTAGCTGCTTTTCATCTTATTGAATAATACAAAACGTGCTGTAATTTTGCCGCAAGTAAAACACTGGCAGTAACAAAAGTTATCATAAGAACTCTAGGATATCTCCAGAGTTTTCACAAGAACTCCAGGACATTTGAAAATCGGACATAAATTTGTTAACCGGTGCGTCATATATATGTTTGCAACTTTGCAATATAATTTATTATGCCCCCGCCATGTAATGGCCGGGGCATATAGTGTTACCCTGTTCCGTCCTTCCGTCATTCCGTCCTTCCGTCATTCCGTCCTTCCGTCATTCTGTCATTCCGTCATCATCAGTTTCCGTTCATTATCTTAGTAACGGTTGCACACATTCAACTCAAATTTGACATATGGATATGTCATGAGAAAATACAGGTCAAGTTCGAATTTGGTCATGGTTTGATGATTTTTGGCAGAGTTATGCCCCTTTTACTTTAAAATAATATGAAATTTTCAGTTTCTGTTCATTATCTCCCCAGTGGTACAACACATTCAACTCAAACTTGACATATGGATATGGCATGAGAAAATACAGGTCAAGTTTGAATTTGGTCATGGTTCGATGATTTTTGGCAGAGTTATGCCCCTTTTACTTTGAAAATAATATGAAATTTTCAGTTTCCGTTCATTTTCTCCCCAACAGTACAACACATTCAACTCAAATTTTACATATAGATATGTCGTGAGAAAATACAGGTCAAGTTCGAATTTGGTCATGGTTCAATGATTTTTGGCAGAGTTATGCCCCTTTCACTTTGGAAATAATATGAAATTTTCAGTTTCCGGTCATTATCTCCCCAATGGTACAACAATTTTAACTCAAACTTGACATATGGATACGTCACAGGAATGCGCAGGTCAAGTTCAAAGTTGGTTATGGTTCAATGATTTTTGGCAGAGTTATGCCCCTTTCACTTTGAAAATAATATTAAATTTTCAGTTTCTGTTTATTATCTCCCCAATGGTACAACACATTCAACTCAAATTTGACATATGGATATATTTTTGGAACGCCCAGGCCAAGTTGGAATTTGGTCATGGTTCAATGATTTTTGGCAGAGTAATGCCCCTTTCACTTTGAAAATAATATGAAATTTACAGTTTCTGTTCATTATCTACCCAACTACTCAAATTTGACATATGGATATGTCAAAGGAATGGGCAGGTCAAGTTTGAATTTGGTCATGGTTCGATGACTTTTTGGCAGAGTTATGTCCCTTTCACTTTGAAAATAATATAGATACATCTTAGGAATAAGCAGTTTAAGTTTGAATTTGGTCGTGGTTCAATGATTTTGGACAAACTTATCTTTCTTGAATGTTGTAAAAATTTTGAAATTTCAGTTTCAGCACTGAAATTTATGTAGCCAATGCCCATTATTTTGGCTACAAATATGAAATATGCTATTTTCAAAAGATTTAGACTGAATAATTTCAGTGCCTTGAACATTGTATGAAAATGGTTAAAAATTATTTGTGCAAACAAATTTGGAACTAAATATTATAACATCTGAAATTTTGGCTGCATGCGGGGGCATCCGTGGCATGATGACACATTTCTAGTTTATTATGAATGGCAGGACTAAAGACCAGAAATAAACGGGTCAATACGTGCGAATTGGCAAATAATTTGGATATTTTACTCAAAACTACCAGATTTTAAACAAGAGGCAATGAAAAATGGCCCATGAAAAAGTTTTTGACACATAATACAAGATGTAAGGCAAAGGTAATCATTAAAGTTAAACTCACTTTTTAAAGATTTTGACGAGTGTTTTTGTAGTATATACAAAGGTTTTCCGACGAACTCCGTGACAGTTATCAGAAGAACTCTTGACGAACTCAATCCATCGTGTAACAGTTCCTCCCCGTGATAAACGTGCACACCTTTATCATACCTTCACTCTCATATGCGCGCGCTTTGTACATATCGGATGACAGCTACTGCAGATATAATGTTACCTCATTTGTGAAGAAATGGTAAAACTACTTAAATCAAATCCGCTTTTGCCTTTAATGGTATTAAGTGCTATAAATGGATATTATATAGTTTCATGCAATCAAAGTAAGTCATATTTTAATGTTAAAACAATTAGTGACTATTTTATAGTAAATCTATGCTTAGTTTAAGCTATGTAATATGTATATAGGGACAGTAAAACTCTCTGGGCAGATTATATGAATAATTATGTACCATTTTACCTTAAAATAATTAAAATAGATTTTAGAAAATATCTAATTATTAAAAAAATGATTTAATTGAAAAGTCTAAATTACGAGTATAATTTATATATAGAAACGCATTGGTTTAACCCATTCCCCAAAATAGGCTTATCGGGGATTTCCTGTTTCACCATGTGAAAAGTATATATATCGATATATTAAAGAAGAATCAATTCAATTCTTATTATATTTCACATTTTTGTCTTTAAGGAAAAACAAAGTATGCTGAAATTAAACTAAATATTTACAATTTTCTTGCATTAGAAAAGCTGGGGGAAAAAAAACATGAACAAAAACGCAGGCATCACTGGAATCCCTGAATTACTTTTTTGTTTTGTGACATTATGCTCATCCATGAGTGAAGCTCAAAATAATTTTACATTCTGTCTTATCTGTTTTCAATTTTATAACCAACTTTATCTGAATAGTCAATAATTTAAATAACATTCTGAATTTATCGGTAACAAAGGGAGGGCAGTCTTTCTTTTATATTTTAGGCAGTTTTTATATTTTATCCTAAGTGTTAGTGTTTAATATTTTTAGTGTTTGAAATTATATTTTTTCTTTGCAGTATTTCAAATGAATCGTAACACATTTACTAACTCTTAATCAGTGTAGTAAATCGACTATTTATAAAAAATATAATTTAAAACACCGCGCCTGACCAATTTAAATTTATAAATACGTACGTATGAAGTTTAACATTATACTCAATCACGGGTCAATGTCCATTAAATCTTTAGAAAAATGCAAGGTTTTTGGCTTACTTGACAGTAAAAAAAATGAGCATAATGTTACTCTTTAGGCCAATAGTGCCCCCAAAAGTACTTTTATTTTCATTTATCAATTTTATATATGTTTGTGTTCTATAGCTGTTTAAAACGTTACTTATTGGCCAATTACCTGAATTATCATTTGCATCAGTTGCTCTTTGGCAAGTTTTGTGATTTTGTATACATGTCAAAGTACTACATTGTTTACACCTTGCTTATTTCATGACAAATAATTTCATATTCAGCGCTGCATTGATCTTCCGCTGTTATCATCTAACAAGCTCAAAGGTAGTAAATATCATGTTTGACCTTTCGAAAGAAGAAATAAGAAATATTTATTCCTCACCTTTTATATTTTTGTATACAAAAGGCCTAGTAAAAGCATCGTTGGAAGATGCATGCATTTATATACGAGCAGTGTTGCTAACATGTTATCGTATAGTCCGGACAGGGTCTGATAGAGACCTTAATGTCAGTTCTTACAAATTAAGGAAAGAAAATAAAAAACTTATAAATTTCATTTAAGAATGAATTCAACAATAAAAGATCACAAGCGTAACAGCAAAAATACAAAATATTGAAGAAAAAACAAATTACCTCATGTTGAGGGCCTCGTGGAAGATTGATATGTTGTTCAAATGAGTTCTCTCGTTAAATGAAGTCTTTATTTATTATTGTTATTATTATTATTATTATTATTATTATTATTATTATTATTATTTTTATTATTATTATTTTTTATTATTATTATTATTATTATTATTATTATTATTATTATTTTTTATTTTTATTTTTATTATTATTATTATAATGATTTCTGCTTAGTGAAAATAAGGTACGTTCGGGGGTCCAGAGGGAAAAGGTGGGTGTGATGGGGTAAGGGGGGCATGACTGCTTGGCCCCCATCCCCCAGATGGGGAAGTAAATAACACGCAAGATCAACAAAATTAAGTGAGCATTTACTATGAGCAATATTCATACAAATTGCACACCATCACTAATTAATAGTTCAACAAAATTAAGTGAGCATTTACCATGAGCAATATTCATACAAATTGCACACCATCACTAATTAATAGTCATCATTAAGAAGTGAGCGATCACTCCCTGAAAAATGTTCACACTTTATTCTGTAATTAAATTTAGTATAGCAATGGTGATTGAATAAAAAAGATAATAGCTTAAATCTCGAGGCGTACTGCTTTAAACACGAAACTGCCTAGAGAAAAAATATTTAATTTATACATGCTTTACAAAAATATTTAAAAGTCAAATATGCAAAGATAGATAAAACTCTCTTTTAATGCCAATTATAAAGATATTGTTTACTATATAAGTGATGAGGGGAAATAACAAAACTTGGGCTTTACCCAATAGTCACGTGAAAGTTAAAGTTGCATCATTCATTTTATAAAGACATTGTTTACTATATAAGTAACAAGGGGCAATAACAAAACTTGGGCTTTACCCAATAGTCACGTGAAAGTTAAAGTTGCATCATTCATTTTTATTTTGATAGATTTAAAGACATGGGTAAATTTAATTACAGAGGCATATATTTTCCAATATTCTTATTCTTGTTGGAATATATAAGCTCAAATGAACAAGGTAGCTTTTGCATTCATAGATGTGTACTATATTTGTTGATTACGGGATTGTTTTCCAATTGTAAAGTTTAAGTTATTTTTAGATCCAAGAAACCTGGCTAAATCCCTCACAAAGCGATTTTAGTTCTTTTTTTTAATAGGTAACAAATAGTGATATTAATGTTTGTAGATGTTGGTCATCTGTCATGTTATCATGATATTTAAGTATCTTTATACATGCAGGTTTCAGTATGCGGAATTCTATAAATAGTATCATGCAGTTGGGTAAAACCAATTTTTATACCCAAAAATAGACGGGAAATTCCACGAATGAATTATCGATATCTATATATATGCATTATTGGTGCATAATTTTTACATATAATATACTACTATGAAATGTATCGGAATCCCACAATTTAAACTTGTCGCTACAATAATAAACCAAACGATTGACACGCTTGACACATACGTTTGACCTCATACCAATGCCTATTTTACTAGCATTGTAACTCTTAATCTCTTAATCACATAAACACGCTAAATAATAATAATAATAACAATAATAATAATAATAATAATAATCAAAAAACGAAAAAAAAAGAAAAAAAAAAAAAAAAAGAAAACCAAATAAAAACGAAGGAAATGTATCGGAAATGAAATGTATCGGAATCCCACAATTTAAACTTGTCGCTACAATAATAAACCAAACGATTATTAGGTGTTGTCCACACAAAAAATGAATGTCATTGAAGGATTTTGATTAAAACTTCTCGCAGTGATAGAGACAAGTGAAAGTACAGTGTCTCAGAACTATAACTCTACCTTAATTAACTTCTATAATTTTTTTCCCTCAGTTAACTCATTGAAGTTTCACACAGTAATTAATGCTCTACATTGTTAGTTTTTTTTGTCGAGCTCGCTCGCGGTGAGCTCGACTTAGTCGCCACTTAGTGTACGTGCGTCAGTCCGTCCAGTCTATATCTGGCTCATTTTTTTTAAAGATTACAAAATAATTTGTTACACATGTCCACCATGATTGGGGGTGTGTTGCACACAAAACCCAGGTCCGCCGCTCAAAGGTCAAGGTCACACTTCGGGAGCAGCGCTAAACCCGTGTCCGGAGGGTAACTTCTACATGCATGAAGAGATCTTTATATGACTTGGGACAAATGTTCTCCATAGTGAGGCGGAGTGTCGCGCGAAAAATTTAGGTGTCTGTGGTAATTTGGTAAAGGTCAAGGTTACAGTAAGGGGTCAGATGTCAAATAACAAATTAAAACATAGATGTATTTTAATGTTAACTTAGCACAAAGGTTCTCCATGTTGAGTTGAGTTGTCTCGCGGAAAAATGAAGGTCAAGGTCACAAGAGGTCAAAGGTCAAATAAAAATATTAATATTTTTTGTTTGCGCTGTATCTTGCGTATTCTTTGAAGGAATACAAAATAATTTGGCACAAAGGGGTTGGTATGTCGCACGTCCGCCGTTCAAAGGTCAAGGTCAAACATAAGGGTCAAAGGTCAAATAACAAAATAAAACATTCATTTGCGAGTATATACATAAATGCATTTTAATATGACTTAGTACGTTGAGTGCAAAATGAAGGCCAAGGTCACAAGAGGTCAAAGGTCAAATAAAAATATCAAAACTGTATTTAACGTATGCTTTGATGTATTATGCTTACTGGTCAGATAATTTTTGAATTGTTGATTTCCCTTTTGGTGAGCTTTGATTTCCCTTTTGGTGAGCTCTACTTCGTCGTCACTTCTCAATTTTGGCGGTTTGGTGTATATGCGTCCGTCATTCCGTGAGTAATTCTAGATTTGTCCTGTCTATAACTTGCTTATTCTTCGAAGGACTACAGAATAGTTTCATACAAATATTCACTATGATGGGGTGGTGTGTCACACGCAAAACCCAGGGCGACAGCGCAAAACCACGATGGCCCTAACTGAATTCCGTATGTTTTTGCGAGAAAGTACGAGCTCAGAAGAAAGATACGTACAGTGATCGAAAGTAACATGTGTTTGATATCATAAGAAATTTCTCACAATGGTTCATGCATGGGTTCACATATTTCGTATATCGCCTTTGTATTATCAGAACATATAAATTATTATTATTATATTATTATTTCACTGTGTATTAACTGCAATTCACAAGAGTTAAACTTACAAGCATAAACATTTGTATCTAAAGATAATGTGTCCTTGTTATTTTTTATTTCCAGCTACTCAACACCCATCTAGAACCGTCATTGTGTGGCACGCAAGCACGGTGCAGTCATTTGCTGCACAAAAGGACTTTATACTACGTGGCATCTCTCAACTCCAAACTGATTACTCAGAGATAATCATAATTCCAGTTAGTGCAACTGGTAATGAAACATTGAAAATTACAAAGACTGATAAGGACTGGATAAGTGATTTCGTATATCTAAGATTCAACCAGGGTAATGTCATTCAAAATACACTAATAAAAGATGCTTTAAGAAAGTATCTTAATCATGATACAAAAACAAAGATTGCCGAAATGCTATACTTTGTTGTCGATGATGCTTCAGAAATAGACAATGTGAATGAAGTGGTAAATGAATTAAAACGGAAGAAGGTATTCGTGATTTGCGCAACACATTCAGGAATTCCAAAGATGTGGCAAAGTCTTGCGACGGACAAGAACCACATCTTACAGCTGACTGGAAATAAAGATGATGTTGTCGTGGAAAATAAACTGATCGGGCTTAGTTACAATGGTAAGTCAGGGACGGAAATAAGATAGTTATGTCTTTGCATTTTATTACATACATGTACATGTGGTTATTTTTTATTCATTTTATTTTTGGCAAGTCAATAGTATGATTAATGCACTATTCTTGATATGCTCAAAAAGGGATTGAATTACATCTATCATAGATTATATACTTTTTATGTCTTCACATACTTAACCATTAATAAGCTGGAATCGAAAGTAATTAGTAATTTTCACATGTATATACCAAGGCCATTTTGCAAAACCTTGCAATCTCGCTGCTCATCTCCAGTTCAACAGGTTAATAATTAGAAAGAAAAAAGTTAGGATCTGTTTGCATATAATACACATGCTTCATTATTTCTTGTGTACTTTTTTACAGACTCTCGACTTCCCTGTGATACCAACTTATACTGGGATGATGTAAGATGCACGGAATGCATAAACATGTGCTCCATGATAACAAAATCTGTACCACCTAAGTGCGAAAAGCACTGCCCTTGTAAGTTTATTTTGTTTATCTTTATTTAGATGGGGGAGAGGCATTCCGATAGTTTTAGGGTCATAGTGACTTTCAAGCTTTTCTGATGAAAGGTAACGAAGATCCTTTCTTTATCGTTTGTTTGGATTCACTGCGCACTAACACAGTTTAGGTCATATTGCGACCAAGACCCATTTGAGCATTTTTTCAGGTGATTAATAAGTAGTGATTAATCTTCGGAAATATTTCATCCTATAATTAAAGAAGTCAACGTCAGTGGCCATGGTGGCGGGAGTCAAACCATTAGAGGTGACATTTTTAGTGTTCATCGACCTTAATGATTATTATGAACTGACCAAATCTAAACCGATTTGATTGACTTTATTTGCTTTTGTTTGTTCAAACAATCAATCCTGCATAGAGGCTTTGAACATTTCAGCTAAAACATTGTATTGTTTTGTGAGATATTACTACTTACTTTTAAGTACATTTTTAACCGAAAAAAGTGTTTACACTATCGATGAACTTACACTATCGATGAACTCTTTTTTTTCAAGATCTGGACAGAACGCCAACAAATCTCCCGACAACTATAATACAAGAAGATGTTGAAACAATTATTTCGGACCATAAAGGGCTCATCATTGGTGTTATAGTTATTACTATTATCATTGTGATCTGTTTGATCTGTCTTGTCGTCTTGAGAAAAAGGTGTTGTCGGAGACAAAGGGATGTCGAGACTGCACTTGCTGGTAGAGATACCACTGCAGTTACGGAAACAGGACACACTGAAGCCGGAGATAATGTACCAAACAATGATGACCATAGCACTGAGGAAGTATGAAATGTTTAAATGTTAATTCTCAAACTTGATCGCATAACTGAAAACATGACGGCATAAATGAAAACTTAATTGCATTGGTCAAACATAATTACAGACAAATGCGCATCGTTATCACGTTCTGCAATTTGCTTTATTGACTTTGTTTTTTACAACTTAAGTTTTGTATGTCAAATGTGCTGAGTTTATATCGGAATTTAAACGTATTCAGTGAAATTTAGTTGTAAACTAATTTACTTTTCAGCAGGATGAGGGACATGAAGAGACGTCTTTTCTTGATTCGCAAGCAGTAGATGACACGGCTTCACTTGCTACAGATGACGACAGTGGAAGAGAGAGTGCTGTAAGTGAACCCACTGGACAAAGTGAAAACCATCCAGAGGAACCGGTTGAAACAAATGAAGAAAAAATACCATTTAGTATAGACTTTAGATCTGGCGCCGAACTAGATGCAAGTAAGTAAAAATAAACATTAAGGAACCATGTTGAGGAAACGAATACTTGATTTTAAACTGTTTAGATTTTTCCATTACCCATTATGACATTACCCATTATTATTTACATAATGTATAAAGTTGTTTTTCATAATATCCTTAATACCAATTCCTTTCATGTTTGCCCTTAATAAGAATTGCTTCAGTTTCATTGTTGCCATTTTGTAACTTACAGATGGTCACACTTTTGGAGGGCCTGTCGTAAAACTCCACGCAGATACTCCTGCAGATGCGACATACGTTAAAGGACAGTATCCGGAGGATATGTAGAGAGAGGATGATATAGAGTCAAACAAAATGGACTGTACTGTAGTTAGTTATTTTGTTTGTTGGCTGTTCATAGCAATATTCTTATTATCATTATTTGTAATATATATAGATGATGGTGAACAACCATACTTCGATGGAGTTTTCAAATCACCTTCCGTTGTTGAGGCTGATTAAATAAACTCGCGTAAACAAAGTTCTCAGCATCCTTTTATGTTAAATAACACATAAATAATGTTTAATTATTGTTGTGCAGCATATAAAAAGTTGGTGCATGTGAACTCTTAGCGGTCCTTGGTTTTAAATCTTGAGGAAAAGGTAAGACTCAATGTCTCTTAAAAAAACATAACACTTCGGGAATGTCTTCTACAATTTTAGTGGCTGATCAGTCAGTCCATATACATTTAATTGCCAGACTGAGATATGGCTAACAACTACACTGGTGCAAAGCGTTATGTACTATTTCTTATATTATATCGCACTTTACTATACTATACGCAGAGACAAAATATGAGCGCTTTACTCCATTTCAAAACCTTGGGCACGCTTACAAATGTATATATTTGAACTGACGTAAACATTGATTTTTGACTATGTATGTCTTTATTAAAGAAACACGCATTTAGATTTATGCTTCCATATGCATTTCTAAAGGGCAAGTAAATTTATTATACATTTTCCTCAGTTATGTCCCCCTTTTTTACTTTGAATTTCTTGGTTAACGTTTTTTTGTTAAGGTTCATTTTTCTCAAAAAGTACCGAGTATCAAAAATGTTCACTTAAAACTTGGAGTGCCTGACTATGTAATTTAAAACGCATTTCCATTGGGCAGATAAGCATTTTTTGCTTAATTATTTCCTTTGTATTTCTTAATATTTTGCCTTTTTCACACACACAAAGAAAATAAAATAATAATGAATGAAATAACTAACAAGGGCAGGTAAAGTCTGCACATTTGCAGAATTATAACTTAACATTCACGTGCTTTTGTTTGTTTGTTTGTTTAGATTTGAATAGCATCCCGAAACAACCACTTTTCAATCACAACCTAAATTCGAACACATTGCTGATGTCATGTCAGACTAAATTGCACGAAGTAACATGTTGCATGTTGTGTAAACTTCAACTTCTGCAGAAATGCCAAATTTGATTAATTAATTGTCAAGTTTTAAGTGAGACATTGTAACAGTAACTATATAAACATATTCACTTGTTTAAAATAGGGACAAACATTTTTCCAAGCAAGCTATTTTTTTTTATAAAGTATTACCTACAGAAGTTTTACCATTTACCTCAGTCATAGGTGTATTTAAAATAATAACTTATATGATGTAGCACGACTTTACATAGTGGTCCTTATTAATATATTTTTCAAATGATGATTGTACAATAGATCTTTTCTAAGTGATACCAACTGGCAGATCTAGTCAAATTTCCATATTTGTCAATATTACAAAGTGGGGAAGGTAAAATGGCTGTGATGGTTGGATGCATTTATCATTTTGCGCCCCAATAAACGTACTAAGAAATGACACCTTCAGCTGCTCTTTTTGTACACATTAACAGTTTTCTAAGAAAGACCAATTTTAAAATTGATAAATGTTAATAGATTCTTTAAAGGCTAAAAGATTTCAAGCATAACCCCCCCCCCCCATTATTATTGACTGAAAACAGGTTAACTGATTGAATATTGGTTATTCTGGGGAAAAAAGTAGAGGTATTGTTACAGTCATGGCGGCGTTCCCGTTGCCGTTTTCGTCCCCAAACTTTAACCTTGATCGTTACTTTCTAAGTTCTCATATTTGGCCACAACGACCCTTGGGACAAGACTTTCAAGAAAACTAGACTAAACTTTGCGTTCATTCATAAATGACCTCGACATTCAAGGTCAAATGGCTAAATTTTGCTTGATTTTTGCTGATTTTGCTATAAGTGGCTATAACTTTGTTCTTTTTGAATGGATGGCTTGCAGACTTGAACATAACAATCTTCTAGGAAAGACCTTCAATTTAACCAAGGAGATCTTGACCTTCACTCATAAATAACATTGAAGGTCAAATTATTGTTGGTTTCATTTTTGCTGCAACTAGCTATTTCCTAGTTATTATTGAATGGATCTTTATATCAAACGCAAAGTGACATTGACAAGTGCAGTTATTGAATTTCGATTACATCGTCATAATTTTGTTATTTATATACGGATTTGATTTATACTTGACCTTTACATAATTGACATTGACTGTCAAGGTCAAATTAATAAAATTCTCTAATTTCCTATATCTTTGACAGCTGAACCATGTGCACAGTTTTAGATGTAAATTTGAACTTTGATATCAGTTGACTTAGATTTTAACAAAGTGACCTAGTTTTGAACTTTGATATCAGCTGACATAGAAATTTTATGAAGTGACCTACTTTTTTGTGCAATGAAATTTTAGACAATTTGCACAGTTTCAGATGTAAAATTGAACTTTGATATCAGCTGACCTAGATTTTGAAAACTTGTCTTTTTATGTACAGCTATGAAATTTAGACCATGTGCAAAGTTTTAGATGTAAAATTGAACTTTGATTTAAGCTGACCTTAATAATTGAAGAAAGTGAATATGCTATTGTCCTTTGATGTACAGCTATGAAATTTGAACCATGTGCACAGTTTTAAATTTAAAATTGAACTTTGATATCATCTGACCCAGATTTTGATAAACTGACCTACTTTCTAATCATTTGATGTACAGCTATGAAATTCAGACCATGTGCATTGTTTTAGACCAGTGACCTAGATAATTTGATATGATAACCTACTTTCTTTCCCTTTGATGTACAGCTAGTCAATTTGGACAATGTGCACAGTTTAAGATTGATATCAGCTGACATAAATAATTTGATGAAATGGCTAATTTCTTGTTGTTTTTGTACACCTGTGAAATTTGGACCATGTGCACAGTTTAGATGTAAAATTGATAATTAAACATTATAGTAATGAGTAATTTTTGTACAGAAACAAGTGTGACTAGACCTAACTATTGAAATAAAAAAGGGAAGAACGGATTTTCTTTCTTCAAGATTTATTTTAAGTCTTTTATTTCTTTGCTTTTAGAAAAAGTGTAAGAAACGAGCATTGTCCCTGCCAGGCCGTGGCTCTTGTTTTGTGGAGGCATAAACCTTTAAGCTTGTTTCAGTAATGTTGACGTGTATTTATTGTTGAATTATGTACATGTTTAGTATATGATTGAGACTAGAGCATCACACTAAATACCATATTCCGGTATACATCGGACAAAGCGCTTGAATATTAAAGATCCTGTAACACAATTTTTTCATGGTTTTATTTCATAAATATGATGCACAAATTAAGATTTGTCAATATTGTAAGTTCCAATAAGCATTCTAAGTCAAATTCTGCAATAAGAAATGAATGCATGTAATTTATTGATTAAATATTATGTGCACAAATATTTGAAGTACACATTTTACATATTCTTCGATGTTTGAAAATTGTTTTATTTGCATAATTATATACATATATAATATTTTGCAAGTGTGGTATACAAACAGTAACAATATCAATCACAAAACATACAGGATCTTTAAATACTTAAACGGCCGATATGCATTTTAAGAATGGAAAATGTAAGAAGCGCTGAAAAGCAATATTTTCTTCTTGTGGCAAGCGTCTACAAGTGTTGCTCCAGTTATATAGAGGATATTTGTTTGTTTTGCATGTAAGATTGAAATATAATTTAACTGAGTGAACACCAGACGCAACATTTTCACGAGTGGCGTAGCCACGAGTTAAAATATAATAGCTTGTGTTCACGAATGAAATAAATTTTAATCTTATATGTAAAACTTTTTTTTGTTACATTTTTAACATGATGTATGATGACATCGACTTTCTTTTCCTAAAGAAGCAAAAATTTACGCATGACGACATTTATTTCTGCCTGTTATTCCAGTTAGATATGATTTTCTTTTCATCCGCATTCAGATATAGTCCGGCTACAGTGAAAATTATATTTTATAAATTTCACTGGTGGTTTATATCAGAATAAAATCATCTGATAAATTACAATAAAACACGGGAAAGCATGAAATAAATCCATATAATATACATACTGTAAGTTTGTTACGTCGCTTTTCATTGGATATTGATTGGTTATATATCCATACAACCGTCTATGTAGAGCCATATTACTTGTCAATCATCTTTATACATGTAACTTATTTTATATATGCATGCATATATTTTTGAAGATTTACTAGTATATATACAAATTACGTGGCATATGTTCTGTTTTTATAATTGTGAACAGATAGAACAAACTTCATTAATTTACTTAACTTAATTTGTGGTGATAGAATTTTGTACATGAGTGAATACAGTAAGCGACATACATTTTGTGGGCTTATTTTGCAAAAACAAGTAAGAATTAAGATAAAAAATTTGGACATGCAATAATAGGTTTTGATATTGATCTAATTTACTAACTCCAGTGTTATATTCATTTAAAATTATTTTACCAAAACAGAAGAAATGTACCAAGATCAATTTGATACTGTATCTTTGCCGTGTTGTTTATGAAATCAAAATTTCACCGTCCTTGATTAAACTTGCTATACTTATGCATATGAAAGTACATCTACGTGTAATTGTATTTTTGAGACTTTATAGGGTTTTAAACTTCATTTATTAATTTACTGTTAAATGAATGAAATAAATTGTTTCTAGCTATGATTATTGTAACTAAACAAATCACTATTTACCTTCATGTTTGTTGTTGTGTATCAATGTATCAATCGTATATATATATATTTTTTTCTTATTTTTGTATTTTTATTATAACTGTTTACATGTATTTTCTTACTCTATTAGCAATAGTACATTTTTTCATTTTGATTTTTGTATTTTTATTATTACTGTTTACATGTATTTTCTTACTCTATTAGCGATAGATTTTTTCTTATTTTTTTATTTTTGTAATTTTATCATAATTATTAACTGTTTACATGTATTTTCTTAATTCATTAGTGATAGTATTTTTTCTTCTCATTTTTGATTTTTGTATTTTTATTATATCTATTTACATGTACATTGTATCCCCCCCCCCTGAAATCCAGGTATTTTAGGGAATTCTGACGGAAAAGCGAATGGGTCAGCCTGGTCAAATTGCATGGATGGACGTGCAGGCTTACATGGCTATATAATGGTGGCTTAGGCTAATCACTCCCGGTTTCAGCAGGGTAAGGGTTAAAAACACCTGGTCAGCAGTTTTCGTGTAATTAAGTTTCGTGCAAACTTAAAGCAGCATGCCTCCAGATTCATGCTAATTTTCATGAAAATTTTGAAAATATATTGAAAAGTTTAATATTGTGAAGTGAACAAAGAAAGGAGTTTACACATTGCAAACGACACTTATAATCCAAGAAAATTACCAAAAAAATAGGTCAAAATATACATAAATACCTCTTATTGCGTTAGTACTTAACGCAGTAAAATCTCAGTGATTGATACTGCAAAATCAGTCATTACTCGCACATAACATGTAAATAATTAATCAGATATTGAATCTTTTTTTTTCTTCTTCTTGTCGTTCGCCCTTCTACAACGTCACCCCAGCCACAGCGATGAAATGTGCAGTCTTCCGGAGGGCCTCAAGATTCCCGTAGAATTTCTCCTCCAGTGGGGTGCTTGCATGCTGGCCACACTTCTCTTTGCAGCTGCTCTAGATGTGGGAATCTTTGTAATAGATGTTTTGCTGTTTGATTTTCTACGGCACAGGAGCATACAGGTGATTTGGACAGCTTTAGTTTATCATACATGTGTGCGTTCAGCCTGTTGTGGCCAGTTCGTAGCCTGACATGGGCTACCTGTTCAGCTTGGGTAAGCAGATGGTAATCACCTTGTGCTGTCTTTGGCTTTCTCAATGCCTTTATACTTTTCTTAAGATCTTAATACATTTGTCTTAAGATTAAATTTCTTGATAATATTTTGGCTCATCTGGAGGCGTGCAGCTTTAAATACTGAAATATACTAAAAACATACATGTACTGTATTAAATAAAGATACCTGGAAAAAATGTTTCAAATCTTAACTGAAATAAATTGTTACAGGATAACTAGTTTTAGTGTAAAATTGTTACTGAAAATAGAAATATTCATTTAGAACATAGTACAAATAAGTTTATAATGATATCTGACTGGATTAAATGTATAGGAAAGGTGGGAAATTGTAAATAAATATTAGATAATATATTGTACAAGTTCTTTGTTTTACGTTGACAAAAATATTGTTACAACGTTGAGCTAACCGAAGGCTGAAATGTGCCATATATTAATATCCACGTTTTTTATATTTCTATAAGTCAATTGTTCATACATGTATTCTTGTATTCTGTTTTTTTTTTCAAAATAATTTTTATATATCATATTAATTACCTGACTATATTGCTTGGCCAAAATATTTCTGAACCTGAAATCTCCTTAAATAAAAGAATTTTGGTTTTCATTCAGGGGAAAAGAAAATGCAATTCAAATTATTTTGTACTTTTTTAAAATGTATATACTCTATATGCAGTCATTGGTCAACTCGGGGCCAATCAGAATATCAGAAACAGTCATATTTTGGCCATAAATTGTAAATGTAATGCTTCTATTATATAGCTATAATTAAATATTAAATGTGTGTGTGTGCAGTGAAATGTCAGTTCTTGTTTTCTTTCTCAGTTGTGAACATTTATACGAAGGCCATTGTATTAAAAAATATGTAATGGAGTCCAGGAAGAAACCATGCCTGTCTAATCAATACGTGGATATCGTAAGTTTGATTCTCAATGACTGTACCACATTTATTCACATTTGGGGGCTCCGTGGCCAATGTCGCTGACTCAGAACCATTTTCCCGTCACCGCAGTGCTACTGGTTCGAATATCGCTGGGGACTTTGTATTCTTTCATATCTTTTCCACCTAGCTCACGGGAGGACACACGTTTGACTAAGAGGCCTACCCGTGCCTGAAAAAATACTCAAAAGGGAACCTTAGCTGTTCTTTATGAATTAAACATGTTTCTGGGTCAATGATCATGAGGACACCCGAATTTTGCGTACTTTATACAAGTGTTTAAATGACAAAGCGGTAACCAAAACTCTTCCTTGACCTCGATCACGCGACATACAGTATTATATGCCGTGTAGATATTACTATGTTGGGGCCACATGCAAATATGAATTCCACCAGCTTGATCTTATAATTAATGTCATGGCCATTGAAACTTAACATATCTAGAGGCCATGCTTCTGGTATCTGCCATGTATCCCTAGCTGTGTCTGATATAGCTGTCAGTTGGAGACTAAAGGCTATTGCACTTGCTAATTTGAAATGTAATTAGATAAATGGGTAAGGCAGGTGGACCCTGGAAAACTGTTCTTTGAATAAAAATCGTAGTTTATGTAGAGCAATTACAAAGTCGTCGTAAAGTGGGAACACCACCCTATTGCAAAGGCAAAGTTGGAATGTAACTTAATCAAATGAAAGCTTTACGGTGGCTTCCGCAAAGTTTTTAAGTGCACTTACAAAATTTCTGCACCTGGTAATGTCAATGCCACGAGGAAATGGTGGTTCCAAATTATTTCACTGGCAATGCAATCGGAATAAGGATGCACTGTTTAAATACCCGGTAGAACAAAATTAAAATTGTCGCATCAGAAAATGACAATGCCACGCGGACATGTGGCGGCCACATTTCTTTGTCTAGCGCCCCGTGCTTTATATTTCCGTGATGCTGTTACTCAAATTTAAACTATTGCACTTGGCTAAATTAATTATGGAACAATGGATAGCTTCAGTGTTTTAACGAAATTTTGTAGAAGAGTTTTTTTGTAAAAATTAAGAACAAAATCGACGCACGCTAAGATGGCATCTGGCAAACTGGCGGCTATGTTCCTTTCACGGATTTTTATTACATGTTATTAAGATCAAGGGTTCTTACATGAGTGTCTTTAATTGAAATAGTTAAAGTTCCTTTTGCAAGAATCACAATTTAACTCTATTTAAAACAATATACAATAGATCGATTCAACTTTAATCAATGAACTATATAAGAAAAGATCTAATGATTTAAACTGGCTATTCTAAAAACAAGGTTCTTTTGAACTAGGAATTTCTCATTTAAAAAAAAAAAAATAATAATTTGATATAAATGCCGAGGACGGGCCTCATACATCTTCCGAATACTTCCGTAATTTAACGAATCATATTCCGCAAATCGAGTCATGCGTGTCAGCGTACCTCTGTAACGCTTGGTAGATTACACGGCGGGAATACACAAAACAGGGAATCTGACGCTTTGAAAATAAACATGGGAAGACGAAGCCGGTCATCAGCGGAGGGAGTGACAAACAACCCCCCTAAAAGAACAAGACGGAGATATAACCTAAGGCGAACAGCGTATGTACTGTTACTTTGCATTTACTTGTATTGTCATGAAATTAAAAGTTGTTAAACCAGTAGCCTTTTTTTTACAATCCGGTGCTACTGTAAAATATTCCCATGCTAAATCATCCGTGTACTGAAGAAAAATAAACAATGGTATTTGTATGCACCAATCCGAGGAAACCTTGAACACCATATAAATAATAAACTGATAATTTATGTTCAAAGTATTCTTGTTTACTGAACCACAGGTTTGGTGATGTAGCTCATTAATTATGGACTGATTGCACAAATTTTTTAATCAGGCCTGTGAAGTAGGCCTAGATCGTGCAGGTACAGTAGGGTCAGTTTTTACTGTAATGTTTTTACTTTTATGCTGTCCATGCAGTGATGGAAGAAAGCTGTTGTCGAGCATAACTATGCTGTAAATGCTGGAGGTCATCTTTATGGAGCAAATTTTAATTTTGACTGGTACGGGTTTTAGCCATGCTTTTCCCGGATTTGTCAAGTTGCATTATAACAACATTGACAGGCATTGTTTTACAAGTCTGTGGCGCAGGCACTTGTAAGTTGATGGAATTTTTATAATCTGACTGTTAATGCATGGTAAGGACTTATACAGAACTATGCTAGATCCAGCTATCCTCAGTGTTGGGTAGTCTAGATGTAATGGGCACGGGTGTGGTTGATGTGAAGGGATTGCAAATGATTGCATGAGATCCATTTATATCATCTAGTGGTCTACATTGCAATTTTCTTTTGGTTATTACAGGAGTAGAATGAAGAGAGACAGGCTACTTGGTGGTGACCAAGATGGAAGGAGGACTGTTGTGTCAGATGAGGACTTCAGGGAGAAAAATGTTGCACTTGAAGAGGTGAAATTAGGTAATTATATAATTAATTAAGCATTGTTATTTGAAACTAGGTGTGAAATCAGTTTTTCGGTTGAACTTTTTACCCTAAAACATAGCTCTTACAATCTGAGGATACAAAGTAATGGAGATTATGTTCACTCATTGTGAGTACCATATGTTGAGATTTATTGTAATCAAACTTTGTTAAAAACAAAAAATTAAAAAATTGTTGATTGCCAAGTTTGACCAATCAGCTTATTTAGATTTGAGCATTAGAGTCTTAGACCACAGGACTGGTTGGTTCAAGTCATGTGTTTTTCTTGACAAATTGTATAAATGTAACAGACGGTCTTTATAGAGAAGATTGCAGTACCTCTTGAAAGAATCAACACAGTAATGCTGAAAAATCCAACAGACATTTACAAGAGTACTAGAGTAAGGCACATTTCAAACTAGGTTTGGAAATTAGATAAAATGTTTTTCTGCTATGAATATTTGTTTGTTTCTTTGTTTGCAGGATCAGCTTTGAGCATTGAGTCGGTGGACACCTTGAAAGAAAAAAATCAGAAGGACCATCATACTGATGAATTCGAGGAAGATTTCACAGTTGTCCGTCGCGGTCAAGCCTTTTCGCTTAAGATAAAATTTGATAGAAATGTGGACAAAGATCAGGATATCATTGCCATTAAATTTTCATATGGTATGAAAACATTTATTTATTTCAAAATTTTGAGACAGCCAGATTGGTTTTTTCAAAGAACATGATCTTCAGGTTTATTTAAGGGCTAGATAATGATATAATTGTACTATACTATAGGACTATAGCGTTATGAATTTTTAGAAATATTTTCCCGAATACTTTTCGAGATGAAACCTTAACCTGAGATTTTTTGGCCTTGATTTGATATTTGTTTTCTATTTAGGTGCAAGACCATTGGAAAGCAAGGGTACTCTGGTCCGCTTACGTGTTGACCTGGTTGATGGTGTGGAAACTTTGGAGGGATGGCTTATCAAGGTGGAGGACTTAAAAGACGACACACTGACTGTAAATATTACCGCCTCAGCTGATACAATGATAGGAAAGTACGAGCTTCTCTACGAGACAAAGTTAAAGAACAGTGATAAAGATTTTACGAAGCAAGATCTAGACACATACATATGTGTACTGTTTAATCCTTGGTGCAAAGGTATGGATTTTTGTGGATTACTTTTGTTGAACGTATTTTTTTTGCATAGTTGAATCAAAGTTACTATGATTCAAAGTATAATTGTAGAGTAATATACACTAAAATGCCTGCTCAAAAGTTCAGAGCAATATATCTTGTATTTATAAGTACTTGTAAGAAATTTTATGCTTTTTCAAGCAAAGTGTCAATTATAATTCAGAACTTATCAGTAAGGACTAGGTTCTTCTGTCATAATCTATATGCTGAGTTCAAACATTGTATGAAATTGTCTACTTTTAAATTTACAGAGGATATTGTATACATGGACAATGAAGCTGAGAGATTCGAGTATGTACTAAACGATACAGGCAGGATATGGATTGGTTCAGCCAGATCTCATTTTGGTAGACCGTGGAACTTTGGTCAGGTAAATTATCTCCATGGTTCAGTTAAAACTCTTGTTCCAAATAGCGATAGAATGAAGATTAATTTTAGGTATGAGGGTCTATGTATATGTTACAGGGAAATTTTGATTGGTGCATTGATCTTTGAAAATCCTGAGATCTGACAAAGATAATCAAAAAATGTTTTATAACCACAAGGTCCAGTGATAAATATGCCTGGTTTGTTGCTCAGCAATGAGTATCATACTGAAATAATTTGAAAATGTCTTTATTTATTTTTCAGTTTGAGAGTCCAGTGTTAGAGGTTGCTCTAGGCTTACTGGACAAGGGAGAGTTGGCAGACTCGGGGCGTGGCAGTGCTGTCTCTATTATCAGATGTCTGTCAGCCTTGGTATGATAATATTTAACTTGTATTCATTCTAATCTTTTAAAGGGACTCAACTGAGGTTTTTCGACATGACGGGACTGGAAATAATTTTTTGGGATTATTACTCCATCTGATGTAGACCTATACTAATAACCTATGTACAAAATGTCAGATCATTAGCTCGCTCTGTTTTTCCAGAATAATTATTAAAATAGTAAAAAATGACCCAAAATTGAAAAGCGTTTAAATGCTTTTCAGTCAAATCGAACTGAGAATAGCACAAACATATGATTTTCAATGTATTTCTTAATTATAATTTATTTATATTTCTGTTTTAAGTGCTCATGCTAATCTATGTGAAAAATTAAATTTTTTATGTTTTTAGGCTTATTAACCTCAGTGGAGTTCCTTTAAGGCCTATGTGGCATTAAATGGCTAAGGTAGTAACTTTAAAACAGGAACAAAACATGTCAAAGAACTATAACACATGTCTGTATTTCTTGTGCAATTTAAGTTAAGTGCACAATCTTTTGTATTCAGTTTGAGCGTGTGTATGAATCATCATTCCTTTAACCCCATCCTTGGTGATGACATAGTTGTAGATTGGCCACTTTGTAGGTTGTGGGTCATTTGCTGCCTGGACATACCATGTCAATGTTGTTAACCTGTTTTAATTTTATATGTTGATTCTGATATAGGAATCATTTTATGTTATTAGTTGTCATGTATTGCTATTTGAATGTTTGCAGACAAACAGCATGGATGATGAAGGGCTATTGGAAGGAAAGTGGGCGTCAGAATATCCCAAGGGAAGTGTTAAGCCTTGGGAATGGACAGGGAGTGTGGCTATCATTGAAAAATACCATGAAACTGGAAAACCTGTACAATATGGACAGTGCTGGGTGTTTTCTGGTGTTTTTACCACTTGTGAGTAAACTTGAGTCAAATTTCATGTCCTGAATTTATGTAAATACACATGTGTTTGTTGTTTTTGAAAGCATGAGGCATACATGTGAACTTTTTTCGATGATCAAGTGATAGATTTCTTCAAAAAGAGGGAGATTTTAGAATTTGCAATAAACAAAGAAAAAAGTTCTGACATCAAAAAGAGGGAGATTTCTTTAATTTGTGAAAATACCCCTTATTTTAATAAAAATCTTTTAAAATATAGCTGCAGAAAGTGGGAGTCGCTTGCTAGAAATTGGAGTGTTCACATGTATGATGAGGTAACTATAGAGAGAACACAGCAGTTTCAGCTTAAGGACTTTATTTGTCCTGTAATTTTTTTAGCAGAACATATAGTGACAGATATATATTTTTGTCCTCCCTGTATCTTCTTTTTATGTGAACTCTCCATTTTCTCTTTACTTCTTTATTTATTGACTGATGTTTTAGATATTTGTTGTGTGTTGATATTTTTCACAGAACTTTTGTGTGGAATTTCAGGTTGATTAGGTCAAGGTCATTGAGGCTAATTATAGACTTTCCTACTTTATGCCATAGTAACAGTTATGTGGGAACTAGGAGATATTTCATCTTGAAATATGAGTACATGCAGAAAAAATATGTCAAAGAATCTGTTACATATTATGTAATATTTAAATACTTAAGTACAAATGTATTTGATATTTCAGTGCTGCGATGTTTAGGCATTCCAACAAGATCGGTGACAACTTTTGACTCAGCTCACGACACAGATTGCAGTATGACAATTGACAAACATTACAATCCAGATGGTGAGCCTTTAGATGACCTAGATGATTCAACATGGTAAGTTTGTTTCAGGAGAAATTATTATATTATGAAATATTATTGACAAGGCATTTTTAGGCACTTAAAAATTTCACGGAGCATTAAAGAATATAAGATATTTTCAGTTTACAATTTTGAGCTTGACTTTTTAAAGATACAGTCCTCACTACCTTGGTGTGTAATCGGATATGTATTTGCATGACCCATTTAGGAAGTTACTTGAAACAACACATGCCTTTGATGTCATAATTGTAGAAAACTCCTGAGATACAGAACATAGATGTTTACATTATTATATCCCTTTCTGAACTTTGAAATTTTCTTTTTAAGGTTTCGTGTGTAAGATCTGCCTTTACAATCAATGAATGTTTTCAATTCTTCACTTATGTGTTTATACTTGCTGTACTTCCTAATAGTCAAAAGTTAGCAGTAACTGTTAATGCAATATTAAAAGCCCTTTACTATTACAGGAACTTCCACGTTTGGAATGAGTCGTATTTCCGTCGCCTAGATTTACCCGACGGTTATGACGGTTGGCAAGCTCACGATGCCACGCCTCAGGAGGCTAGTGAGGGTGTGATGAGATGTGGCCCCGCCCCAATGAAGGCCATTAAGGAAGGGCATGTTTACCTTAACTTCGATACTGCTTTCATCTTTTCAGAAGTGAATGGAGATAAATGTGAATGGGAGGTAAAAACTTATTCAATCAAAAGCTGCTATAATGTCAAAGTTTTTTTTTTATACCATTTAATTGCTGATTTTGGGTTGATGGAAATAAGTTGTTTTTTTCCACAGTAAATCCTGAAGGATGGATTTTTTCCAGTAAATTCTGAAGGATTGATGGAAAAATGTTGTTTTTTCCCCTGTAAATCCTGAAGGGTTGATGGAAATAAGTTTGTTTTTTTCCCCTGTTAATCTTGAAGGGTTAATGGAAATCAGTTGTTTTTCCGCTGTAAATCCTGATTAAAATATGAAGTATAAAATGATTTCCAGATGTAATGAATGATAGTAAAGGGCCATGTTCAATATTGTCTTGTTTATTGTCTAGGTACATTCTGATGGCAGTATGACTATATGTAGTATTGACAAATATTCCGTAGGACATAACATCAGTACAAAGGCTGTTGGTTCTGGCGATAGGCATGATCTCACCCTTGATTACAAATATGCTGATGGTGAGTATAATACTGTAACATTTTAAGGCACAAAACCCTGTCGGTGAAAAGCTAGCTCACCACCGAGAGTGGTTTATGCCCTTATAAATTGGATACTATCTTTTATGTGAATTCATCACCTTTAGTTTTCGTATATTGTAATGCTCATTATATGAAGTTCTACCAACGTCGTTACATTACTTTCCCCTTCGAGAAGTCTCGTCCCGAGACTCGGCCTGGGAAATCTGTGGATAGGGCAACTCCGGTCTGGCAGTTGTCTACATCCCCCACACTGGCCACCAAATGTAACGTTTTAAGGCACACAAACCCTGTTGGTGAAAAGCTAGCTCACCACCGAGAGTGGTTTATGCCCTTATATATTGGATACTATCTTTTATGTGAATTCAGCACCTTTAGTTTTCGCATATTGTAATGCTCATTATATGACGTTCTACAAACATCATTACAATACTATTGTAAAGTCATTCAATTAAACTATCCTGTCTGTATCATAAATTAAATTGGTAGATACTTTTGTAGGCACCTTAAATGACTAAAATGCAAAATTTGAAATTCAGTTGTATATTTTTTTAAGCTTAGATACTTATGACCTTGTACATAAATGAATGAATGAATTTATCTTGCAGCAAGTATTGTATATCTAAATTATATATATCTGATCATATTGTTTCCAGTGTATGTAGGTCTTAGTAAAGGCCATCATTGAATATTGTTATATAGATGTATCATCGAAATTTTACATTTGCTTCAATGTTGATTCACAATTTCATTAGTTTAATAAGTTTCATATTGGTATATTGATAAAAAATACTTGGTATCTAATTGGTGTAGTGTAAAAATTAATGTACAAGTTCTAATGCTTAAAACATTACTTTTTGGATTGTACATACACTAGTATTAATTTATTGATATAAACAGGCTCACCGGAAGAAAGAAAAGTTTTAGAGTTTGTGAACAAGTTTAGTACAGAGAGAAAGAAGAACGTATACAAGAAAGAGCAGAAAAGAGAGGTATTCTTCACTAATATATCACTGAACTTTCTATTTTTTGGTAGTGTATGCACACACACAAAAATAATTGTATATTATTGCATTACAAGAGTTGAGGTTATCTCCCTTTGACTTTTCTTAGTCAAGGGAGAGTGGTTCAATTTGCCAATTTTTACAAATTTAATTTGCAATCCAAATAAATGAATTGAAGATGTATGCATTACAGTAGTTCTCTTTGTAAGTTCTAATACTCTATACACTATATTTTTACTGTACTCAAACCTGTCAGTAAACAAAAATTTGCCAATGAATAAAAATCTCTGTTAAGGAAAAAGTGTCGTCATGACCTATGTCATGTTATTGACTGCTAACAAGATTTAACAACATTAACATGGGTAAAAGTTTTCAGGTATTTGCCTGAATTTCAGATTTTTGATTCATCTAAAAGCTCTTTTTTTCTATTAAAAGCAATAAAAAAGTGCTAAATTAAGTGTTTTCAGGCTTTTTTGACCTTTTTAAAATGGACCGAAACTATTAGACTCTAATTAAATATTGTAAACTTGCATTGGTGTTGAGGTGTATTACTTTTTATTTTGAACTTGCATCTTTCATACCTTGTGATAAATTTTGATGTGATACCATAATATTTTTGTAACTTTCTATTTTGAAGCTTGAATTTGAGCTCATTCTACCAGAGACTGAGATCGGGCACGATCTAAATGTTGGAGTGAAGGTGAAAAACATCAGTTCGGAAGACAGGAAGGTCAAGGTCCGTCTTACATGCGCATCAACCTTCTATACTGGCGTGACGGGAAAGAAAGTGAAGGGAGAAATGACAGAGGTTGCTATCGAGGGCGGAGCAGGTGGGTTAATTTGTAGTTTGATATGTTATGATGTGTTTAATGCAACTGATGTTGAATCACTTTCCCCTTACCAATGTGGATTCAATTCTTAACATTGTTGAGGAATCCTTTAAAGATATACTATGCTCAAATTTGATATTAGAAAATATTAATAATTGCTACACAGTCTTTTTTGTAAGTATGAAATAAACATGATTTGTCTTTACACAAAGTAGATATATAATGTTTTAAATTCTAAACACTATAGGTGATCACAATAAAAGTATATAGTGTCATTTAAAAAAACTGGCATTTTTTTTTTTAAGAAAAGACCAACTTTACTTGACCTGTATTACGGAACGCAGCTTCACATACATAGTTTATTCATTCTTTTATTCAAGTTAGACATATACAGTATAATTTCATAGATTTCAATTAATTTCTGTGATTAAAATATTTTACTCAAGGATGAGCATGGTATATCTTTAATACAATCATATTTACAATATTTTGCTGTGTGAATGAATTTGATTTATTTTCTTGTCGTTGAATTGGACAAGAATTGCAAGATTGATTGATTATAAAACACATACAATATGATCATAGAAATGCTTTTTTTTTTCAGAGAAGGACGTTATGCTATCTATTTCACAAGAGGAATATGTTGAAGCAATGAACCCTGAGGCCAACTTTAAATTGACTGCTGTGTGTAGGGTAGTCGAGACCGACCATATGTTTGCTACCAGTGAACCTTTCTCCTTGAAGAAACCAAGTCTTGCTATCGATGTATGTTTTAGTATTCTAGATTACAGGTTGTTTGGGGGAAGATTGTTTTACACATATTGAATTTATGTGATGCTTGTTTTATTGAGAATTCTTTTGTAAGAATATAACAGTATATAATGCTAGTTTTTTTTTCTCTCCATATGTCGATGGAACTTGAAACTTAAAAACAAGCAGTTAAACATGTCCAGGAGCTGAAAAATATACTTCAATGTTAAACTTGACTCAAATAAATCATAAATGTAAATTTGATCCTCCTAGCAATTTAAAGTCCAAGCCTTTGAAACAGTGTATGTTTGTACTGCATTCATTTAAGTCAGATTGCTATAAAGGAGGCATTATTTTTATTAAAAATAGGCAGTAAATGTCTTAGACCAAGATATTTGACAAGCTTAATTTCCTTTAATTTTGTAAATATCCTTCCTTTTGAATGCTCCCATCAATTATGTATGAGATAACTATAAAATTGACCATATTTTTTTTGCAGGCTCCAGAAAAGATCTGCTCATCTGTTGATACTGTTGCTTCAATACGCTTCAAAAACACATCAGGCCTTAAACTTCATAACTGTGTATTCAATGTGGAAGGATCCTACCTTACTAAGGCCAGGCCATATAATTACAGGTAAATCTCTTTTTATTTGTATGTTTTTGACTTGGGACTTACTGTCCTTGAAATGTGATTTCTAATCGCAATGAATAAAGTCTGAAGAATTCATGTCAGGAACATACCATACTAGATTAGAGAAAGTTGGTGGTCCTGAATCAGTGTAATCTAGTGCCTAACATTATACAACATACACCATAAGGTTCCATTTGTCAAATGGAAAGAAAAGTCACCTTTGAAATTTAAGAAAATTTCCACAATGTTAACCATAACAGAAAAATAATTTTTCAAGTTCTGTTGTACCAACATGTTTAGTTATTAATTTTAACTTGTTTTTAGCTCACCTGAGCATATGCTCAGGGTGAGCTATTAGGATCACTCTTCTTCCGTCGTCCGTTGTCCGTTCACACTTTTAAAACGACATCTCCTCTGAAACCATAAGGCAGATCATAATGAAACTTCACAGGTATGTTCCTTGTGTGAAGCCTTAACAAAGTTGTTCAAAGAATTCCATTCCATGCAGAACTCTGGTTGCCATGGCAACCAAAAGAAAAAACTTTAAATATCTTCTTCTAAAAAACCCAAAGAGCTAGAGCTTAGATATTTGGCATGAAACATCTTCTATTGAGTGTCTACCAAGTTTGTTCAAATAAAAGCCCTGGGGTCAAAATTGGCCCCGCTCCAGGGGTCATTGATTTTCCCTATATGCATATAGTAAAAACTTAAAAAATTTTCTTTTAAAGAATGCAAAGAGCTAGAGCTAAGATATTTAGCATGAAACATGTTCTAATAGATGTCTACCAAGTTCGTTCAAATAAGAGCCCTGGGGTCAAAATTGGCCCCGCCCCGGGGGTCATTCATTTTCCTTATATGTTTATAACAAAAACTTAAAGAATTTTTTTGGAAAAAAAAAAAAAAAAAAAAATGCTAGAGATTATATACTAAGCATGAAACATCTTCTAGTGAGTGTCTTCCAAGTTTGTTCAAATAAAAGCCCTGGGGTCAAAATTGGCCCCGCCCCGGGGGTCATTCATTTTCCTTATATGTGTATGACAAAAACTTACAAAATCTTCTTTGAAAAAACTCAAATAGCTAGAGTTTAGATATTAAGCACGAAGCATCTTCTAGTGAGTGTCTACAAAGTTTGTTCAAATAAAAGCCCTGGGGTCAAAATTGGCCCTGTCCCAGGGGACATTGATTTTCCTTATATGTGTATAGCAAAAACTTAAAAATCTTCTTTGAAAAAACCTGAATAGCTAGAGTTCAGATATTAAGCATGAAACATTGTCTAGTAAGTGTCTACAAAGATTGTTCAAATAAAAGCCCTGGGGTCAAAACTGGCCCTGCCCCAGGTGTGTCATTGTTTTTAACTATATGTGTAAAGAAAAAAACTTGAAAAAATCTTCTTTTAAAAAACCCAACAAGCTAGACCTTAGATGTTTAGCATGAAACATCTTCTAATGGGTGTCAACCAAGTTTGTTCAAATAAAAGCCCTGGGTTTTAAACTGGCCCCGCTCTGGGGGCTTATATACAGGTGAGCGACTTAAGGGCCATCATGTCCCTCTTGTTTTTCGTAACACTTCCCTTTTACATATTAACCAACTGTTTAAAATTATTAACCAACTGTTTAAATAGTTTGATGAAAATATTTTGAAGGAAAGTGGTCCATCCCGATGACGAGATCTCGATAGACGTTGTAATGCATCCAAGGCGACTTGGAGAACGAACACTCCTTGCCACATTTTCCTCGGATGAGCTGACAGAAGTGGAAGGGGAGATAACCGTGTATGTTGTCTCAAAGTCGGAATGGGAGGAAAAAGAAAAAAATGGTATGATAATTGTCCTACTAATGGCTTGATATTTACAAAACTCTAGTCAGCCGTTATAATGCCAGGCCAGTCGTTCCTGCCTCTGCAATCTCACCATAGCTGAGACTGTTGTCTGCTTAATTTTAGTATTTTCATGATCAGCAACTTATTTTTAGCTCACCTGTCACAAAGTTGCAGGGTGAGCTTTTGTGATCGCTTTTCGTCCGTCGTCCGTCCGTAAACTTTTACTTTAAATGACATCTCCTCATAAACCACTAAGCCAATTTCATCCAAACTTCACAGGAATGTTCCTTTGGTGGTCACCTTTAAAAATTGTTCAAAGAATTTAATTCCATGCAGAACTCTGGTTGCCATGGCAACTGAAAGAAAAAACTTTAAATATCTTCTCTTAAAAAACCCTAAGAGCTAGAGCTTAGATATTTGGCATGAAACATCTTCTAGTGAGTGTCTACCAAGTTTGTTCAAATAAAAGCCCTGGGGTCAAAATTGGCCCCGCCCCAGGGGGTCATTGATTTTCCCTATATGCATATAGTAAAAACTTAAAAAATCTTCTTTTAAAAAACCCTAAGAGCTAGAGCTTAGATATTTGGCATGAAACATCTTCTAGTAAGTGTCTACCAAGTTTGTTCAAATAAAAGCCCTGGGGTCAAAATTGGCCCCGCCCCAGGGGGTCATTGATTTTCCCTATATGCATATAGTAAAAACTTAAAAAATCTTCTTTTAAAGAACCCAAAGAGCTAGAGCTAAGATATTTAGCATGAAACATCTTCTAATGAGTGTCTACCAAGTTTGTTCAAATAAAAGCCCCGGGGTCAAAATTGGCCCCGCCCCAGGGGGTCATTGATTTTCCCTTTATGCATATAGTAAAAACTTAAAAAATCTTCTTTTAAAGAACTCAAAGAGCTAGAGCTAAGATATTTAGCATGAAACATGTTCTAATGGGTGTCTACCAAGTTTGTTCAAATAAAAGCCCTGGGGTCAAAATTGGCCCGCCCCGGGGGTCATTGATTTTCCTTACATGTGTATAGCAAAAACCTAAAAAAATCTTCTTTGAAATAACCCAAAGAGCTAGAGTTTAGATATTAAGCAAGAAACATCTTCTAGTGAGTGTCTACAAAGTTTGTTCAAATAAAAGCCCCGGGGTCAAAATTGGCCCCGCCCAGGGGGTCATTGATTTTCCTTATATGTGTATAGCAAAAACTTAAAACAGCTGTTCAAATAAAAGCCCCGGGGTCAAAATTGGCCCCGCCCAGGGGGTCATTGATTTTCCTTATATGTGTATAGCAAAAACTTAAAACTCTTCTATGAAAAAACCCAAATAGCTAGAGTTTAGATATTAAGCATGAAACATCTTTTAGTAAGTGTCTACAAAGTTTGTCCAAATAAAAGCCCTGGGGTCAAAACTGGCCCTGCCCCAGGGGTGTCATTGCTTTTAACTATATGTGTATAGTAAAAACTTAAAAAATCTTCTTTGAAAAAACCCAATGCTTAGCATGAAACATCATCTTATGGGTGTCTACCAAGTTTGTTCAAATAAAAGCCCTTAGGTTAAAATTAGCCTTGCCGTGGGGGTGGGGGGGGGGGAGGCCTATATACAGGGTGAGCGACCTCAGGGCCATCATGGCCCTCTTGTTTGAATTTTCAAAATGATTTTGGGCTCTCTGAAGGGGAATATGTAGTGTGATAAATCAGGAAAGAAGGGAAGATCTGACATCCGCATATGCAACATATTAACACTTTTAATTAAATTTTGAACTTAACATTGCATGTTAACATACAAAGTTTATAACAGCTCTTTTCTAAATTGACAGCTTTTTGTGTTTCAGTCCATTAAATCTAAGTAATAACAGGGTGTCCGTTTGACCCTTGAAATGACACTTTGACCCTTCAAATTTCAAAAAGACCTGATTTGACCCTCAGGATTTTAACTGGAGGGTCACATTTTGTTAAAATAATGGAGATTTAGCCTTGTATCTGGTCAAAAGGCCCCTTTAGGATTTCATGGCTAGTGAACACCCTGTAATAAGTATTGGCAGATCTAAATTACCTTGTTGCCAAGTCATACTATCACTAATATTTCTGGTGACAAATGTGAAAAGTGGAATTTTAGGGGAAAATTAACCTGTTTTTGGCAAGGTGGAACAGCTTGCATTCAGCTGTAAAATGTTTTTAAAAATATCACTGTTTATGCAAACTATTAGTGGAAAGTATCAAAGACAAGCATGCTACTTTCTATCCGCAAATACAGATATTGCAGGTTAAGCACTGTTGATAAATGCTGTGTTTGTTTTTTTTGAATGGCTAGAATTTACTGTATCGTTGATCATTTATAGGTTTAATGCAAAACTGTTGAAACTAATGTGTGAAAAAAAAGGTTGATAAATGGTTTCCCAGAGGGCCTTCACATAATACTTGCCAGACAATAAAATTTTTTTAAAAGATGGTTAAAAGAAAAGTTTTTGTTTTTCCTCATTTAGGAGCTGGAGATGAAGGTGAAATAAATATGGACACTACAGATGCAGGTGGGGCAAATTCAGGCGCAGGAGATGAGGGCGGAGCAAATACAGGTGCTGGAGAAGGTGGAGCCAATTCAAGTGCAGGCGATGAAGGCGGAGCAAATTCAGGTGCTGGAGAACAAGGTGAAACAACCTCAAGTAATTAGGATTCATTTAAAAGGTGGAGTCTGTGGAAACAAAGGATGTGGCTTAAGAAAAGGATTGATGTGCATAGATTAGAAGATGACTGGATTGCAGATATTGCACAACATGATTTTTGATATAGATGATTTAATCATTAGAGGCACTCTGCAAACAGGTTTTGATTTCTAGACTCTGTATACATGATTTCGTAATAAGTGTGAAAACAGCTCAAGAAGACTAAAACCGGTGGAAGAAATATTTGTAAATGTATTTTTAGAATGTATATTATTTTTTGTCATTAACTAGAAAGGAAAATTCTAAATGCCATAAAGTTTCACTTGGTTGACAATCTTAAAAGTAAGTTGTGAATTTTATATTTGTACGTCACTAAAAACACACTGGCAGTGAGCTGGAAATGAATTCTTTTGTGCATTAAATGTTTTATTTTGGCATATCACATGGTTTATTTAAACCAAACATGAGTGTGACTCTTCCATGATGTAATTTTGATCTTGTTTTACACTGAAATTTAAATGTATGTTTATGTCCATCTGTTAATGACTTTAGAAGACTTATACATTATTTTTGAAGCTAATTCAGGTTACAAATAATTGCCAAATCTAAAGCTTTATTTTTATAATGAAACGTTACTGTGTGAATTGTTGCCAGATTGTTTTGTTCTTCCATGTTAAAGTCTTTTTTGTGTAAGGAAATCAAAATATAAAATAGGGTGCAACCTTCGCAGAGCAACCACCTTTAGGAGACATAGGTTTTGGTTGTTGCATTGTAGGGCTTTTTTTCCCTTCTATAACAGGGGCCCGATATAAGAGGCCCCTTCACAATTCAAAATTGCACTTTTGTTTTCACAAAGCGGCAGAAAAAAAAATCACAATTTCAAGAGATTTCACAAAATATTGGGACTTTGTCTTCGAAATACATTGTTTACCTTCCGGTAAAACTTGATTTATGCCAATTGCAATAGCACAGAAATAGTTTTAATCAAGTTAAATGGTTTTTTGCGCATGTAAACCGAGTTAATGTACCTACTGGATGCAGATTTTATACAGGTCAGAAATTATAACCGTTTCTGCTTTCAAAATGTTGCGAAATGCCAAGTAATATGTCAATTTTTTTTCTTCACAATTTTTAACATATCATGCTTTTTTCACAAAATGAATAGGCCCAGGCCCCTTCACAATTTTGGCAAAAAATGCCCTGCATTGAGGTATTGCTCTTTTAGTTAAGTTTATTATGAAGTTTTATTGCTGTGGGAGGACACAGTACTGTTCATAGTAAGAAGTAATTGCTCCACAGAGGGCCTGCTTTGCAAAGGTTGCACTGTATTGCACTAACATTCATATTATTCCATTAGAAAATCACATTTTTTAACAATTAAATTATGATAGTGTAATGTGCTGCCAAGTGTTCAAAACATTTTTTAAACGCATTGATTGATATAGGACCTTTGTCTGACTCTTAATGTACATTGTATGACAAACAAACTTGTTTAATGTAAAATAATTCAAAAAAAATATTTAAAAAAATTTAAGATGGTATGTAAACTAGGTCTTATTGTATATATTTTGTAAACATTTATAAAGTAATAACCTCAATTTTCACCATGTATTGATTAATTTTGTATTTCTTTTCTTAATTTTGATAAAAAAGAGGATTTCTTTGATGACTTTTACATATAATTGAAAAGTTGAGGTGTAAAGGTCTCGTCTACATTATTGGATCTTATGAAGAAATTATCATTATGTGTTATATTTAGCAAAATAGTGGTGTACTATGTATAAATACTTGATATTTTGTTCTTAAATTATATGATTTTTTTTTTCGTTTATTTCACACAAACAGTTTTTAGTGGTCATTACTCAGGAGTGTGAATTCCTTCATTTTTGTTTTTAATGATTATTATGAAGAGTGCTTTCTACACTTTTGTTTTGTTTTTGTTTTTATTTGGTTATGGATTTGATTGAGATTTTTGTTTTTTTCCTCATTTTTTGTTTTTTGTTAAGAAAAAAGTTAGTGTTTTCTGTTTATTCATAATGAACTATAGGTTTGTTTATTTGACTAAGTTCCTAGACATAAATAGCTGACGAAACAATTGTAATCTAATTTCTGTCAAATGTTTTGTTTCTTTTATTTTTTCTTCTCAAATAATAAGCATCTGTTCAAATACTGTGAATTCAATGAATTTTGTGGACATTAAATTTTGTGTTTTTTATCAAAAGCTATATATTTTTGTGGGTTTTTGTATAAATAAGTCAATGTAAATCATGTCATGCTAAATTATCTTGCAGCAGACTAAATTTTCATTTTGTTGAATCTTAATATTAATGGACCTATCCACTAAAACCACAAAAATTAATGCCCCACGAATAATAATGATTGTGTAGTAATGTAATAACATGCAAATGACCAACTCGTATAATGTATTAATAGTTTATTAAATGAAGTAGATTTCTTTTGTTATTAAATACCTCACATAAAATAGTGAAATCCAATTAAGACAGAAGTATTAACTGTTACATTATTGAATGAATTATATACATGTCAGATCTATTTTTAGCACATTGTATGTATGCTATTAGTTTTCAAATTACTTACATTTTACAATAATCTGAATAACTTAAAGCTATACTTTGGAGCTGAAGAAAGTACATACTTAGTAAATTGGCCTTAAAAATATTTCAAGTGAATCAATTTATTAATTTCTTTAAGTACGGTAGTCACATCTTACATATGATGCGGAAAAACAAACCCCAGCTAGTATTCAAAAAAAAATTTCTACTCAATTTTGGAAAGAACGATTATTCTTTTTTTCTGAATCTTGGTAAATTTCCATGTGTGGTACTTGGGTAATGAAATGTAAGAAGCCAATCAAAATAATAAGATTATAATTATATAGAAAGTTTTATGATCCATTTTCTGAGTGCATACTTTCTTTTGCTTGTCTGTGAATATTGAATTACTTTGTTACTCAGTGATAAGATCGGCCTTGACTTAATCCTGATTTTAGCCTTTCATTTTACATTCACTGATGATGTATTAAATTTTCTACAAGATTACTGTTAAATCCAACTGTATAATTCCATTGAATTTGTATTATTTATAATGCAACACTTGAGATTTTGATTTGTAAATACCTTGGATAAAGCAATATCATATTATGGTTAGAAATGAAGTTTTTTTTAATTTATTTTTTTCAACTTGAGATTGTTTATTTAGACTAGATAAAAATCCACTCAAACTATATAAAGATACTCATGTTTTAGTAGATATAGAAATTTTGGTGCACACATAGATATTTTAAAACAGACATTATAAGTTATTGTTAAATAGATTGATAGAATAGTTAAATTTTGAGATTACACATGTAGGTTATTCTGATCTTTGTTATTCCTAAGTTTTTATTTCTCGTAAAATATCTTTGATATGAAATACAAAGGTATTTTAATTTCATGAAATGTCTCTTTTATATAAAACCTTACAGTTTTCACATTATGTGTTCATTTGAAAGTTTTTATTGACAATTATCTTAGACATGGAATCTAATGGGTATTTGTCTCCCTTGCTAAATAAAAAATTATTAGGGTCACTTATGCAGAAATTGGTAATTACAGGTTTGTTATCAGGCAAAAGCCCATTACGGGGACAGAACACAGATGTGTTGAAATCAGTGAGAGGAAAAAACAACAGACAAACTACCCTGTTAGAAATTGATGATTAAACAGTTTCTTTTGCATAGTTTGACACTATAAATACTTCCCTTGAGTATCAAGTGTCTTACTAACGTATACCATTGTTTTAGAGCAGTTGACAAAATGTTTTAAAAATCAATTTTTAAAGGTTTTTCGTAAAAAAATCTGGAATCATGCAGCTTTAATATTGATTATTTATTGACAATTTCACATTGACTCAGATAAAAATTACGGCAGCACTCGTATGTATATCAGGGAAAGATGAAATAATTCCATTATACTTGTTTATATTTTGTATTTTTTTAGCTTAATTTGCATAAAACTGCTTTTTTGTCATAGTCCCGTATTCATTTTAAACCCATACCCTGCTGGAACCAACAGTGATTAGCCTTTGCCACCAGTATAGAGCCAGGCCAACTGGCATTTCTATGCAGTCTGCCAGACTCTATACTGTTGGTTGACTAACTTCAAATTTTGATCTTGATATCCCCAAAATTGATAATGGAATGTACCAAAATTGAAGGTGGGCAAGTTCATTTCTTAAATTTGGCAGGTTCAGGATTATTTAAAAAAATTAAATGTATGTCTTGCTTTTATAAAACTTAAACTTGGCTTTAATTTTGATTATTTTACATGTTAGATAATCAGGGCTTATTTATTATAAAAGTCTTAGTATTATGTGCAATTTGGCTTTTATTAACAATAATAATGAAAATAGATTACATTTTTTTTTGTGCATCCAATTGGGCAATATTATGTGCTTATGTCTATATGTTGTAAAGTTAACTTACTTCAAGGCACTTTGATGTTAAAATCTCGGATGAGGATGTAGGGTTGTGTGGGGACAGAGACTTATCCATTCATTTGAACTTACTAAGACTAGTTACAAAATGTCAAGTAATATTTGAAATCAATAAAAGGCTTCTTTGCATTGTTCAAAAATTTAAAAAAAAACAAACAAAAAGCAGAAAGAATTAGTGAAAAACCGTTGTTTACACTGTACATTTCTTGCCAAAATACATGTATGTTGTTGATTTTGCAAAGTGTGAATACATTAAGAAATTTAAACCTAAAAGCAATGTAACTAACTTGGAGATTTTATATATTTTGTGTTTATTATACAGCTTTTGTGCTCAATTTGTATATTATTATTATTATCTTTTTATACATGCATGGTAGATATTATAAATGTTGTAGTTACAGTCTTGCATGTGTGTTTTCTTTGTTTTTAAGCTTCCCCCAATATATTTGGTGATACATAAAGTAACTGTTTACTCCTTCCTTCCGTCATGCCTTCTTAACCTTGCTAGATCCAAAAGGGCGCCAGCATAGAGACAGACCAGTCTGCACACCTGCTAGATATATAAATGTTATTTAGGTCACTTACCTACTCTGTCTAATTAAACAATCCATTAC